GAAGTATTTTGTCTGGAAAAGTGTTGACAAACAGTGTGCATGCAAGCTGACTTCTAGCAACAAGACTGTGACAAAGCTGGGTAGTGCAGACTTAGATTTTCTTAGATGCTTTCAGGTACAGCCTACCAAGGAAACGAGATTGAGCCCAGATATCTCATGTGGTATAGTACAACACTAATCAAGGAGCTACTGAGTCATTCTAACACAGTCATTTTAATTAATGAATTCAGCAAAATGAGTTCTTCCTCAAGGCAATAAGTAAAATAAATGAACATGCTGTTCTCTGCCACTTTTGATAGGCTTAGAATTTTATTTACAGGAATTAGTGGTGGATTTTTGGAATTCCCCTATATTATAATGGTGTTGATTCAATTTTTTGCTTCACTGCTCAAGAAATAAGGATGGAGTTATTTGGGAGGCATGAAGGTGTAATGGTTCCTAATAGGAATGTGTCCAAATGGTTTCTGAGAATTGCATTTACAAAACCTGCTATCAAATAATTAAACTAGTCCATGCAACTCCTATTCAACCTGTTCCTTGAACTGTATTTCTGTGCCTTCTTTTTAAAGTTTTATAATCAAATTTCTTTGAGATTATTAATGTTCCTGTGTACCTCTGAGCTCTTGTCAAACTCTGGGGATCATATTGCTTCATCAATTTTCTAAGATATAACTCGGCTCAATTAAATGTAGCAGATCCCAGATGAATATGTATACACATCAATACAATACATCTATTTTTCTACAAACTCAATTCGTAAGTTCCTGATTTAGCACCTACTAACATCAAAGGAAAGATTCCCATTGCTTTCAATGGGAGTCAAATGGGAACTTTTTAGATAAGTTCACCCAGTTCTTGGCGTTCTGTACATCAGACAAATCAACAGCCATAGATTTGTGTTTGGAATGATAATATTAAAGGATTTGGAGGTGAATTAAAAAAACCTGCCTGATTAAGCATCATATTTCTACTTACCAAATTGAGGAAGTTTAATCTGAGTTATAACAGAACTCTGCCTATATAAGGCTACAAACAGTATACTCTAGTACAATAATCAAATTACTGGCATTCTCATTTGTTTTTATTAACTACTGTTTTACATAGCTCGTAGTGTGATAGCCCCTTTGCCAATACTGTAAGTATGAAGGTTCCCCACCTCGATCTAAATAGATACTGTGCAGACAGGGAACTAGAAGTAAAAAAGCAAAGTGACAAGAGTGAAGTTCAGCATGAGATGATGACAATTATGGTCTTGCAAGAAATTGTGTGATTGAAAAAAACAGTGCAGTGCATATCAAACTCACTCAATTCTGTAGCCCTTCTCTAGGGGCCTTATACAATGGAAATGCTCAGGATGACCTCAGTAGAACTTGGATCAACTCCTGGGAGTGGCCTTTTTTCAGCGTGTCTCTAGTTTCAGATCAGTAAATGTTTAACTGGGGCAGACACAAGTCTTAATATCCACCTATAAATTGAGAAATTGCAATTCTCGCCTTCAAAAAAGTTTATTATGATTATTGAAAGCCTTCACTTTTCCAGGGTTACTGCAGATAGCCATATACAAGAAGGTGGAATGTTACAGATAAGCATAAATTTCTAATCTCACCCTGGTTCTGAGTTGTTCTAGATGTTAAGTCTTAAGTCTCCTCTGTATGAGATTTCATGTGTATTAAAAAGAAATGGACTCAAACAATCAAGTTCAGATTTAGATAGGACCTCACTGCCAATTCTAGAGTAGTTCTGAAGTTGTTCTGATGCAGGGTTCTGGTTTAGACTAATTGGTACTATTGATTGGTATTTGGTTTCCTGCCATCTTAGAGCAGTGGTTCACAAAGTGCGGTCCATGGACTTCACCACCTCCCCGGTGGTCCATGGTTTGAGCTCAGCCCCCCTCCCATGAGATGGGGAGCCTGCGCTGCCTCTTCACTGTGTGGTGGAAAAAGGGGGCTGTGCTCCCCACCCCACCCTGCTGGGGGAACAGCAGCAAGGCTTTCCCAGCTGCTGCAATTGGTTGCTGCTACCTGGGCAGAGGTCTTGGCGGTGCCCTCTCCTGCTGCTGCAGCCCTGCATCCAGCCCCATGGGGAACCAGCTTCATTAGATGGGAGATCAGCATCCGCCTCCCCATGCTGTGCTGTGGCACTTGCCTGTAGGCCCCCTGCCTCCAGGTACTTCCCAAGAAAGGCACCATGCCAGCCACTGAAGAAGCCCTGGAAGTGGCAGGGCTTGCTCCACATGCTACAAGGCTGGGAAAACATCCAGAGGAACCTGGAGGTCGTTCCCCAACAGAACCTGCCCATCCTGCATTCTGCTCAGTGGTGCAGGCAGCTGCATTTCCAAGGTGGGGAGGGCTGCTCTGTAGGGGAGCCATGCTGAGTGGGGCTCTTCCAGTTGCCAGGAGTGGGGGATGGCTGTCTCCCCAGTAGGTTGGGGGCAGAACCAAGGAGCTGGAGAAATGCTTCTGTCTTGCATTGTGCCCAGTGCACCCCACCCCCTGGCTTGCTCTATACCATCACAAAAAACGATCTGGAATCTCAGAATTCCTGTGCTGACAAGGGACCATTTGGGTTGCCATAAACACAAAGCCAGTGCAGAGGACAACAGAGGAGCTCCCCCGCCCGTGCTGAAATGAGTAGCAATTCTAAACATTTGGTTTTCGGTTTAGAAACAATAGCCTGTAGGATTGTGCTACTTCTGGTAGCAATATATCATAAGAGCAGTTCCTGCTACCAGTAGCACAATCTCTCTACAAACCACTGGCCAATGGGAAAAGGGGGGGGGGGAGCAAAGCCAGATAAGCATCCCCCCTCACGACCAGACCTCTGCACTCCAATCCCCTCATTCACTTCCTTCCCCCACCAAGACCTTGCACCCCCAGCTTGCTCCTTCTCCTTCCTGGCCACACTCTGCACCCTCCCTTGCTCCTACGTCCCTCCTGGCCAGACACCCTACCCCCAGTCCGTTCATGCTCCCTCCCTCCTGGTCAGACAACCTTCCTCCTGGCCACACAACCCCTCTGTGCTTCCCGCCTCACAGCCTGCTCCAGCACCCTCCTTCATGGACAGGCACCCTCACTTCTGGCTAGACATCCTCTGCCAAGCCCCCTCCTGCACCTTCCTTTGCTTCTGCACCTCCTCCTTGGCCAGACACCCTGCTCCTGCATCCACCATTGTTCCTGCATCTTTCCTCCTGGCTGCACACTATATCCTCCCTTGCTCTTACTCCCTCCCCCTGGCCAGACACCCTACTCCCAGCCTGCTTCTACACCCTCCCTCTCCCAGACCTAGCACTCTCATCCCCTCTTGAACCCTACCTCCCACCCAGGTAGTGCACACCCATCTCTATCTCATTCGCTGGCAACCCTGTCCCACACACTGAACCCCTCATTTTTGTCCCCAACCCAGAGCTTAAGCGGGGGTCCACAAAACCTACTAACTCCAGAACCCCAGAAAAGTAAATCTGGCCTATGGGAAGTCCTGAACCTCAGTCCTCTTTGTTCTTTCCTCATGGGGCTGGGGTGCCAAAGGAATGAGGTGTCTCAGTTGGGGGGGCACATCAGTGAAGCTTAGGGGTTTTTGGAGGTGTTTTTTGCTTTTTACTTGTGTGATCCCCAACTGATTTTTCTGTGGGTCAGTGGCCCCCAACCCAAAAAAGGTTCCCCACCCCTGCCATAAATAAAAAAAACATGGAAACCCTTTTTGTTGGACATAAATATTTTACTTTATTTAAAATGAAGTCTGATAACCTAACATGCAAAAGTTAAAACACTTAATCTGTTTAATAATTTAAATTAAACCATTCTCCCTAGCTGCAGCACTAGCAAAATGGCTCGGGCGTAATTATGTAATTAATGGTGAGTTTCCATTAGCAACTGGTGGTCCGTAGAAAGATTTGCATTGAGCCTGGTGGTCCATGGGCAAAAAAGTTTGAGAATCACTGTCATAGAATAACAGAGAGATAAGGAAGGTGAGGTAATAATTTCTATTGGTCCCATAAAAGATGTTATTACTTCACCGACCTAAAACCCAGTAAGACCCAGAATATCTTACTGCCCCTGTATAAAACTATGGTATGCCCACATCTTGAATACTGTGTACAGATGTGGTCTCCTCACCTCAAAAAAGATATTTTGGCCTTGGAAAGGGTTCAGAAAAGGGCAACTAAAATGATTAGGGGTTTGGAACAGGTCCCATATGAGGAGAGGTTAAAGCGACTGGGACTTTTCAGTTTAGAAAAGAGGAGACTGAGGGGGGATATGATAGAGGTCTATAAAATCATGAGTGGTGTGGAGAGGGCCGATAAAGAAAAGTTATTTATTAGTTCCCTAAATAGAAGAACTAGAGGACACCAAAGGAAATTAATAGGGAGCAGGTTTAAAACTAATAAAAGAAAGTTCTTCTTCACACAGCATGTAGTCAACCTGTGGAACTCCTTGGCAGAGGAGGCTGTGAAGGCTAGGACTATAATAGAGTTTAAAGAGAAGCTAGAGAATTTCATGGAGGTTAGGTCCATAAAAGGCTATTAGCCAGGGGTTAAAATGGTGTCCTTGGCCTCTGTTTGTCAGAGGATGGAGAGGGATGGCAGGAGACAAATCGCTTGATCATTGTCTTCGGTCCACCCTCTCTGGGGCACCTGGTGCTGGCCACCTTCGGTAGACAGGATACTGGGCTAGATGGACCTTTGGTCTGACCCAGTACGGCCGTTCTTATGTTCTTATGACCTAGTATCTCTAATATCCAGGAACCAAAACTGCTTCTGTTATACCGCATACATATCATAGTGTAAAGTATTCTGAGATCTTTTACATATCCTGTACTATAGAAAATATGCAGTGATTGATTGTTTATTTTGCTTTCTGAGGCACAGGACTGTAATTATGTTTGGTATTATTTTTCAGTCCCAGAAATCTTGGATTGAAGGAGTCTTCAGTAAAAGAGAGTGTGCAAAAGTCATCCCCAGCTCAAAAGACCCACACAGGTATAGTTGTGGGTTTTGATTTTCTTTTTGTTATGTTTTAAAGAGAGTCAATAGATGTTATAGGGATACTTGAGTAGTTTGGATGCTCTTCTTATAATTTTTTGCAATGCCACATTTACATGAGTACTACATAGCCACTGTGGCCATGCAGACACTTGCATCAATATGTCATATGATGACTATTAGTGCATTTATTAATACATAACGATATTTTGTGGTTCATAGAATTTAAAACCAGAAGTAACCATTTGATCATGGTGTCTTGCCTCCTGTATGTCACAGGACATGAGATTTCAACCAGTTACCCCTGTATTAAGCCCAATAACTAGTGTTAGCTTAAAGCATTTCAGTGCTCAAGAAACTAAAATGTGTAATGCCTTGTAAAATTGATAACACCAGCTACAAGTATTAATAAGGTAACAGTGAACATTCTAAATATAACACTGAACCTTTGGACTAGATCTTCAGCTGATGAATGCAGAAATAGACAAGTTTCAATGCCATTTCCTAAAATTTGTACATATCTTTTTTTTACCCAGTATTTAATAATTTGGCAAATCAAATGATTTTTGTATGCAGTAATACCCTGTTTTATTGACATATTCCTCCAGATGTCCTGCAGGATGCCAGATATGCCAGAACTTAATCAGGTAAGGCCTTATCTATATGAAGCTATGCTTTCTAAAATGAGCTGAAGAAACAATTGGGTTTCTTAATCTTGCTTTGTAGAAACCAGCATGGAGATGTAAAGGATGTCAGGCCATTAGGAAAGGGTTTTTTTTTTTTTTGGTCTGTTTTCTTTTGATCTATTATTATGGAGAAGGAGAACACACTGGTCTTCATCTAGCTTTGTGGTTTTTAACAGGGTGCTGTTGTAGGCAGCTGATAGTCATGCTACTTAGGTTCATCATTAGATTTTTGATCCCACCTTTGAAATTAACATTAATACCATGCAGAGCTCTCATAAATGTGCATTTAAAATGTTATTGTAAAGGGCAGTTAGATTAGAAAGTTGACCTTCCTTGACACTTTCTCAGTATTGAAAGTCTGCTTCCCAGTTCTCCTACTATGATGTTTGCTGAATCTGGAAACAGAAACAAAACAGCTAAGAGTTACTGTTAAACCAATGGCTAACAAAAGGGTAAAAATAAAAACTGAGTTCAATGATTGGCTGCTTTTTGTTTTACTGTACAACCTTTAGTGTTCAAATGTGTGTGTGTGTATATATATATATATATATATATTCCAACTAATTAAAAATTTCAAAACAAAATATTTTTTGTTTTGATAAAAGTTGTGCACAAAGGTTAATTCTAAAGGATATTTCTGGCAAACTTCAAATAGGCATAAATATTGCAACGGATTAAACAGGATTTATTGGGACAGAAATACAACCAAGGTCTATTTTGGTCTAGAAATTATTCACAAATCATTCCAGATGGTACTAGTTATATTTGATATTTGTAAACATTGGCCTTATAGTTTTGGGCAAATTACTTTTCAAACTGCTGTCTGGTCTCAGAAGGATCATTAAAAGTTGGCAAACATTTCTGAGAGTGCTGGTGGTTATACAAATATTTGCAAATAATGAATAGCATCACCCCACAGATATCTGCTAATCAAATCTTAGTTGTTTAATTGTAAAATATATAGGTGAGTCTGTCTATTAGTCTACCAACTTTACTAAATACATTGGAAAGGCTGACACAGACTTCTGAGCAGCATCAATTTTCAAATAACACTATAACAGCTCTGTTAGGGTGCGTCTACACTGCACTGCTATTTGGAACAGCTCTGTTAGCATCTACACTACACTGCTATTTGGAATAACTAGTATTATTCCTAAATAACAATGTGAGCATCTACCCAGTAATTCTGTTATTTTGAAATAATATTGAAATAACAGACGGCTTATTCTGACTTCTGTAAACCTCATTCTATGTGGAAAAACTCTTCTTCCGAAATAGCTATTTCGAAATAGCTGCAGTATGGATGCTCCACTGCTGCTATTTTGAAATAGCTCCTCACCAGGCCATTCTAAGTAATTTCTTCCCAGTGCTTCTTGGGGCTGTAAATCAGGATGGCACATTCACATTAGGGGAGCCTGCCTCGGACTAATTTTGAGGCTTTCCTGTAGTGTGTGTGCTCTATTTTGAAATAAGCTATTTCGGAATATATCTTCCAGAATAGCTTATTCCAAAATAACTGTTCAGTGTAGATGTACTCTTAGAGCCCTGCCTGACTCTCATGGATGCTCAGCAGGCTGCTGTATTGGATCCAAAGCTTTGGATCCCATATGCTTTTAAGTTTACTAATCTGAGCAGAATTCAGGAACTGTCTCCAGGTCTGGCTGTTAGATACACTCATGAGATATAAAGTCCAACTCCTGGAGTAGCTGCCCTAGACACCAAATTTCCACAGAAATGTAAGTATACCTTCTGCACAACTTCACCCTTGTGGGTACTCTGGTTTACTGCCTCACCCATCCGTGAGTTTGCGACTGTCAAAGGAAATAACTCACAGACTTTTAAACACAGATACAGCACAATAGATATAGAGAGCTATTTGGGGTGGGCAGAAGGGGAACTGCATGCAAGACCCTGCCTCAGTTTCCCACTCTCCTCCTGAGAGCTCTTATGATTGTAGTCAGTGTCCTTCCAGGGAATCTGTCCGAGCAGAACTTGGCCTTTAATGAAGTTCACATCCCTTCTATCAAATGACCCCTCTGTGAGCTCCAGGTCTCTTTTCAAGTGGTTCATTACCAACTTGAAGATCAGACTTGGAAAACTGGTTCCTGTGGACAACAGCCTGTTCACTGTTCTAGAAAGCTTCCATAAATCCCTTCAGGTTGACTCTTTTGATTATCCTCTATTCTTATCTGCTAAGTGCAAGAATTTCCCCAACACCACATGGGTATTTCAGTTCAAGATACGTTTTACAATTAACACGGTGTATGCAAAGCACAGTAGGGTTTAATTAATATATATCCATGTACAGACATATCACAGAGTGTCTGTCTAACCTAGGCACTTGCAGCACTCCTTATCTGTGGAACATTTCTTATGTTTATAGTGCGTGTGTTATGCAGCCATTTCCTTTTCTGGAAATTGGCTCCCACTCAGGCAACATTTATGAAGCAATGACAGACTGTCACTATAATTGTCAAAGGATTGTAGACTGTGTAAACTGCCGTTTACATGACACCGTTTCCTAAATATAGCATTAAAAAGGGCACCGAGAAGGAGGAAAGCTCCTTGAGAGGGTCAGTCTGATCTGGCTGGGTCTGGTGCCTCTCTCATTTAATTTCTCTCTTCAGGAAAAATCTTTGCGTTCAGTGCTGCTGCTGAGGCTTTCCCATTTTGCAGGAGGAGTGCCGATTTCCCTGCTTTGCAGTGACCTTGTAGAAAGGGTCTTTGTCGCAAGAATACTTCAGTCATTCTGAAACGGAGGTTTTTTTTTTTAAAAAGACTAAGTTATCACAATGGGGAATGTGATACTGTCAGCATTACATTGAGAGCCCTACTTTGCAAACTCACTGACTCTGCTCTGGAGTTCCCAGCTTTCTCCTACTATTACAACTGGGTTTTGCAGCTGCATCATTTAAAGTGTTGAGGGCTCCTCTTTGACTCCTTTGTTCCTGCAAGGCAGGATTTCCCAAACTGCGACTTGCTATCCTTCTGTGTGCTAGCTTGAGCTCTCGCCTAAACACGACAAAGTAGCTCCTTTGAAATACATTATTATTGTTATTAGAACACTTTCTGTTACATGCACATTTACAATCAGTTGGCATACAGTAAATAACTGCATAATAGGTATTTAACCATATATTCCTAGTGTCCGATAGGTTGCTTATAAGCATCTATAACATCCATGGAATTATTTATAATAGTCTGTGCCACATACTAACTCATATAATTTATTAGCCATTTAAAAATGTTTATAAATATACCCTTAATATATGGTGTGATTGTTGTTAGTAGAGCCACTCAGTTCTTACTGGATCCATGAGCTTCCATTAGAGTAATTTATGGTGGCAGATAATGAGTCACCCTCTCTTTGGGCAGGCTAAGTATTTAAGCACCTGCAGCAAGAGAAATAGCTGCTGGCATAATTCTGTAATGTGTAAGATGATTAGTGTATGGTGGTTTATTGTGTTGGATGAAATTGTCCCCAGCCTTTGCAAAACACAGTTAAGCTTTGATGAACCTGATTACTTCTCAGTGCTATGATTCCATTTCTTGCCTATGCCTGCTTAACCATAGCAAGTGCTTGCAATAACTGGCTCCTACAGGCTTTGGCTACTGGATTGTTTAATTGGGATTGCTGTTGGCTCTGTTATTCAGTATGATGCCTGAATCAATAATAACATAAGTGTGTTAATGTGAATCCCATCAGACCTATGTACCAGAGCCAATAGGGGTTTTTCAGGACCACAAGAGAACAGAAATATGTCCAGATATGTCCCTTTTTCTTCCTTTCCATTAAAGAGTCACAAAAATTGTGCTACAACTTACAGATGTGTCAGTAACATTTCCAAGAAGTAAAGAATATATAATTCAGAATCAGAGAAGCCAGAACAGTGTGAGGAAGAGCTAAGCCCCAAGGACTACAGGGAAAATTCATTTCACTGCATGGCAATAATCTTACCACTGCACTCTTTCTGTGACAACTGTTTTCCCTTGCTGAATTATTAGTTAATCAGCTAGTCATGTATTTCAAACATGACTTCCCTCATATAGTACTAAGTCTGTCACAGTATAAAAAGAGAAGGTTAAAATGGATTGGTTATTTCAAACCTTACGATGCATCATTCTTTGTGTTAGAGACACCAGGAAGCCTGCATTTCAGATTTCTCAGCATCTGCACAAGGAGATGATTGTCCTAAGTTTTGTGTAAAATTACACTTCTATTGTGCAGAATGACACTATTTTAAACATTGACAATTCTCTTTTGTGAGATATATATAAAAAAGTCTACAATCATTTAATTTTTTTCAGTTCTATATTGCTTTTATGTTTATTCTTATTTCTTGCTATTTCCTCCTTCACTTGGTTAGATATTTTTTATCGTTCATGTTTTTTTCTTGCTCCCTATATTTGATACATATGCTTCTTTTTATAGCTATTTTTTCTCATTAACAAACCATCTCCATTTGTAATAATCAAATCTATTTTTAACAGTGTGGGGCAAACCTTAAAAGATTTAGGGGTTTGGCTCAGAAAAATGGCAAAAATTTGAGATATTTGTCTGAACTATTCATTCCAGCTCCTGCCACTTCTCTTCTTCTCCCATCCCTCCCTTTTGCAACAGGTACAAGTTATTCTATAGTGCCAACTTCCCATGTTCAATTCTTCACAAGCAGAATCTGGAAAATCTGCAGGTATCCATGTACCATACATGTGGATTGGATGCGGCTACACATTTTGTATCTGTTCAGGACTTCACTTGCAAGAGTTCCTATCTCTCTGGAAGACTACCATAAATCTCTTATCTATGATCCCACTGTTTGGTTCTCCAGGTCTAGTCTTTACTGTGGACTTTGGATCAGCTATTGATTTAAAAGTTGTATGTGCTCTGTTTCAAAGGTGCTCAAGCACTGAGGGCAAATATTGGATGCTACTAGAGTACTAACTGAGGAGTGAGGCCAGGGGAAGGCAAAACTGAGGGGGTATGGTGGGATTGAGATTTATCAAAGCAGCCTGAATCTTTAACATTTGAGGTTCATTCAGGGAAATAATTGTTATTCAGACTAGTTTGTCCTTTCAATTAATTGGTTTGCTTATTCATGATTTTTGGGGCACTAAAAATACTCTTATCTTTAATGCAGGTAGACTGGCAAGATTTTTTCTATAGAACTAGACCCATTTAGAGGGAGAATGTTGCCAAGGGCATGGCTGATTTTAGAATATCACAAGAATATTTTAAAACCTGAAATGCTCTCAGAGAAGATGCCAGGTGTATTAATGAATTAAGCTAGAAGGTGAGATTAGGAACTTGTTGAATATCAATAAATCAGTGACTTCTGCTGTGGGTTTTCTATGCCAAGTACAATTCTTCTAATGTCTAATTAACATTCTATTGTACTTCAGTGGGCATACTTTACATTCAGTTAAGTAATAGCCAAGAGATTAAATAATATATAGGTTCTTCTTAATCTCTATACTGTTAAAGGGCAATCTCTGTCCTTGTAATGGGGGTTCCTGGGTGCAAACAATACAAATAAATTAATTATCATCCATCTTAATATCCCAGTACTTACCTTAACTGCTGTCCAGAAATCTACACGGTTGAGCACAGCAAGCCTGAAATTTGGTTTTCTATTTAATTCAATATTCGTTTCTGGACTTGGCAAGCTATACAACCATTTGCAAAGTATAAGAAAGAGATAAGTTCCGGAGGTAGCTGCTATAATTTTTCCAGCATATGAATCACCATGTAGTGGTGTGTTTATGACATGTCTCTTTGTTCTTATTAATAGTTAGATTGATATATGGTGTGATTCCGTCTTTGCAGATATAGAAAGTGGTATTTAGGATAAGCTACTTAACGCATGATTTTATTTTTAATTTGAGATGTTGCTGTGGACGGCTGATTGGAGATCATCCTGGGATAGATTGTAGTTTGCCTGTCTACCAGTCTAGCAGAGACCAGGGGAATGAAGAATGGTCTGTCCAAAAGCATACACATACAAGTCCTACTGACTCATTTGGAACAATCAATTTCCAGGATGGAGATCACACTTACCATGCCAAGGTTTGCCTATCAACTACAATTTTACTTGATTTTAACAATGCTGATTTAACATTTTTTTTTTCACTATGCTAATGCTAAAGAAATGGGACAAGTTAAAATTAGCATTAGGAGAACCTAAATCTGTTTGGTTCAAACAAGAAAGCAGACCAAGTTCAAAAGAGCCCAATAAAACATGCATACAGTGCCTTCATGTTACACTGTAGGTCTAAGAGCATAATGTAGTCAAATCTCATTCTGTAGACAAGTTAATGATGTAGAGGTAAAGGAGCTGTCATTAGATTTGTAAAAAGCTATGAAGTCATTATTTTAATGATGTCACCCTGTGTCATGATAGGAGAAAATGACTGAGCCCCAGGTGTTCAGCCCTGGGTCCTCCAGTAGTTTGTATTATCAAACTATGTCATCAGAATTGGGTTGATTAGGTTATCATTCAAAAGCCCTTTCTCCCATAGTACCAAACCTGAAAAATATAGACAAATATGTACATTTATATTTAAGAAAATATTTACAAATCAACTTTTTAAAATTCTAATATTAACACAAGGGTGTGTTGCTTTCACAGAAAGATACTGAACTTTGGTAATACTAGGGAAGTTAGCTTTGACGAGTAGGATTCAAAACATTTATTCACCAGAATTATTATTTTCTCAGTCTAAGGCACCACTCCTAGATGCATTATTACAGTGCTTCCTTTCTGGGCTATCCTTCTACTTTTCCAAACAAAGCAGGTGGATGTCCAAATATTTTCAGGGTAATGAATATCTGATCTTTGCACACAGGTATTTAATTAGCTGAAGGACTGTTTTGAGAGTGCATGGTATTTCACAGATAACTGTGACCAGTCCATCCTTTAAGATATATCCATGCTCTATAGAGGAGGGTAGTTTTGGATGCACCTAGTCATTCTGGAGCCATTGCATTTCTTGCTGATTTGCCCTCTTAATAGCAGGCAGAAACATATCCTTATGGGTGGCCATTTTTTTCTTGTTTGTTTCTTGGAAAATATCCACCAATGTAGCACTGCAATTTTTGCAAAATTGGTCTTCAAATACTGGACTTGACATATGAATGCTTCCAGTGCATTTATGACTCCAGCAGTAATGATCTCAGCTGTTCCTAGCACTTCTAGAATGAGGAGAGCTTTGGGAAATTGAACTAAATGCCATTCAATAAAGTTGATGCAACTCATGAATTCCAGCTGAGCTGCGCAGTTTGCATCAGTAAAATCAGTGTTTGTTTTAGTTGCTTTTACCTTTTGAATGCAACACATTATGTTTATTTTTGGTGAAGCACTCAAGGTGATACACAATGTCATATGCATGGATGCCTTTTGGGCCCGTGCATCTATTCAACTTTACTTTCTATTCAGCGTTCTCCCTCAGAGTGTCTGCCTCATACCATTTTTCACCTGTCTTATGTGTTGAATGGTGCTTAATGGATGTCTCTAGGCTTCTCGCTTCCTATAGAATGCTTCTCAAAACACATGTTGTGCGTGACATATACGATAGTGTTATCTAGATCGGTGAGGAGCTGTATCAGCACTTGTCCTTTTACCTGGGGTGCCCTGCAATGCCTTGCTGTTATTGCTACCACCCTGGATCCCTCACAGTCACCAGCATTCAAATTCCTGATTGTCTGGCAGCATGCCAGCCACACTCTGTCTCTCACCTGGCTTGGTTAGTTCTACAGGGTGATTCCAATACACTTCCAGTCCCAAATTTGTCCCTTAAAATGTACATTTTGTTCTGTCCAGCAACAGACAGATCAGAGCTATTAGACAGCTATTAGATGTCCTGGACAGATCAGAGCTATTAAATCTGTTGTCCCTTTAAGGGGACAATATACAACTTGCACCTTAAAAAGCAATTTAATTCAAACACATTGGATTAAACAATAACACAAATTTATTAATAAAAAAGATAGGATTTTAAATGAGTATAAGTAATAAGGCATAAAACTCAGAAATAGTTATAAGGATAAAGATATAACAGTTCCTAGTATCTAACTTTACAAACTGTCCTTGGTTCAAGATAAAGTCCTTACCATACCCTTCCAACAGTATCCCTGATGAAAATCTTCAGGTCAGGGTCTCTTCCCTAAGACCCAACAGCTGTTTCTTTTGTTGCCTTAGGTGGAAGAAGGGAGAGGGACCAGGGGAGAGAGACGTTGGGGGTCTTTGCTCTTCACTTTTATACGTCAGCCCCTCTGACATAGTGCTATCTAGGCCCTGGTCTACATTAGGGAGTTATTTCGAAATAACTCCCCTTATTTCAAAATAACAAGCAGAGCATTCATACTACCAAACCTGTTACTTCAAAATAATGGGCTGGTTATTTTGAAATAATGGCTCCTATTTTCCATGAGGAATAACACTTATTTCAAAATAGTTATTTTGAAATAGCAGTGTCAAGGCTGTTCCCTACTCTGGCACTCGAGTGGGGTCAACCTGTCTCCACGCCACATGTGGGACTCTCTGTTGTACATGGGACCCTAAGAACCCTCCTCTGAACCCAGTCTAGCACAAACCTTCCTCCCGTACCTCAGGATAAGAGGGCTGCTCAAAAAGTAACCATAGGTTCCCTCTTTACTGGACTGTCAAACTGAAATATCACTGTGCAAATGAGTCATCCCAACATACAGCACAGCAAAAAACAAAAACAAAAAAACCACCACCTCCTCAGTCTCCTTCATCTCCTGAAGCAAAATGCAGGACAATGTAGCACTTTCAAGACTAACAAGACTCCTCGGTCTCCTTCATCTCCTGAAGATTCTGACTCGGGGAATTTCTGTAGGAGCTGCTCTGAGAAGAACAAAGCAACCATGAAATGTGTTCTTCCCCCAAGCTGCCTTAAATCAGCAGGGTGCAACAGGGAAGACATTCCTCAGCACTTTGTTCCTCACCTTCATGGAGTGTAGCACATGGGATTTTTGTCAGCGTCTTGTTCTCCTGCTCCACTTCACATGGGATAATCAATACTGGCGTCCCCAACTTACCCTCACAAAGTGCAGTCTGGCAAATCAGACCTGTCTGTTTCTTCTCAGTGGGCCATATTCACAGCCTCACAAAGGGAATTTTTCCTGTTTAGGGCAGGAAGACCAGCAATCCAACTCAGAGCTAAATTCCCAAATAATAAAATATTTTTAAAAACCCAGAAGAAATAAAAGGATGGACTTTCAAGCAAGTCTGTGCTGGGCATTCTCAGACATGAAGGTCTGCAGATGCCTTAGATAAACTATCTGCCCTTCCTCCTGCACCCTGTGAGGGTAGAATAGGGATTTTCCTACCACACTTAAAGGACTAGAAAAACCATTGGGTTATCATCTTGCTGCTGAGGATCACTATCTCCTAATGTCCTATTGCAGGTTGCTATGCCACAGTCCCATGATCACCTCATCTCCACATCCTTCCCCAGCAATGGCTCTGGAGAGATGGGAAGGACTGCAGCCCATGACTGGCAGGCTATAATAGCCCTCTTGTCCTATGACTGCTGTTTCTTTCTACCCCCTCCTTTGGACACAAAAACTATCAGGGGACAAAGCCAATATAGATGAACAAAGAACTGGCATCTCACCCTATGAGCCCTAGCACATTTTCACAAGCAATGCTAACATGGTTGGCCTCCCCCTCAATCCATTTAAAAAAAGAAAAGAGAAGCTTTAGAGCTTCTCCTTGGCGAGAGGTTAGGACAGACAGACAGATATGGGAGCAATAAAACCTGTCACTCACATAATGATGCCTTTACCTCAAATCTCTCTCTCTGGCTGCGTCTAGACACGCAAGTTTTTCCGCAAAAGCAACTGCTTTTGCGGAAAAACTTGCCAGCTGTCTACACTGTCCGCTTGAATTTCCACAAGAACACTGATGATCTCATGTAAGATTGTCAGTGTTCTTGCAGAAATGCTATGCTGCTCCCATTTGGGCAAAAGCCCTCTTGCGCAAATGCTTTTGTGCAAGAGGGCCAGTGTAGACAGCTAAAAACTGTTTTGCCCAAGAAAGCCCCTATCGGGATAATGGCGATCGGGGCTTTCTTGCACACGGGATTATGGCGATCGGGGCTTTCTTGCACAAAACCGCGTCTAGATTGGCAAGGACACTTTTCCGCAAAAATTGCTTTTGGGAAAAGCATCCGTGCCAATCTAGATGCTCTTTTCCTCAAATGCTTTTAATGGAAAAACGTTTCCGTTAAAAGCATTTGCGGAAAATCATGCCAGTCTAGACGTAGCCTCTCTGTCTCTCACACATGGAGCTCTCAAGTCAAATCTGTCTCTGTCTCTCTCACACACACACGAGGAGCTCTCAAGTCAAATCTCTCTCTGTCTCTCACACACGGAGCTCTCAAGTCAAATCTCTCTCTGTCTCTCACACACACACGAGGAGCTCTCAAGTCAAGTATCATCAAAATTCAGGATGGAGCGTGGATTTTAATATCTGCCATCAGAAAAGATGACTGCATGACATCACTAAATGTGAAGTGTAGTACAGAGAGAGAAAGAGGCCCCAGAGTTTGTGAACCAAAGACAGGCCATGGATTAAAGCAGGTACTTACAAGTTCACTGCCCAGTACATGAACTTGGCAAAGTTGCTGCTAGGGCTGCTAGAATATAGGCACTCCTAATAAGTCGTAGGCACTAAAGATTCACTAAATACATTCCAGAAGGCTTGTGCAGCTGCTCCCCAATCTAACACAGAAGAAGATGGTTTGACAGAATAATGATCAGAGAGACAGCAGGAGCAAAGTAACAAACAGATGTCATGAAACATATACAGTGGTATATAGTTTGTTTCTCAGCCTATAAATGTCAGGGTACCTTGCCTTAGCTCTTAGTGTGGCCACAGCTGATTCTCTGGTAGCACTGGGAGATGCACTGCACCCCTGTGCCCTGCCAAAATTATAAATGTAAAATGGGGTGCCCTCCCATACTCCTCTCTAGGTGGCCCTCCTTGCACTCCCTCCTTCAGCAGGCACAAATCACCCCTGAGTATGGCAGAAGGGATAGCAGAGATTTCCACTGCTACTGGGCCACTTCTTGCTACTGGGTCATTCCCTTTCCATCCAGAGAGGATATGAGATTGCTAAGACTGGTCGTGTATTAGAATCTTGGGAGTCTGCGCTCTTACGCCTCCTACAAAGAAATCAGCAAAGCAGCCACCTGGTCATCTGTCCAAACTGCTTTCAAATTGTACAGAATGGACATCAGTTGAGTTGATGCTGCCTTTGGTAGACAGCTTCTCCTTGCTATAGCATCCCAGTAATTATTAGGAAAGGATTATTGTCCTTTTACATCTATACATAATTGTATATAGTGGTTCCCCTCTCCCCCATTGTCTCTCTCAAGTGGACATGGCAAAATCCTAACGTCATGTATTTGAGGACCTCATTATAAATAATAATAGGGAAATTTATCGAGGCCTTATATGAAATTTTCCTATTTTGGAATAATGAGGTTGAGAGATTGAACCCATCCTGAATGGGTTGTTAACTGGAAAAGATTTGGGATTATTAACTGGCACTCAAAGTTTTATTGTTTATTGAATTCCTTGCTTTGCAGCAGTATTGTTCTATTTAGCCTTAATGCTTATTTTTCCTTACGGATATAGTAATTAATTCTCCTAGGCTGTGGAAGTGATTCAAATGGCAGTTTCTCACGGGTGGAGCCATACCTCCCCTGCCTCTGATAGGTTTGTCTGTGCCAAGACTGCACAGAACAAAAACCCGGGGAAATTTGTAGGTGAGGTGTGGATATATTTCCTGGTATGAGTTTGTTGAAGTTTAGTATTTTGGTATTAGGGCCCAATTTGTATGCTTTTCTTTTTCATACCACAGGAGCAGCTATAGAATATCAGTGAGACCTTGCAAACTAGGGAGATTGAAATGGCTATGAATATGTCTCAATGAGTTGGACACTTTTACATTATTCTTAGCAGGTCTCATTTAAAAAAATCCCTTTTTAGTGACACACAAGAACTTTCACAACAAGGTCTTGAAGACTTTAGAACTGAGAACTTTCTAAGATGCAATATACACAAGTGTATTTCTTCCAGTATATTAGAACCTCTTATGATACCAAGATGGACCAGCTATTACATCTGATGGTGAAGGAATGGCAGATGGAGCTGCCAAAGCTAGTGATCTCTGTTCATGGAGGCATCCAAAACTTCAAACTTCCATCCAAGATCAAGCAGGTTTTCAGCAAAGGATTGGTCAAAGCAGCCGAGACAACAGGAGCATGGATAATAACAGAAGGCATCAATAGTGGTAATTCTTTTTATCTGTCTGCCTCTTCATCTAATCCTTGCTCTTTGTATTTCTTATATGTACAGATTTAAGGTACTTATGGAATGCAATCATTTAGGGTATTTATAATACAAAATAAGAAACAATAATTTGGAAATTTAAAAAAAAACAGATATTTTTGAGGGTATAGTAGACACAGGTGTGTCATCAGGCTGCTCCAGCTTTGATCAATATTCTTAGTACATTTTGTTAATAAAGACCTGACCATGTTATACGTGAAATAAGAAGCAAACTGCAGATCAGCTAGAGCTGGCTGGAGTGCTTGTTTTAGAATGGACTTTGATCTATTTGTGTAAAGTAGTTTGAACACTGTTACTGTATCAACTGGCAGCTATTTTGGTCAAGTGTTTTAAACAACATTTCATTTAGATTTCATTTCAATTTTTAGTTGTGTGCATTTTAAATTATGGCACTCACTTTAACCTGTGAATGCACTGAAACTTCCCTTCACTCTTTATATTCCTCAAATATTGAACTAATCTTGTATTTTTTGTTGTATTCAGTGTAATCCTCCCACTTAGGGAACATTCTGATTATGATGGATCTAAGAGAAGCTTACAAATAACATATGCTACTCTGCTATAGTGCAATATCCCTAATGGAAATGGTGATAACAATTAGTCTGTGTCTACACTGGCACAATCTCGGGCAAAAGCGGCCGCTCTTGCGCAAAAGCTTGCTGCCTGTCTATACTGGCCACGTGTTCTTGCGCAAGTAAACTGACGTTCTAATGTATAAAATCAGGGCTTCTTGTGCCACAACTCTGATGCTCCCGCTCAGGAATAAGCCCTCTTGTGCAAGAGCTCTTCCAGAAGAGGCCAGTGTAGACAGACAACATGAATTTCTTGTGCAAGAAAGCCCTATGGTTAAAATGGCCATCAGAGCTTTCTTGCGCAAGAGAGCATCTATACTGCCATGGATGCTCTTGCACAAAAGCACATCTCTTGCGCAAAAGCACATGCCAGTGTAGACGCTCTCTTCTGGAAGAGCTTTTGCAGAAGAACTCTTCCGCAAAAGAGTTTTTGCGTGAGAATGCACCAGTGTAGATGTAGGTTAAGATTATAAAATCTGTGGGAGGGACTTTGCCATATCACTAAGCTCTTGGTCTTGACTTACTTAATGAGATTACCATAGAAAAACTGTTCATAATATATAAATTATTAGATGAATTTAATAATTTTACTGTTATTTCTAAATGCTCTGCAAACATTTTAAAAAAGCTTGTTCAGAATTGTTGAGACACTTTATAAGCACGCAGATTTCAGTTGAGTTGTTTGCAATCTATTCACAATGGGCCAGATCCTCAACTCATGTAAATTAGTATAGCATCGTGAAAATGCATGAAACAATGCTGATTTGCACCAACTGAGGGTCAGGAAGGGCTTGTCTGCATAGTGACATTCAGGCAAATTAATCTAGATTAACTAAAGATGTGAATTTAACCCACATTAAGTCCCCTGTTTTGAATACATTAGAGGAAGGACAGGAATACTGACAAAGAGAATTGGTGTTCTTTATACTCTCATACATTTTTATACCAATTTTCTGGTGTAGGTGTTCGCCATTGATCAGGATCAGGCCATAAATAACTGGCTGGTATTCATCCTACTGTGGCCTGAGGAACTCAGTTTTGAAATTACTGTTTCATTGTCTATTGGAATAGGTTGGAAAGAGGTAATAGATAAGAGAAAGAAAGATGTATTAGTTCTCTTAGCTATTTTATGATTAAAAAATGAGAAGGTCACAATCAAATTATTTTTTTATAATATTAAAATAATTGTAATTGTTGGTTGTAATAACCACTTGGAAATTTGAAATGTAAATGATTCCTTACTATTTTTTTCTTTTTTTTTAACTTAAGTTATTTTGTTAATGTAAAATTTCTCCTGAGAGTGAGGCAATGAATATATATATGGAGGACTTTTATAAAATAATAGATTTATTCTGTCTGAAAATACACAAAAATAATTAGTTATTTTTGAAAAAAAGATTCACAAAAATCCATTCAAAGTTATTTAACAGCAAAAAATTAAAATTATAGTCAGTACTTTTAAAAGTAAACCTTAAAGAAGATATCCATTTTGATGTTATTTCTGAAAACACTTATGCTTAGCATTATGCATGTAACTAGTTCCATTGGTTACACAGATGGGTGATGTTAAACATGAGCAAGTTTGGAAAAATGGGGCACCATATCATTGTTTCAATTAATTAAACCTCACTATTCCTATAATCCATATGAAGTATAGCCATAAAGTGTATAATTATAATTGCACTCTAAGTAACTACAGAGTAAAATTACGTTTTGCAAACAACTTTGGAAGCGCTGGTCACAGTGGTGGATCAGGAATTCAAATGTAGAATAACAATAATGATTGTCTGTTTAGGAGTATCCAGGCATGTGGGGGATGCCTTGAAAGCTCATGCCTCTCAGCATTTGAGAAAGATCTGTGCCATTGGAATCCCTTCCTGGGGTATCATTGAGAACCAGAGGGACCTGATTGGAAAAGATGTGAGTTAATTAACTTTTTGTTCAGTCAATTGTACAAGAGTCTGTCAGCTTTTCTATCCATTTGTTGGATTCCTTTATAGTGTATTGTAATTTTTGGTGGCCAGATGGGACATTACCATGCATTATGGAAGATCTTGTCCAGCCCATGGGGGGCATAAAGGCATAAAACACCCATATTACAAGCTCCCATAAGGCACTTCAGCAACTCAATCAAATACAAACCTGAAATGAAATTTTGTATCAGTTTTTTCTAATAGAAAAATTGAAAAAAACCTGACTTTTTTCCTGTAAACAAGTTCAGTTTTGTAAAAACTACATTTCCCCTTAAAAGAAATGTTGTCACACAAGTCCTAATCAATGCAAATAGTATTAAATTCACACAAACTTTGTTTAATGACAATAAAGGATGACTTGGAATGTCCCACCAACTCAAACCCTAAAAAATATGTAAATAACAAATTAAGGGGAAATTCTCCTGCATTTCTTCCTGCTTTCATACTGTCTGCAAAACTCTTGATAATTCACTCCAGCATTTCATAAGGCTTTTCTCTTCCATTTCCGATGGATACAAAAGCAATATGTATGCAAACTTCCTCAGTTGTGCACTTGAGAGTATGAATAGGCTTTCTAAGTGCTATAGAAATACAAATTAATAATGATAATAATGAAAGCTTTGCTAAGGCTACCATTAAAATGTTATGCTAGAGAGAAAGCTATCACTGAGCTATCACTAAGAGAATTTTTTGTATTAATTTCCTATGGATTTTTTTATACAGGATTGGTGTATCTCAGTGGGTTAACCCCTGGGTCAAAGAGAGAAGGTTAGAGATGTCAATGGCTGAAATATAAAATGTCTGTAATTTGGTGTGTAACACTAAAATTTACAAATTGCAGGAGTTCTTAATATATATTGCACAGAGGTGAAGGTTTAATACCTTTTTTTAAAGATTTCCATTCTTCTGGAATTCAGAATGTAAAAAATAGCCATGAATGAATAAATAATCTAGGATCATGTATATATTCTCTAAAACATAGTAAGATTGCATAGTTGTCTTTCACAATATAGGGCCAGATGCTGATACTGTTGCTCACATTTTGGTAGTTTCTTAATCCTCAGATTGACTTCACATGGAGCAATATACTGTGAATAAATATACCAGTACATAGTGAGGCCAAGCTGTGGTACACAGAAAAAATTCTTTTGGACACTATCTTCTAACTCTTGACTACAATATACTTTCCACTGGAGTTCCATGAATGCTGAGAGTATAGACCTGTTGTAGTCCCCCATAGGATGACCAGGGGAATTTTCCCACTGGGGTGATAGTTACAGAAGTTTGCAATGTAACAATGAAGTATATAAAAGTCAGATGACTTACTTCGGCCTCTCTTGATTTTTCTTAGGTAATTTGCCTATATCAGACTCTCAGCAATCCTCTTAGCAAGCTGAGCACCCTCAATAGCATGCATTCCCATTTTGTACTAGCAGATGATGGCACTGTGGGCAAATATGGCAATGAGATGAAGCTCAGAAGGAATCTGGAGAAATACTTAAACCTTCAGAAAATACACACCAGTGAGTATTGCAATGTCAAATTTGTTATAGGTTAAAAGATTAAGATGCTGAGTACTTCCTATGCCTTCAATGTCTTGACTTTCAATGGGAAGGGAGATGGCTTGGCATCTTGAAGGATGGAGCAATAAATATTCACGGGGAAAAAAGAAAAAGAGAAGGAAAGGAACACACGCCTTCGTTTTTGAATTCCCAGTATGAGACCTCTATGAGGAGTCTGATTTCCACACACTGAAAATCAGACTCATTTAAGGTTGATCAAGTTGGGCATCCAAACATTGAAAATGGTAACCTGGAGTTCTAGAAAGCCAGAGTAAAGCATGGCTTCCATTTCAGAGCTCTTTGTGGGTATGTCTACACTACAGAATTTTGTTGGAAAAACAGTTGTTTTTCCGACAAAGTTTGAGGAATGTCCACACTGCAAATATTCTTCTGCAAGAAAATCGAAAGAACAGAGGGTTTTTTCTGGTATTGGTAATCCTCATTCTATGAGGAAGAAGCATTTTTTGCAAAAGAACTCTTGGACGGGGAAGAGGGAGTTCTTTTGCAAGAAGAGGAAAGAGGAAAAAGCACAACTCTTTTGCAAGAAGGCATGTGTGGACGGGGAAGAGGGAGTTCTTTCGCAAGAAGAGGAAAGAGGAAAAAGCACAAGTACCCTGGTGGCCACTCAGTCCATAGTAATCACAGCTTACATGTGAGATAGCGTCTATTCAGTGTTGATGCTATCTTTCGAAAAAGCAGATGGCTTTTTTATGCGCTTTTGCTGTGTAGACGTTTTCTTTCGGAAGAAGTTTTTTGTATGCTCTCTTCCGAAAAAGCTTCTTCCGAAAGAAGCCTTCAGTCTAGTCAGCACCAGGAACTTGCTCTGTTATCCACCAGAAAAAATTGTCAAATACAGTGAAATTCAGAGAAATGTATCCATGTTTTAGAGTTTTTCTGTGCAACTCTTCTGTCTTGCACAGCTGTCATTTCCACAGTTGGCAAACAGTGCAGTAATGGTTGCAAAGAGGAATTGACAAATGTCCAATCAATCTTTTGTGTCTGTTAAATAAACCAAAGGCAAGTTTTGCAGCTTTAATTTCCATTATAGAGTTGTTTGCACATATAATCCCTCAGTTATGTCTGAGTTATAACAAACCATAAAATATGTATTTATAGCTTGTGAAAATACTTTTTTTTTTACGTAATAAGACCATCATCAGTCATATTGGTCTAATCATCAAACCAGAGGGTTTGCTAGAAAGAAACACCATTAGGTGAACTGTACTATTTAGTTCCTTGCTTCCTTTCACTTATTATATCTTGTAAGCATAGAAACATATCCAAGAATCTCTTAAATTCATTCATGTTTTTTGTTTCCTGTTCAGTTTTCAATATTAAAAACAGAAAATTAGTAACTATTGCCTATTGGGTTTTTATTTGACATGTCCATTGCTGTTTTCTGTAATATTGCTCAACTATCAGCTGTTTCAAACTATTAAAATCACCTCTCCCCAAAATACATACCATATAGACAATTTAGAAAAAACCACCAACTTGCTCTTCAGTGTGTGCACAAATATTTATATGCATAATTTTTTTGTGTATGCATGCACAAATTTTGCAACCATAACCCACAGTACTTGCTAAGGTAGGCCATGCAAGGGAAGGGCAGGTAGTCTGAGCTCCATTTCCTTCCTCGTGGGCCCATACTTGTAATCTTACCTAAAGATTCTCAATAATCTTTTGTATTAATGGCAGAGTTCCCTTGAGAGACAGCCTTGTAATGCCTCTGTTTTTATTGTTTTTATGAATTAAGACATCTGTCGCATGGTTTCTGAGATTTTTTTTGTGTGAGTCCAGGTTGACAGACCTATGCTTATGATATGTTCTATGGGAGTGATAACTTTGCTGTTAATAACTGGTTATGTGTGGATTGAAATAGGAATGGGCCAAGGTGTTCCAGTGGTTGGACTAGTGGTGGAAGGAGGCCCAAACGTGATCTTAATGGTTTGGGAGTATGTGAGAGATACTCCTGCGGTCCCTGTGGTAGTTTGCGAGGGCACTGGCAGAGCTGCAGATCTTCTGGCTTTTATTCATAAGCACACAGCAGATACTGGGTGAGTAGCTGCCAGCTGAACCACTTTTTTTATTGTGTGGTGGTAGTGAAAACGCCTGTCTCCAAATCAAAGACAATGGTGAGAAATACATTGAAGTAGTGTGTGCCAGGAACTCCAGAGTTCTGATACCACCCCAATGACAACCTCTCTACCCTCTGTGGCCTTTTCTTTGATCTAATCTCTCTTTCTGATTTCCCTTTTGTTTAAAAATAATGAGATTTGCACAAAAAATCATTAGATTATTTTTTGAGGATCAGTCTTTAAATTTTTTAAATTTTTTAAATTTTTTAAATTTTGGAATCCCCTTGCACATCTCCAGAGTTGGTTTATTTGAGACAACTAGCATTGCATACCATCCTAAATATATTGGGCAAGGTGATTTCTGGCTGCTGCTGTGAAGGAGCACTCATTCACATATCTGCTTGTCCCTTGCAAAGCAATTAATTCTGTCCTTCTACCCAGACCCCATAAGTTCATTTCCCATCACTTAGCCTCTCAGTTTGCACCATGCTAGTTCAGCTCCCCCCAGTCTCACATTTGCTTCTTCTGGGGTTCTTCAGTTCCCATCACTTAGCCTCTCAGTTTGCCCCATGCCAGTTCAGCTCCCCCCAGTCTCACATTTGCTTCTTCTGGGGTTCTTCATATTGTTATGTATAGCCCTTTCTGGGACAGGGTTAAGTTTGGAGGCCTCCTTATTCTAGAGTTAGTGTTTGGATGTGTAGGTGGGGTTAAGTTTGGAGGGCTTCTTATTCTAGAGTTAGTGTTTGGATGTGTAGGTCTCCATGTGCTATGGATAGAGTTTGGATCCATGCTTTTCCCTGGCATAAGTTTAGGTTGGAGAACTCTGACTGCAGTAATCTAGAGCTAGGACTGGAAACCATAGATTTTTCCAAAGTTAGGGTTGTGGCATGGTGGCCTCTCTGGGTGAGGGATCAAGTCGGAGACCATAGATATCCATAAGTTTGGGTTAGTTTTGAGACCCCTAGGCATCAGTGGGTCAACATTAAGACCTTGGGCCCATAGCACTGTCCAGTCTATAGTTAGTTTGTGATCCTAGGTGTCACTATGTTAATGTTAAGGTCTGGGTCTATAGGTTCCTTTAGTTAGAATGTTGTTTAGAACAGTCAGGGTATATCTACACTGTACCTGAAGCTCAAAATAAGTGACACATTTTGAGTGATGCAAACTGCGTAGTTTATTTCAAATTAATTTACGAAATAGCACCACATTTCGTAAAAAGCTGTCTACACAGCACTTATTTCAAAATAAATCACTGTTCTGAAATGTCCCTTACTCCTCGTGGAATGAGGTTTCTAGGGATGTTGGAATAGTGAACCCGTTATATTTTGAAATAATGGGCGCACTCAAAAGACGCGGAAGAGCCCGAAATAGCACTGCAGTGTAGACGTAGCCTCAGAGTCCTTTCTCTAGGCTTAGAGTTTGTATCCTTCTGTCTGAGATATTGCTATGGTTGGGACTAGGCTTGTGGTATGGTTTAGGGTTGAAGGCTGTAGCACACTCCCTATGCTATTATTATTAGCCGCATAGTTATGTCTAAGCTAGCATTATGGACTGGAAGTCTCCCCATGCACAGTTAGGTCTTGTAGTCTTAAGGTGTTGTTAGAATAGCATTAGGATTGGAGGGCATAATTCTCCTTGTATTGGGTTTGAGTTGGAAGTTGGAAGTCAGAAGTCTTCCCCCACCCCCAGCTAGAGTTGGAGTTGGAGGCATCTCCAGGCTATTGTTAAGGTTGGCTTCCATATGGCTTGCCGCGCTAGGTTTATATTTGGGTCCTGAATGTCTCACTGGCCTATGGTTATGATTCAGTCTTGTAGTCCTCACCATTCCAGGGTCAGGCGAGGTGCCTGTTGTCCTTTCTAGGTTAGGGTTGTGACTGGGAGTCTGTAGCCTTCCTTAGGCTAGAGCAGTTTTTGTGGTTAGTGGGGGCCAGTGTTAGGTCACTGACCATAATCCTACCCCGGTCCCTCTGGCTATCCCAACTCTAATTCTAGGCCTAAGACTTGTGGTTGCTATAAACCTGTAGTCTTCCTTGAGCTCCAGTATTTGTGGTCAGTGGCAGGGCTTCAGGCCAGTGTTAGGACACTAATACAACCCTATCTTCAATCTTAGGTCTGATTTCTGAGCTAGAACCTTAGGCTAAGGAGCTCTACTGTCCTGGGGCCAGCCGCCTACTTGATTCTTAATCTTTTCCTGGGTCTCCGTATGGCCTAAACCTTACCTGTGTCCCTGGCTCTTCATGGGTCTCAACTCTAGCCTAAGCCGAGAATCACAGATCAGTCTTGTCCCAGGTGCTAGCCCACAACTGCTATAGCTTCCAGTCCTGACACTAGTCTGGGTCTGCTGGTGGGCCCCAACTTCTACTCTATTCCAAAATGATCAACTCATTTCAGCCACAACATTATTTCAAGGGATGCTTGTAGGTGTCAGCCTGCATCTTATCCCAAGGGACCTATGAGCTCTATTGCAATGGAAATCTAGGATCCCTAATCCTATGGAAATCTATAGGCCCTAACATTAACTAAGTCCCACATTTATGCTCAACCTCAAACTAATCTCAGAGCCAGCGATGCACCTCAAATCTCAATACATGTGAACATTTTTGAATTACTTTTTTTTCCATGGGAAATGGTGTTTTTAATAAGTAAAAGTGTTGATAAAAAATTGTCAATTTAAAAAAAAAAATGTCATGGACCTTTATTCACAACATTGCCGTTATTTAAAAATTTGCAATACTGTATATATTTTGTTCAGTACCTTCTGTTGATGTTGCTGCTTAACTTTTTAGAATGTAATTTTTATGTATTTTGGTAATTTTTTATACCTTTTTTTTTGCCCACTTCTTTTAATTTTCTTCCACCTTTTACTTTTTTCCATTATTTTTCTTGTTGTTTAAAAGAAATAAATTTAAAAAGCTTACTGTAAATTAAAAGAAAGGAGAAATTAGAAAAAAGATAATAAGGGGGGGAGGGGGAGGAAACAGTAAATGGAAAGTATAATACCAAGCAACTTAAATTATTTTCACAAAATTTAATTAAAAAGATAGAAAAATATTGCAAATGCAAGTTTGAAATGTTTTTCAAGAAATTGAAATTGGGTTAATTTTTTACCAACTTCATTCACAATTCTTTTCAAAACAGTTAGCTTTCTCATGATTGCATTTACATTGGTTCACAACATTTACATTCAGTATTACACAAATCTGTATATTGGTTATGCCCTGTCTTTGTTTTCATAGGTCATGCAGTAGAAGGTGAAGGCAATATGGTCCTGGAGACAAAAGTATGCTTTGTTGTATGCACTAGTCTACTCTGTTCTCACAAGTTTCTTCCATTGGAGTAACATCTGAGAAAGAGATGAGGCATCCAGTGGTACAATTAATTCTTGTCTGTGTGTTTTGTTCCTCAGAGACTTAGCCCCACAGCTGAAGGAGGAGATCTCAATAATGATTCAGAACACCTTTAATTTTGGGCAGCAACAGTCCATTCATTTACTACAAATGTTGATGGAGTGTATGGCATACAGAGAATCTGTGAGTATGACAGACTGTTGATTTGTATTATTGTCACTTATTTTGTTGTAAAACAACAATTTTGTTGTTGTTTATGGAATATATTGGCTTAGGCACAGTAAAGGTAGCAGGCCAAAGTTTGTCCTCAGTTACCCTTATACACGCTGATTGGGTTAAATGGAGGTTTCATAAGTGGTTCCTGTCCCAAACTGACTTTTCCCAGCCCTTTTAGGAGGCCCAAATGTTTCAGACCCATTCGTCCAGAGTCCTTAGGCTGGGAAGCAGCTCATGCTGGCACATGCAGACTGATTGACCAGGGCTGGCTAGCAAGCCCCAGCCCCCCTGGCCCTTAAAGAGGCAGGCCACCTTTTTACACATCTTCCCTCCTTCCCTAGAGCTTTGTGTGCTCCCTGTGCAAGTTTTACCATTTATAATCATACATCAAGCCTGGACAGGCTGTTTTACTAGCTGCCATACTTCTAGCTCTTCTCTTAGCTGGCTATTTTCTGAGACCAATTGGTCTTTTTCCCAGCACCTTTTCTTCATGTTGTAGATCTGGAGATAAAACCCCTTCTCGTCATCTTCCAGTGCCATTACTTGTAATTCCAAGTTTTCCTTCAGCTAACTCCTCTTTCATAGTCTGCTGCGTGGCTTTTTCCAAGGCAGCCAATTTCACACATGGATTCTCCTTCCTGAGTGAGACAGGTGAGCTCTTGCTCCTGCTTTATGGCTTGTACCACAACATTCACATAGGAGTGCATCTCTTCCAGTCTTCCAACATTCACATAGGAGTGCATCTCTTTAAATGGAGCATCTCCTTCAACTTTGTCCATTGTCTCTCGGCTATAGAGATGAGGGCCTTCATGGGCACACCCTCTGGTACTGCATAGGTTCCTATCTCTTCTGTGACTGCAGTCCATTGCTTCTTCAGCCTCTGTGTTTGCCCTGCTATCTTCACAATGTTTTCCTGTGTTCACAGCCTTGAACTTTTTCTCCAGAACTGATAGCTGTTGCTGAAGGGCAGAAACTAGATTCTACAGATTCCTGTTTGCCTGTCCCTCTTGTGTCAGCTGTTTTACCAAGAAATTCCTTTATGCCTCTGTTGGCCTTAAATGGGTCTTGAGGGTCTGCTTCTGCAGTTTTTACTCCTGCTCACTATTCTTGGGCTCCTGCCCTTGCTACAATCCCTCTCCCCACTTTTTGAAGTTCTTTGTGTGACAGAGCCTTTTAGTATCTTCTGTTGCCTCACATGTAAAACATATCACCATTCCAAGGACTTACCCTCTTTCCTCTTTAAGGAGAAGGCAACCCTTTTGTGCTCCAATTTTCACTTGTGAAGCACACCAGAGCATTTCTTCCTGACCAGTGCTGGGGTTCTTGTAGCCACTGTTGCTTTTGTTGGCCTTCTGACAGCTGCAGGAGGAATGTCTGTGTTTGCTTGTGTTGTCACCAGGAGGAAGGAGGATGTTTTCCACTCCTTTCCCTATTGCAAAAAGGGGTTCACCAGGCCCCTCCATATATTATTTTTGTCAAGGTAGCTGTTCCCCAGCTGAGAGGATGGCTGTATCTCTCTGCCCCATAATCCTTCCTTGATTGGACTGCATGTCATGACTCCAACTTCTAGTACCAAGTTGTCACAGGCCATGCCTGCCCAGTAGTACTCATGATAGTGAGCATAACACTGCAGGCATTGCCTGCCTCAATTTCCCCTCACCAGGGTTATTTTTTGTTTCTCCTGGGGAGAAACATGGCTAAAATCTCCTGCTAAATCACTCTGAGCTCAGTCTTCGTTTGAGGTAATGTTTAGACAAACGAGGTTTTTTTTGGCCCTGTTTGGATTCTTCTTCAACCCATCCTGTGGGCTTCTGGGCTACCTTAAAGGGCAATTAGACACCATTTAATTGTGGTGTTGACACTTGAGCTGGAGGTTTGGGACCCTGGGCAGCGGGGGAGGGAGGGAGTGGGAGTCTAAGAGCTTGGAATCTGGCTCAAGCCCAAACATCTACACCACAATTAAACAGCCCCTTAGACCAAGCCCTATGAGCCTGAGTGAGCTGGCATGGGCCGACCTTGGGTTTTTAATTTCAGTGTAAATGTCCCCTATGCGTCTCTTCTCTGGGAGAAAATGCTGCTTCCCTAGAGTCCTTCCAGACCCTATTTCAGGGCTCTCCACGTAAGCCCATCTTATTCCTTGTGGTGTTCCTCCCCCAAACTGAGTTTTCTCAGTCCTTCTATGAGGCCCTTCAGGTTGTTACTTGACCCCATTAGTCAACCAGCTTAGGTTGAAAGGCAGCTAATTCTGGAGCAAGAGGGGCTGATTGAACTGGTCTGGCTAGCCCCAAGACACTTGGTCCCTAAACGGGCAGGCCACCATATTACAGAGTATTAAGATCTTCCATTATGTGAGTGGTAAGTAGGTAGGTGTCATTGTACAAATCTTAATGTCTCTGCTTTCCAGGCCATCCAAACAGTGTGAGATTCAGTGCTACATGATTAGCAATATGAGGATTTGCACACTAATTTTCTTGTACTAAGAGTCTATGTTTATGTCTATACTGTAATTAGACTCGGTCTCAGGGAGCATAGCTGTTAGGGGTCAGGAAGCACTCTGAGTTCTGGGACCCTCCTGATTTGTAGGGTCATATTGTCCAGGCACCAGCCAGAGCCTGAACATCTACACTGTAATTAAACAGCCCCGTGAGCTTGAGTCAGCTGGCATAGACTAGCCATGGGTTTTTAATGGCATTGTAGACATACCTTAAGGGAGCATCTACACAGCAGGGCTTAACTTGAAATAAGCTACACAAATAAGCTATGCAGTTGATGTAGCTCCATTTCAAAATAGCTCATTTTGAAATTGGGAGTGTCTACACAGCACTTATTTCAAAACAGAGCACTCTTCCTTCCACTTCCCTTATTCCTCATAAAATGAGGGTTACAGGAGTCGGAGTAAGAAGTCCTCTAGCTTGAGAGTATTTTGACGTTATTTTGAAATACCTACCTGTTGTGTGGACATGGACTAAGTTATTTTGAAATAATGTTGCTGTGTAGATGTTCCCTAAATGGTACATTTTCATTGTGGTGCACAAGGAGATACATTGATGTATAGATAGATCCCTGTGTTAACATTGCTGAAAGTTGTGCAACTTATTTCATTGCACACTAGATCAAGAACGAACCCCCGTATGTTTCTCTGGAAGGGCTTTTCCACCTTCCCCCTCCCAATAATGTGCTTTTGCAACACTGACAGATAACCATATTTGATGCAGAGTCAGAGGAGCAGCAGGACATTGATTTGGCAATCCTGACAGCACTCTTGAAAGGTACTTCTCTAACAATACTTCTGTTTTCCTATGATCTACAGATTCATTGACATGCCCTTTCAAAAAAAGGAGGGAAAAGAAGTTCATGTATGAAAGTTAATGATGCCTTTTCCTGTTCTCTAGGTACAAATATGTCTGCATCAGATCAGCTAAATTTGGCATTGGCATGGAATAGACTGGACATTGCCAAGAAACATATTTTGGTTTGTGGACAAGACTGGAAGGTACTTCTTACATTTTATTTCCCAGCAAGTATTTGTTTTTTATAGCAAGGCTTTTATTCTCCTTGGGTTTTCACCATTGCTTTGCATTTGTCAGACTCTGTCTGATGAGGAACTTGTAGTTTGAGTTCGGATACCTATCTGTTGGCACAAGCATTTTTAATTTTGCAAAATGCAAAGTTTTCTTAGGGAGCATTCAAGGTGGAATGCTCTAAGTTTTGTTCCTAATTTCTGTTTAGGTTCCTAATATACACTGATTTCAGTAGAAGGGAGGAGCCAAACTCCTTTGGAACATCCCACCCGCAGAGACAATAATGAGGAATGGGGTATAAAAATCTTACAGATGTTTTATCCATCCAGTGGACAGAGGTTTCTTGAATGTCATCTGAAATTGCCATATTTTTCTTTGACAATCTTTTCCCCCCTCTCTTGCTGGACATACTGCTGAACATATCTCCCTCTGGTGTCTGCTATAACTGTCACTAGATGGCCAGTCAACGGTGCTATATTACGTTGGCAGCAGTGCTATATTACGTTGGAATAATACTGGGCTAGATGGACCTTTGGTCTGACCCAGTATGGCTGTTCTTCTGTTCTTTATGTTCTCTTCACCTCATGGCTTCTGCTTGGGCTCAGGATGTCTGGGATTGCTGCTGCCGTTACCCCCTCTCCTCCCCTCTTCTCTGCTGCAGTTCCTGCCCAGGCTCTGGGCACTGCTGCTGCCTCCTTCTCCTCATGCCGCAACGGTGCCCGGGTTCTAGATGGGACTCAGGGCTTCCACCCCATGTGGCTCCTTCCTGGGTTCACCGCTCCGGCCCCCAGCTGCTGACTGAGCTCCAAGTTTCTACTCCCTTTCTTGCCATGTCTCTAGCTGGGACTTGGGATGCCCAGGACTGGTGCTTCAGCCTCCATGGCTTCTGTTGAGATTCAGGGCATCTGAGCTCTGGACTTAAGCCCACACAACACCTTCCACTTCATGGCTCCTGTCCAGGTTGAGAGACCCATTTTTTAAAGTTGTTTCGGGCCCTGGGCATAGGCCTCTTGGGCCCATGACTCAATTCACCTCTTGCCCTAAGCCTGACTAGCAGTTGAGAATGCCCCAAATAGTGGCTCCTAGCAGCACCGGGGAGAACTCACCCGCCTCCACCTCTGAGAACCTCCTCCACCTGCAGGAAACTGCAGCTGCTGCTTTCAGAGCTGGGCTCTGCAGGCAGCACAGAAGTGAGTATGGCAATCCTGCAACGCCCTTACAAAACAGCTTTGACATCCCGTAAAATCCACCTTTGGGCCAGGACCCCCATGGTTACAACACCAAGACGTTTCAGATATAAAAGTCTGAAATTGTGAAATGTAAAGACCCCATGGCTGTGAAATTGATCAAAGTGAACCGAGAATTTGGTAGGATCTTTTGCATAATAGAATATTAAACTGTATTATACTATTCAGTCACCAGGTGGCATTATGTATAAAATACCTTACTGCAATAATTCTTAGCCAGATCTGGCAGAGCATGAAAGGATCTTGTGATGAACACAACCTGGTGTGTATACGATAGTTCTGTAACCAGTCCTGGCTCCTGGAAGATTGGCTGGAAAGGCTTACGCAAAGGGATTTGATTTAGCCTCCCACAACTCTCCCCTCACTCTAAAAGTGTCAGTACGGCTGAGGCAGTCACTGCTGTGCACTGTTGTTCATATGCCAAGTTTACTATTTTAAGATCAACATTATGACACTTGTAGAGCTACATTGGTGGCTGTTTTCCAAGAAACAGACAAATTGAGAAAAATTGCCACTGACATAAGATACATGTATATCTGTTGTCAATAGGGAAATTATAAAGCAATGAAAAAGATCCATGATGACAGAGTGCATCAAAAGCTTTCCTTCCTTATTGTCACAGATGGGTTTTGGAGAAGGGACTAGGCACATTAGTTATGTGTGAAATGCCATGCACTCCCAAATCAATCTTTCAGCAAATGAAATGCTCCTGTGCAAAGATCAGATTCTCACCACCCTGCAAATATTTGGCCTTCAGCCTGCCTTGGATGGCGTTATGTGAGTACAGTGTGGCTGAGGACCAGTGTGACAGCATGTCTGGCTGTGGTGCCCTAACTAAACAGTGATAATGACAATGATGAATACAGGCCCGTACGCAGGTGTTTCTGCGGGGGATGCTTTTTGCGTAAATATGGACCACAAGGGTGTGAACTCATCCCTCCATGGTCCCACAAGTAAGCATGCTCCAGCCAGTTGGGGGAAGGCTGGGACTGATTCTGCCCCCCCAGAAGCAAGGCCAAAGCCTGCCCCCAGCTTCACTCCTGGGGAAAGGGGAAATCAGCCCCAGCTTACTTGGGGGACCACCCGGGGTGCGTTCACACCCTTCACAACCCCCCTGCATAAGGGGCGGGGGAATCCCTCCAACCCCAATCGCACAAACAGTAGTCCGAAGTGGTGAATTGTGGAGCCGGGTTCTGCAAGGCAAGAGGGGGTGAAGCATACATTGTATTTGTGTCATTATTGGCTTTCCAGACAGCTTGGCAGAGACCTGGGGCACTCGTTAGAATGCCACACTATCAACAGGCAAAACCCCACTCCTGGAAGCAGGCGAGGTTTAACTGGCTCCCATCTCTCACCTATTCGGTGGGGGGAACCTGGGAGCTCTGGCCGCCCGTCAGTCACGGCCTGGTGCCTTGGGGAGAAAGCAGTCCACACAGTGGCCAGAAATGAGCTTCTGCCAGGCTGAGGGCTGTTACAAGCTTGGCTTTTAGTTCAGGCCAGTTTCTAAGGCAGCACTGAGCTAGCTTAGGCCTTGGGATGCAGGGTAGGACCATTTCCCTCATCTCGGAGCTGGGACAGCTGAGCCACTGGGGCTATTGGACTTGCCCAAGGCCACCCAGGAAGTCTATGGCAGAGATGAAAAGGATTTGGGAATCCAGATGTTTCTGTTCTGACCATCAGACCCCATTTCCCTGCCAGAGCTAGGACTAGGACTCAGGAGTCCTGCTCCCAGTCCCCCTTGTCTAGCTTAACTCCACTCTCCTGACAGGGCTAGGAATAGGGCCTGACTGTCCTGGCACCTCCTCCTCCTTGCTCTAACCAAAGATAACCCTTAAGGGTAGGTAGTGAAGGACGTGGTTCCATCCTGTTTCAGCCTTACCAATGCTGGAGCCCCAAAAGGCCCAGGTAAAAATGGAGCATTAGTGGCCCTGCTGGAGACAGCCCCTCTAACGCAACGGGGAGATGGAGGCTTCAGGGACAGAAATGTTATTCTGAGAATTTGACATACAAACATGGTGCTGGAACTAGCAGTAGGCGACCAGGCTGCGTTGTGTGGGGCAGGGCTAATGTTGCCATTGTTGGCAAAGCAAAGCCATGGCCTTTGATTACATTTCCCTTGCTGGGGAGTGAGCGGGACTCTGGATTTTATCCCCTCTGTCAGGCAGTGTATCTAGTGGTTAGAGTAGTGAAACAGGTATTGGGGTTCCTGGGTCTACTCCTAGCTCAGTAGTGAAACAGGTGTTGGGGTTCCTGGGCCTACTCCTAACTCAGACATTGTCTAGTTGCCATGGTTTTTAGTGGATCTCTCTCTGTGGATCCAGTTGGCGGACTGCAGCACTCCCATTGGGAGCATCTGAAAAATCAGGCTGTTAGCCTCTGTGTGTCTGAGTTTCTCCTTCTTTACAGCAGGGGTAGTGACAGCTCTCCCCCTTGTCCCTTGCTTTGCAATCCTTAGGTGGACATGATCGCACTTTGCTGGGGAAAAGGGCAGGTCCCTGAAATCCCCACAGGTAAGGGGGTGACCTCTGCCAGTGTTTGTCCACTCACATGGGGCAGCCACCTTGCTGTGGGCTCCCCATGCACCAGGCCTGAGCAGCTGTGAGCCCCCAGTGTGGACAGGCCCAGCAGAGCAAGCAGTGGACAAATTGCATTGTATCGTGACTTTGCTTTTGTGGGCTGGGGTCTATGCTGATCCTGCTGCAGGGATGAATCCAAGGCTGTGACCCTCTCCTCACATCACCCCCTGCAACCTGGGTCTTGTCCTGTCTCTTTAAATATGCAAAGTTGCTCATCACCCAGAACAATGCAGTGCTGTTAATTCCATCCCCCCCCCCCCCCACCAAGGGAGACAGGAGAACACAGCTACCTGAGCTGGGGGGCTAGTTGGGCAATCAACCCCCCCCACCAACCTGACTCTTCTATGGATTAAACAACAACAAATGGTCTGGTAGCACTTTAAAATCTAACAAAATATGTAGATGGGATCATGAGCTTTTGTGGGCACAGCCCACTTCTTCAGATGACCATGACTTCTATGGAGTCAGAAACAGGCGGAGTGCAGAGTGGGAGTGCCCATGGTGCATGTGAGCAAGGATGGGATATGTGATGGCTCATGTCCGTGTGCTCCTAGGGACCCAACTGTCATTTGGGGTACGTGCATGATAATTAAAAAGCCCACGGCTAGCCGAGGGAAGGTTTGGGCTGATTTCTCCCTCCCTCCCCCATCTCCCAGGAATGAGGCCGGTGGTGGGGCTGGGTCCCGCTTGAGGGGAGAATCAGTCCCAGCTTTTGATCGGCTGGTCAGAGCATGGGGGAGGGAGGTTGGAGCAATGTGCTGCCCCAGGCTTCCCCAGCCCAGCATTAATTGGGACCATGAGGGATGCTTGGCCCCCCTCCCTCCCACCTGGAATAAATGTTTTCAGTCTTATGTGCCAAAATTAACTTCCCTAGGATAAACAATGGGTACCCATGTTAAAGTACAACGGTAGAAAAAATTATCTTTAAATATTTTTTCCAATATATTATTTACATAATGTTTCAAAGTTAGTCATGTATGCCACCATTGCATTTGGGAGGAGAGGGGGGAGGAAGGGGAAGGGCTTTTGAATGATATCCAGCATGAAACTGTATTATTAATTATTTTTTTTTTGGAGGACCTGGAGCTGTAATGAGTGGGCAGGAGTTCCATTTGCCATGCCTCAGAGGGTGACAACATAAACCAGGGGAGCTGACAGCTTGATGGGCCCCTGGGGAAGGTGTGGGGGGGAGGGGAGTAGGAGTCGCTTTGTGCTCCCAGACGGGGCAGGGCCTTTGGTGGAAGAGCTGGGGCTGAGGACTGCTTCCACACTTCTGAGAGTACTATCCAAAAATTACAGGGAATCTTCTGTCATTTGGGTATTCCTGAACAACTTGTGAGTGACAATGGTACACAGTTTGTCTCTCAGGAGTTTGGAAATTTTATGAAAGCAAACGGGATCCATCATATCACTTCAGCACCGTATCACACGGCCACAAATGGATTGGCTGGAAGGTTTGTCCATACAATGAAACAAGCTTTGAAATCGGTTAGAGGACATTCACTCGTACAAAAGAGTCTGGACACCTTCTTACTATCCTATAGAAACACTCCTCACGCTACAACCAAAGTGTCCCCGGCTTTTCTAATGATGGGACATCAGCTACGCACGTGCTTTGATTTGCTGAAACCTTCAGAACCACGACAAATTGTGCAACGTCAGCAGCAAGGTCAAGTTATCAGGCGTGCATCCAGAGCAAAAGACCAAACCTTTAGTCCTGGACGCTATGTTCCTAAATGGGTCCCTGCCACTATTATTGCTCAAACAGGACCTGTTTCCTATACTGTCCGGACTGCGAAAGATCTCATCTGGCGGCGGCATGTAGATCAGTTATTGACAGGTTATTCCATCTCCAGTTGAGTTGCCCGTCCTTCCCACTGCTGGTGAGCTACCGTGTCAAGAATCACCTTCTCCTGACTCTCCTCCTCCATCACCACCAGCGGCGAAGAATAACCTCCTCCCAGAGCAGGCTGATCCAACAGCCTCACCTGTTCACACTTCAAGTTCCCAGCCCAGTGTCAGGCCTGTACCCATAACATCTTCGGGTGTGAGAATGCCAGATGTCCGCCGTAATCAACGGAGGCCTCCTCAACGGCTGGACCTTTAGTTGAGATTAACTCACAGATGGGGCAAAATAATCCCCAGGGTTAGCTGGGAACTTGAAGCGTTCTACCCTCATTTCATAGTTAGTTTTTGTTTTCTTAAAGGGACATTTTTTTTAAGGGGGGAGGAATATGTTGTATATTGGGTTGTAGATATAGATCTTGTTGTTATGGTAACTGAGTAGGTCACTGGGGTCAGCCCAGCTAGTCTGGGCTTGTTCTAGTGAGTTCTGTGCTATGCAATAAAATGGACACTTGCACCTACTCCAGCTCTCTGCCTTTCCACTGATTTCTTCCTATACTCTGAAACTCCCCCGAAAGTGCACACTTATGCATGGATTCTGGGCTATTTCCTTTTAAAAATGTTTTCAAAATTCAGTATGTAATGATTATAAGCAGCTGTCACTACATTTCTGCGTACATGTCAGCTCAGCATTAAATAGATTGTAAAGACTGTAACTCTAACTCTTAACCACATGGCTGTCTAACCCTTTTTAGATACACTGTCACCACACTGAATAACTGCTAATGGAAATCTAATCCTAGCATGGCCACTTGGAAAAATGTTTGAAACCACAGTAATTTAATAACATTACACAAAGTGCACAGCCACAGCGTGACAAATTTTAACACACATTACATCCACAGAGCATAAACCTGCACATTGGAAAAAGTACCTGTGTGCGCAAAATAGGTATGTATTGTTTCCCAGTTTGCACACCAAAACATGCATTTTGTGCACATAGTTGCCTATTTGTGTGGATATTTATATGTGTATATTTTGTAGCAGCAAAGTGGGTATTTTTGAAATTGGAGCCCACCATAGAAAATCCCGCTGAGTTAAATGAAAGTCCTATACCTGGAGCACTTTTAACATTGGGTCCTCCATTTTAATGTAGATACTGTTCTGTGTTACATGCTTTTCTTTTTTACCATCTTCAAATATAATCATCTGAAAGTTTATCTTTCCATACATTTGTTCTTTCCTTTAATGTAGCCCTTCTTTTAAATACCTTGGTTTCATAATGTTCCTCTCTTTTTTGTTATGTGTCAAACCAGACAATCTTTTCATTATAACAGATTAAATGTTGGAGCTGAAGTGACTTGAAAACAAGGACAATAACAAATGAACTGTCCAGTGCAATGGTATAAAGACAAATTAAAAGAAGTTTTTGTTCGATTTGGTTTTCTACACTAGATTTTTACATAGATGCATCTTCTTACATATTTTTATTTTCTACAGTGCACAGGAAATACAAGGCCAGAGCATTGAGAGAGAGATCTTTAATGCCTGTTCAGGATTTGTTTTATTTTATGAAGAAGCATTTTTTCACATTCTCTTCTTTTCCTCCCCATCTCCCTCATCCTTTGAAGGTTGGCTCCCTGGAACAAGCAATGCTGGATGCTTTAGTGATGGACCGAGTGGACTTTGTAAAGTTGTTGATAGAGCACGGAGTGAATCTGCACCGTTTCCTTACTATCTGTCGACTAGAAGAACTCTATAATACAGTGAGTGCTTCAAACCCCATTGCAAAATAACTTCTAACTAGATGTAAAATACCTAGATAGTTAGTTATTGGATGGATAGAAAGACAAAGTACAGCTGCTCCCCAAGTTGCAAATGGTCGAGTTACGACCATTCACGCTTAGAACCAAAGCTTCCATGGAGCGGTTGTAAAGGCGGTTCCTGAATTATGAACGCGACCCATGCTTACGAACAGTGCGGTCGCGTGTAACTCAGTGGGGTCCGAGTTATGAATGGATCGAGTTACGGCCAAGTGTTTGGTCGGTAACTCATTTGTAACTTGGAGAGAAGCTGTAGCTAGAAATGGCAGGGATGGAAGGTCCCTGTTGTATAAAGTGAGTGGAAATGCTACCATTTACACTGCAATCTGTGAGACATAATATTTTATACTCTTGGGGCTCGTCTACACTGGCCCCTTTTCTGAAAGGGGCATGTTAATTTCACAGGTCGTAATAGGGAAATCCACGGGGGATTTAAATATCCCCCGCGGCATTTAAATAAAAATGTCCGCCACTTTTTTCCGGCTTTTAGAAAAGCCGGAAAAGAGCGTCTACACTGGCCCCGATCCTCCGGAAAAAAGCCCTTTTCTGGAGGATCTTTTATTCCTACTTTGAAGTAGGACTTTGAAGTAGGAATAAGAGATCCTCCGGAAAAGGGCTTTTTTCCGGAGGATCGGGGCCAGTGTAGATGCTCTTTTCCGGCTTTTCTAAAAGCCGGAAAAAAGCGTCAGACATTTTTATTTAAATGCCATGGGGGATATTTAAATCCCCCGCGGATTTCCCTATTACGACCTGTGAAATTAACATGCCCCTTTCAGAAAAGGGGCCAGTGTAGACGTAGCCTTGTTGTACTGGTGTAAACTTGTCTGAACAAGGACAGCCCAACAGACTCTCAGTTCCTATCCTGTTTGAAATAAGTGTTTGTTTTTATTAACTAACTAGCCAATTAGCCCGTCATAAAATGGGATTTTCAGGTCTCTCCCCCACGTCAGTCTTTTCTCCTGAGCCTCTGGTCTCTCTCTCTCTTTTTCTCTCTCCTCCTCCTCCTGCCTCTCTCCTCCTCCCCAGCTCTTGTCCGCCTCCTGCCTTTCTCTCTCTCTCTCTTTCTCTTCTCCTCCCCCCCCCCGCCTCTCACTCGGGGGACCGTGGAGTCCCAACGGCCGTTTGAACTCCGTACTCCCTGTGCTACACGGGGCCTGGAGCCACTGTCACGCTGCATGACACCACCCCACCTGCCTTCCCCTCCTGCCATGGCGCTTGGCTGACTTCTGCGCTGCTCAGCTGGGACGCCACAGGGGAGCAAGTGGAGCAAGCGGCCATTTGGGCCCTGCACTCCCCATGCATCATGGGCCGCCCAGAGGGAACAGCCAGCATTTCAGCGTTACAGACTCAGAGACATTGGCCTACTATATATATGATGCTGAATTCAGAAGCACAACCTCTTTGAAAATTTAGCTCATAGGACCTGGCTCTCTGCTGCTCCATCCTTTGCATAGCCAGTTACGTCCAGACAAAGTAGGCCTATAAAGCTGCCAGATCAGAATATAAGGTATAAGTGGCTACAGAAAGTGCAAGCATGTAAATATCACAGATGCATGTCTAGTCTCCTGCAGCGCTGTCATCTTGCAATATGGGGTCCATAAAGATGTTTTAAAAAGTATTGCACCTAAATAATATCAACTAATTTAGTGCTTCCTAGGCCAAGACTAATTTTGCAACTACCATATGGAGAGATTTTTTTTCCAAAATAGCAAGAAGCTGGCTCACTTATATTAAATTTTCATTTGTATTTGAAATCCCACAAATATAGCCATTTTCTTCACCAGTTCCAGAAGGGCAGCCTATTTTACATCTCCTGTCATTTTATGAAATTGGTCACAAATCTGAGGAACTATGGCTTGTACTGAGTTGTATTACAATCTGTGGTACTGTTGGAGTAAGGTACAGGTTGAACATCTCTGGTCCAACAACAGCTGTGGTCCAGCATGATTTTAGATAGCCAGATGTCCACTTCTCATGGGTCAGGCTAAGTTTCCTGTGTCTCATAAAGTTTGTTTATAGCCATCAGTCCTGGTCCTCAGTGTTCTGTGTTGTTATTTAGCGCTAATTTACTCCTAAATGTCTTCTAAGAGCCCAGTAGGCAGAGGAAATGATGGTAATGCTGCTAGAATAACATTGACCTCCCGTGGTTCTCTGGTTCAGCAAATTCTCTGGTTCAGCATTCATCAGGTCCAAAGAGTGCCAGACTAGACTGGTTAAAATGAGGTATATCTAGTCTACAGAGTTTTTCTGGGATACCGGAGGTATCGTGAGAGATGCGTTTAGATTTTTATCTATGCTAGTAAATATTCTGCATATTAAACATTGTCATACAATTGAATTGAGAAAACATTTAGTTTCTTCTTAGGAGAGGCCCAGGACTGTGATAAGTTGCCAGGTGCAGTTTTGGATTAAAAGGCATTTGTACAACTGTGCAGGAATAAATACATAAATAAATAAATACCAAGGAACGTGTCTGCTTTTTCGAAAAAAATGTCAGAAAAGCATACGTGTTTTTCGGCAACCCTGTAAACCTCGTTTTATGAGGAAGAAGGAGTGTTCGAAAAGAAGGGTTTTTTTCTGACATTTGGCCCCGTGTAGATGGGCCAAATGTTGGAAAAACCTCTTTCGGAAGAAAAGCAGAAAAAAGATATGCAAACTATGGTTCTCAATTTGGGTATATTTTTCTGACTTTTCTTTGTAGTGTAGACACAGCCTAAGGGAATTGCAATCCAGCCCAAAGGATTGATCATTTTATGTCCTGCTAGGATGAATCATTATACACTTGCTGAGTAGTTTCAAAGCCCTTTTTTCAATCACCAAGCCATACCCTCTGCCTAAGGGCAAAATCCACTTCTTTGTCTTGGACTCATGGGGTTGAAGGAGGGGAACTGAAAGACCTCCAGCTTCACAATGCATGCAGATTTTGAAGACCCTGCTTCTGTTTTAGTTTTCTGTGGATTAATGCAGTCTATAAGGAGGACAAAAAGAGAGATGGAATATGAAGAGGTCCTACTCAGGAGTGTGAAGGGACGGATACCCCTAAGCCCTTTCTGCACTATGCCTAGGTGGTGAAATCTATTGTAACTTGTTTTCATTCATGTCTGAATAAAAGGTACTCAGCATATTTAACAAAGGATAACAGAACACAACATGTTTTCAATTTCACAAGAAGTATTAATGCTTGAGCTGATCAAAAATGGTGAACCTGTTTGAAAAAAATTCTTTGTTACAATTTTTTAATTGAGAGAGAAAAAAAAGGATGGGTAGAGGGAGAAGAAGAAGGAGCTCCCTCAATAAAAAGTGATCTGAAAAAACAAATTACATTTTTCATTTTTGAAGAAAGGCTGTAGTTCCTCAGAAAATTGTAAATGAAAAATTTTGATTAGGTGTAACTATTATGTTATGATTTTGGGGCTGGTGATGATTGGGTCTATGTATCAGTCTTTCACTTCTGGGCAGCATGTTTCAAGCTGAATTTCATGAGAGGTTAGTTTAGATTTTTTTCTACGCTAGTGAATTTTCTGCATATTAAAAATTGTCATGCAATTGAATTGAGAAGACATTTAGTTTCTTCTTAGGAGAGGTCCAGGACTGTGATAAGTTGCCAGGTGCAGTTTTGGATTGAAAGGCATTTGTGCAGGAATAAATACTAATTATCTGGGGGAAATCTCTCACCATCTGTTTCATTGATTTTGAAATTAACACATAAACATGCACATTTGTTTATTTCTTTTTCTTTTGATTAACATGACAGAAACAAGGACCAACAAATCTACTTTTGCATCATCTTGTTCGAGATGTAAAACAGGTAATCTAAAACTGAAATTCTGGGCTTCACAGACTATCTAGTGACACAAATTGCTATCAATACTGTAGCATGTTTAGAATTAGAAATGATGGTTTAGTTATTACATTTTTATATCTACTGAATGAATTGTCTCTAGCCCATTAATTCCCCATAGCAGTTGATCTGTTGTACTGCTATGGAATGCTCTCCAGTGTTCTGTACCTTAATGGTACGGCTTACATTGACAACAGTTCAAATTCCCCTTAACTTAAATTACAAAAGTAACATTATTACCTAGCATCAAGGATTTAAGGAACTGTTGCTATAATTTTGCTACAGTTCATAATCTAAGCATTTTTTTCAGTCAAAACGATTGCTTTGTTCAATAGTGACAGCAAAATATTTTGATAGGATTTAACACACTTTCTGTATACTGCAGTGTTTAGATAGAAGAACAGAAGGTGATGGTGAATAATTATTGCTTAGAGTGGAATTAGCAACAGCCTTGAAACAGATCTAATCTGTTTCAAACTTTTGTTATATGTTGTATCTTGTGACATTGCAAACACAGGAAGGGCTGACATTGTTCTTTTTCATCTGATGGCAAGGACGAGAGATGATCAGATTTAAACTGGATTAATTTTGCTCTCTGTGCCAAGCTTATGCATCCTAGAGTAAAAGGAAGTCTTCTGACAACCTACTCACATATACCCTAGGAATTAGGTTGGATTAAGTAAGGTGCTCTATCTAACCCATAGGCTGATCAGATTTCAAGGGTAAACCAGGCCTTTAAGATCACCTCTCTTAGGCCAGGTCTACGCTATGTGAGAAATTAGATTTTAAGATGCACAACTCCAGCTACGAGAATAGCATAACTGGAATCAACATAACTTAAATTGAATTGCTCCAGAATCCCCACTGTGGGAGATCGATGGGAAAAGTTCTTCTATCAACTTCTTTACTCCTCATGACCCCGTAGAGTACTGGAGCTGACTTGGGTACTCTCAGTGTTTGGTTTAGCAGGTACTTACTAGACCTGCAAAATTGAATCGCAGGGTAAGTATAGAAAAGGCCTTAAGTAAGTAATATAAATTAATCCAGTGAGTCGCTTACTTCAAATCTTTTTTTCTCTTCCTGGATCCTATTTATCTGAGGGCCTATAGAATTTTAAAATTTTTTGAGCATGTCCAATCTAAACCTCCCCTGCTGTACTTTAAGCCCATTACTCCTTGTCCTGTCCTCAGAAACCAAGAGGAACAAATTTTCTCCTTCCTCCTTGTGACACCCTTGTAGATATTTGAAAACCACTATCATGTCCCCCCTTAATCTTCTTTTTTCCAAACTAAACAAGCCCAGTTCATGAAGCCTAGCTTCATAGGTCATGTTCTCTAAACCTTTAATCATTCTTGTCGCTCTTCTCTGTACCCTTTCCAATTTCTCCACATCTTTCTTGAAATGTGGCGCCCAGAACTGGATACAGTACTCCAGCTGAGGCCTAACTAGTGCAGAGTAGAGCGGCAGAATGACTTCACGTGTTTTGCTTACAACACACCTGTTGATACAACCTAGAATCATATTTGCTTTTTTTGCAACAGCATCACACTGTTGACTCATATTCAACTTGTGGTCCACTATGACCCCTAGATCCCTTTCCGCCATGCTGCTTCCTAGACAGTCGCTTCCCATCTTGTATGTATGGAACTGATTGTTCCTTCCTAAGTGGAGCACTTTGCATTTCTCTTTATTAAACCTCATCCTGTTTACCTCTGACCATTTCTCTAACTTGCTAAGGTCATTTTGAATTATGTCCCTATCCTCCAAAGAAGTTGCAACCCCACCCAGTTTGGTATCATCTGCAAATTTAATAAGCGTACTCTCTATCCCAATATCTACATCATTGATGAAGATATTGAACAGTACGGGTCCCAAAACAGACCCTTGCGGAACTCCACTTGTTATCCCTTTCCAGCAGGATTTAGAACCATTAACAACAACTCTCTGACTACGGTTATCCAGCCAATTATGCACCCATCTTATCGTGGCCCTATCTAAGTTATATTTGCCTAGTTTATCAATAAGAATATCATGCGAGACCATATCAAATGCCTTACTAAAGTCTAGGTATATGACTTGTATATGGTTATAACTGGAGTTGTCAGAAACCAGCGTAATAAAGTTCAGAGACTGGAATGAGGTTGGGAACAGGACACAGTTGATGCCAGGAATTAGGGACAAGGCCAGGATTCAGGTAGTGGATGGTAGTAGCTACAATGTAGAATTCACTTTGTATACAAACAACTGCCTAAGTTTCCTTCTGGATTAAATAGTCCAGTTGAATCAATTAGGGACTCTGGAGCTCCTCCAATCAGCTCCTTATGGGTGGTATCTTTAGTTAAGAGTAAGGTTTAGGGGTCCCAATTCTTCAGTCATAAGTAGAGCCATCAGTCGGTGGTGTGAATGTAGCAGCGGCCCACTCACTGGGGTCAGGGCTTCACACTGGATATGTAGGTTACCATAAACAATGGCATTATAAAATGTTGAAAGTGTTTGTCTTACAGAGCACCCTTCCTTTGGATTATAAGATATCATTGATTGATATCGGGCTGGTGATAGAAAATCTGATTGGTGGAGCTTATCGAAGCAGCTACACAAGGAAACATTTCAGAATTCTGTACAACAGTCTTTACAGAAAACGCAAGGTAATGTTAGCGTAATGGCAATTCATGTCATTGGGAATTACCAAAATATAACACTCATGCTTGTCTAATAAGAATTATAACGCTTTTCACTTCAAGTGTGGTTTTATTCTAAAAAGTAACGGCTAAAATGGCATTAATAGTAAAATGGCATTTGATCTATTTCACTAATTTCCATATCAATCTTAAGAACATAAGAATGGCCATACTGGGACAGACCAAATGTCTATCTAGCCCATCTATCCTGTCTTCCGGTAGTTACCAATGCCAGATACCCCAGAGGGAGTGAACAGAACAGGTAATCATCAAGTGATGCCTCTCCTATCATCCATTTCCAGTCTCTGACAAACAAGGGCTAGAGACATCATTCCTACCCATCCTGGTTAATACGTATTGATGGACCTAACCTCCATGAATTTATCTAGTTCTTTTTTGAACCTTGTTAAAGTCCTTGTCTTCATAATATCCTCTGGCAAGGAGTGTCACAAGTAGGCTATGTTCTGTATAAGAAAAACTTCATTTTGTTTGCTTTAAATCTGCACCTATTAATTTCATTTGGCGACCCCTAGTACTTATGTTATGGGAACAAGTAAATAACTTTTCCTCATTTACTTTCTCCATACCCGACATGATTTTATAGACCTCTATCATATCCTTCCTTAGTCACCTCTTTTTTTTAAGCTGAAATTCCCAGTCTTTTTAATCTCTCTTCATAAGCACCCATTTCAAACCCCTAATCATTTTTTGTTGCCCTTTTCTGAAACTTTTCCAGTGTGATATATCTCTTTTGAGATGAGGCGACTACATCTGTATGCAGTATTCAAGATGTGGGCATACCATGCTTTTATATAGAGGCAATAAGACGTTCTCTCTCTTATTTTCTATCTCTTTTTTTTAACGATTCCTAACTTCATTTTTGCTTTTTTTGCTTGCCACTGCACATTGAGTAGGTGTTTTCAGAGAACCATTCACAAGGACTCCAACATCTCTCTCTTGAGTGATTATAGCTAAATTAGTCCCTATCATTTTGTATGTATAGTTGTGATTGTTTTTTCCAATGTGCATTACTTTGCATTTATCAATATTAAAATTAATTTGCCATTTTGTTGCCCTATCATGGAGTCCTACGGCCCAAGCACAAGAGTTCTAGTGGAGCCCTGGTGTGCAGCTCCCGGGAGCAAAGCTGGGACCTCAGCCAAGAGTAAAGGGGCCAGCACTGGCTCCCCTGATCCAGCAAATTCCCTGGTTCAGGACTGGTCAGGCCCCAAAGGTGCTGGGCCAGGGATATTTAATCTGTATAACTCTGACTACACCAAAAAAAAAAAATAGATTGACTAAGAAGGTGCCTTTTTTTCCATGCTCAGTTTTCAGAATAGAACTTTAGGAGCAGTACTGCCAAACTCCCACTGCATTGCCATCAGAATTAATGGAAAAGCTAAAACTGGTATGAGGAAATTAGAGGAAAACTATAGAATACAATTATAGAATGAATGGGAAAAGATAGTTACCCAATTAATTTAATTAATAAAAAATATTGGAAGTGCTGGCTGACTACAAAACATCAATTTTCAGTACCTGGAGCACTCAAATATTACAAGTTTTTAATAGAGTTAAGTGGAACCAGATCTTCAAAAAAACCCAAACAAACATAGGAGCTGATGGAAATGGTATTAACAATTCACTTGGGTGGTCATCTTGCCTTGGAATAATTTTGAATGAAATCCCCAGAGATGGTACAGGTTGTACCTCCCTAATTCAGCATCTTCCAAACCAGGGAATCTTCTGTACCAGGAGAGCTTCTGCTGCCATTGGCTATGGGGCTCTGCTCTGGCACAGCAGAGGGGCTGACATTGAGTGAGTGAGTGAGGACTAGGAGGCTTTCGGGGGGAAGGGGGTAGGAGGGAAAGGGAGGGTAGCTGTAGAACCCCCAACCAGGGGCCAGGAGCGTGGTCCTGAAAGAGTACACCAAGCCCACGGCCACCAGGCTATGCCCTCAACCCTCACCACTGGCCATGGGGCTGTGCTCTTGGCTGCTAACTACGGGGCTCCACAGCACCCTGCCTCTTCTCCCAAGTATCCTGCAATCCCTGCTCAGTCAGTGGTGGCCTCTCTGCTGCTGCCAGCTGTGGGGCCCGCTTTGGTGGCAGCAGAGGGGCCAGCATTGACCAAGCAGGGACTGAGGAGTCGCTCGGGGGGAGAGTTGGTGGATCCAGAGCCCCAGGAGCACAGCCCTGCAGGAGCACACTGAACTCCACAGCAGCCAGGTTGCACTTTTAGCCCTACTGCCACCTGCAGAGCAGCCCTTTGGCCTGGACCAAGGGGTTTCTGCAGTCACCCTGCCTCTTCCCCGCAGTGTTCCCCATCTCCTGTCCTCCTTCTCTCTTCCTCCTTGAGCTTGAGCGCTGCAAATGAGCTATTTGCAATGCTCCAGAAGCTCTGGGAGGGTGGGGGGAAGAGTTGCTGAGCACGGGACTAGCTTTTCCCTGTAAATGCTCCCGCCCGGAAGGCTGACAGAATTGCTGGGTGCCTACGGTAGGTGTTTGTGCGGGTCCCAGCTATGTGCTCCCATAAGGGGTGGGGCCTTGAGCAGAAGGGCCAGGCAGCCTTCAGTGCCACCCAGACCATGCCGTGCCCCCTCCACCAGCGTTTAGCACCTCCCAGAGGAGATTTAAATGGCCTGAGTTTCCAGTCGATGCTGATGCTATTGTAGCAGCGGTGGCATCTAGGCACCTCAGGCCTTTTTGAATCACCGGGCCCCCGGGCAGTTACCCTCCTTACCCCCCTCCCTCTGCCAGCAGGCCTGGCTCCATCTCAGGAGTACCCATGGGAATGCTGGACCATGGAGAGTTCCAGACTACAGAAGTCCAGACCACAGAGCTCAAATCTGTAGAGACATTTCCTGTCCAAAGGAATGTAAATAGGAGGTCCTATCAAATAGAGGTTCTTACATACATTATGGGTATTATCAACAAGAGTTCTGAGCAAATTCCAGCTTGGGTGTATTCTCTTAGAGTAAGATGAGAAAGAGGTCATTTTTCTTTGTTGTCATAGTTTCTAGAAACTCCCCAGTAATTATTAAGCTGGCGGGTAGATCACCAAGAGGAGCAACTTTAATCCCTAATTTGTATTTCTCTCTTTGTGTTCGGTGGGATGTCTTTGGAACCAGAGCGTGGTCTCCAGCTTTGCTCAGAGCCTTTCTCGTCACTCCTTTTGCCATAATAACCAGATGGGTAGCAGAGTTGGATCTGCTGAAAACACCTTGCATTCTCAGTTCATCAGAACAGCACAGCCATACAAATACAAGGTACTGTCATTGCTTGCTTGTGCTGGGAATTTGTTAGGGGTACAATAGATGGAAAAATAGATCAGTTTGTCAAGACAGTTATTGTAGACATGTGAGAGGCAGGCTAGGTGCTTGTCAAGCTTAACTCTCCCTAAACACCAGGTTGTATTGCACACAGCTCAAGAAGTACATTACTGCTCTTTTACAATACCAAGGTAAATCTCCAGTTGTTTCAATGAAACTCATCAACTTCCATCCCTCTGCTAATAAGGGCTTTTATCCTTTGAAATATCACATTGCCGAAATCTAGTATGAGGCACAGATGAAAAACTCTCTTATTTGGATGCAGGAGTAGGCATTCATTGCTCCAAACCTCTCAGAAACTTTTGTGTAAGTGGTAATAATGATCCCCTTGAGAAAAGAGCCGATCTTGTAAATTGCAAGCAGATGGCCAAATATTTTCTCGTGAAAGTAACTATGCCAGGTACAAATAACAAAGAATAATGTTTTTCTCTCAGGTAACTGAACATAAAACTAGAATCCTCCCTCTCCCCCCTCCCCAGGTCAGATTGGTAGAAAATTTGGACATTTTCACCTTCTTCTTCAGCATGGGGTCCTGAGTCACTTGCTGGTATGAACAAGAGTAGACGGTGGAGTCTCTGTAACTGGAAGTCTTTAAATCATGATTTGAGGATTTCAGAAACCAAGCCAGAGATGATGGGGGTACTTGAGATGTGGATGAGATTCTGTGGTCTGTTATGTGCAGGTCATACTAGATGATCATGATGGTCTCATCTGGTGTTAAAGTAATTGAGTCCATGGGACTTCACAAACTGCCCCCAGTAATTCTAGTGAACCTCATCAGGGAGCAGTTATTCATCAGAGTAGTGTCATGGAAGCCAACAGGAATTTCCCCCCAACTTGAATGTGCAACAGTTCAAGCTGAAACGCACCACACCACAAATATACAACTTACTGTAAATGTGATACACACATTAAAAATGATTTGATTTTTGCTAGTCCATTTTCTTCCATCAGTGAGACTAGCTAGTGACAAGTAAACTAGCGCACTAGCAAAATTAGGTTAATGAAATCAGTAGGAGTAGAGGAGCTGAACATCAGGATCAGGATCTAAAAGCTGGGACACAGCTTCAGAATTTTGAAATTACACTGAATACCTCAGTGCACTTTGTACTTTTGTTGATAAAAGCAGTTACTTACCTTCATAGTCTAAATATTATCTTAGCCATTCTTCTAGTGTTCATCTATATAATGGCTGAGGACCAATCAAATTGCTAATGCATTACATGGATTTAAAGGATGCGGCAACTTGCTCTGATTTTTTCTGCTATTTTACAGGAAAAGACAACTGCTTTTCATAAGTCTAGGAAGAAGTCAAAAGATGAACTCAGTTTCTTAGAGGACCACGAGTCAGCTGGCTTTGTGTACCCCTATAATGACCTCTTGGTTTGGGCAGTGTTAATGAAAAGACAGAAGATGGCAATGTTCTTCTGGCAGCATGGAGAAGAAGCCATGATCAAGGCAGTCGTGGCTTGCAAACTCTACAGAGCAATGGCACGTGAAGCCAAACAGAGCAACATGGTGGATGACACCTCAGAAGAACTGAAGAAGTACTCAGAGTAGGAGTTCTCCCTTTTCTACAATTAATAAAAATCTACAGTGTTTAGAGTAGTTAGAGCCAGTGGTTTCCAACCTTTTTAAGCACGAGATCATGTTTTGAATTTATGTCAATCCAGGATCTACCTCAAACCCAAATACCCTTGCTCTGCCTCCTTCCCTGAGGCCCTGCACCTACACCACCCCTTCTCTGAGGCCCCACCATGCTCACTCTGTGTAGATAGGAGACATGGAAACATTGACTTTCGTGCCCCCTTCCTCCACTTCTTCCACCTTGCACAGCAAGCAGGGCAGGGTGGAAGAAAGGCAGGACAGGAGCAGCCCAGCAATGTGGGGAGAGGCAGCTGAAGACAGCCTCCCAACCAAACCAGTCAGGATCACTTATCAGAGGCTCCAGGAACTACCAGTAGATCTTGATCTACTGGTTGGTGACCACTGAGGTCGTGTTTGAGGCATAAGGATCTTGCACAAAAAGGAAACATCCACACTGCTTGTTTTTGCTCAAAAACTCCTAGCGCAAAAACGGATTGGAAGAGAGTATGCAAATGAAGTGCGAGAAGATGCTAATCTGTGCTTCGTTTGCATAGGCTCTTGAAGCAAAACTCGTAGTGTAGACATAGCCTGAATGAGACATTCTTCTTTCCATCAGCTAACCTATAAGATTAGTGGCAGTGTGTGCTGTGAAATATACAAGAAGCACTTTTTGCTACCTGCTCAGGTTAATATACAAAGAACACACAGAAAGGCCTGTCTACATGTGAATTTAAAGGAGTGTTGTAGGCATATATTAGCTAACTAGCAGGTGTGAAATATCTAAAGTTGAAAAGGACAATTGTCTGTAGCATCAAGCTAAACTGGTGAAATTAAAGCCTACACTGCCCTTTAGGATTTAACTTTACCAGTTTAGCATGCATTAAGGCCATATGCCATGTCTACATAAGGCTTTTCTGTCTATCTGTCAAAGAACTCTTCCTAAATAGTAATAGCTTGGACCACCAAATTTGGTATGCAGCTGCCATAATTTAAAGTAACATAAGGGTTTGGTTGTGCAAGGAAAATGGGATGTGCCTGTAATGGGATTGCTTCTCATAAAACCATCCAGAAAAGAGACAGAATCACAGGCAGGTAAAAGAGGCTGGCTGGGGGCACCTCCTCTGCTGGGACTGCCCCAGCCCTCAGCCTCCCATCCTGCCCCCCGGCACTTTTTAGGGAGGGCAGAGGGGAGGCTGACACTCTCCCACAATTCATACGGGAACATTATGGGCTGTAGCCTTCCCTCAGGACGCAAAGGGAAAGTGCACAGTTTGCTGCATTCCTCTTTCAGGTTGTGGAGCACAGGGGGAGATGAACCTAGACCTGCCCTAACTGGGGCACATGCACCCATTCCCCATCTGTGCCTGCTGGAGCTGCAGCAGCCATGGAGAAGTGCTTCTCACCTGGCTCTAAGCTGCTTTGATGAGAGAGGGTGGGGCTCTCCCCAGGGCAGCCTGCATGCTGACCCGTCAACCCCACCCCAGAGTAATGATTTCAATGAAGATATTTTATATTTCATTTTATTTTCCATGAAACAAACATTGAATTACAGATCTGAGCAACACTGGGTAAATCTTCTAATAGTGTGTGTGTGTTACTTATCATGTACTAATATCCCACCTTAAATCCTAGTCTCTGTAAGGCTGAAGGGAGAAAAGTGTTGATATCATAGTGGAAAGAATCAAAGAAGTTACTTTGTAGAATAGTCCAAGCGATTTTATTGTGTCCTTCAATTTTTAAATTTTAGTTTCACTCTTTGAATAACTATTGAACATTCAGTATTTAGGTTTCTGTGTCATGAAATCAGGAAATGTACAACTGCTCCCTTATCAGGCGGTGCACCTTGAAGTTTATTGATGTAATGTACTGTACTTTCAGAGCCATAATGGAGCAGATTCAGAGCTCAAGGACAAAGTATCTTTGTTTACATGCAATTATAGGGCTCTGTTTAAAGCAAAGTTTATTCATTAAGGTGCTAAGCATCTTCAAACTCCAATTGAAAAGTACTCAGGATTAAACTCAGTCTAAGGCTGCTTATACAGGGTGCCTCTCTACTGTGCTGGCAAGTGCATTACTGCATGAAATAATAGGCTGAACTCTATGGCATGTGTGTGAAATCACCCAATGAGGATAATTAAAGGTCAGGGACCAGGAATGTATAGTAAGACCTGTGGTTAACAGGAGAGATTTAGGAGCATAAGCTTTCATGGGCAAAGACCCACTTCGTCAGATGCATGTCAACATGCATCTGACGAAGTGGGTCTTTGCCCATAAGGTGCCACAGGACTCCTTGCCGCTTTTACAGATTCAGACTAACACAGCTACCCCTCTGATAGGAGAGATTTAGCTTTACTGCCCAAATTACTTGTAATCTGGGTGCAGTGCTGAGACCGTGTGAAGAGATGGGGAAGTCATAGTTAATACAATTTTGTATCTTGCCATATATGAAAGAAGCTTCTGAATTAGAGACATGACCCATGATCGTTTTCAGGGGTGATTGTTCCTCCTTACTGCAAAAGAGTGATTTTGTTTTTCTGTGTTGCTCTGTCTGTCCTAGTGAATTTGGACAGCTTGCTTTAGATGTGCTGGATAAGGCATTCAAACAGAATGAGCAGATGGCCATGAAACTACTGACCTATGAGCTGAAAAACTGGAGCAACTCAACTTGCCTGAAACTGGCCGTGTCAGTGGGGCTGCGGCCCTTTGTGTCGCACACTTGCACACAGATGTTACTAACTGATATGTGGATGGGACGCCTGAAGATGCGGAAGAACTCCTGGTTTAAGGTAAACTCACAGTAGTGCCACATCTAAACCTGAAGAGGAAGCTTATGCTGAAGCATATGCTGCCCTTACACATAGCTAGGTTTTGCCCTCATTTAATGCTGACACAAGTAGCCCATTAAAGCCAGCATGCATGCTGAATGCACCTCCTTAGACTTGTGTTTCTCTTTTAGGTCATTCTAAGTATTCTTCTGCCTCCTACCATCTTGATGCTGGAATTTAAAAGCAAGGCAGAAATGTCTCATGTGCCGCAGCTCCAGGACTTTCATCAGTTCACATGGCATCACAGTGATCAGAGCCCATCCACTACTAAAGATGAGTTTTCTCTGGTTAGTTTGGCATCGCCTTTACCATTTATTATTTTCACATAACAGGGATAACATCTGGGGTGGTAGTTGTCCATTGAAAACTTTTTGTCTTAAAATGTTGCAATGGTTAGAAAACTTCGGCCAGGTCTATTCTAAATCCGGCAGGTTGGCTTAAGGTACACAGTTTGAGCTATGTAAATAATGTAGCGGGAGTTGACATATCTTAAGCTGAGCTCAGCACTATCTCCACAGTGGAAGACTGATGGGAGAAATATTCCTGTTGACTTTCCTTACTCCTGACAGCAAGGAGTACTAGTACTGACAAGGGTGCTCTCTGCATTCGATTTAATGGGTCTTTACTAGACCCACTAAATTGAACTCTGGAAAAATCAATCGTCAGATTGTATATCCTCTGGTAAGTGGAGACACGGCCTTAGATTTTAAAAAAATATTACCATCTCCTTACTTGATTATTCTTCAACTAGCCTCATTGAAAACACTGGGATTATTTGTTGTTAAGATACTATTCATTATAAGTAAATTTGACACAGTGTGACTTTTAATATAATCACCAAACTCATGCACACTGGTGTCACAGTGGGATCATAGAAATACAGGGCTGGAAGGGACATTGAGAGGCCATCTAGCCTGCACCGTGGTCAGAGACCTTGACAGGTGTTTGCCCAACTCCAAGGACAGACAACCTGGATTGGAAGCCTGTTCCTGAGTTTAGAGTTTAAAAGATTTTCCACACACTCATCTCCCCGACATGTCCCCTTAAGCAGAGTATGGATCAGAGAGGATAAGGCATGGATGTGAGTTTAGCAGAGGGGAGGGGGCATATGTCCAGGTGATTTCAGTTTTGGAATTTATTCCCCAAAAACTCTTCCCAGTCTTGAAATGAGCTTTAACATTTTCAGACTTTATCCACATTGTACAATAACTTTGGGCATGTGGTGGGAGGATACTAGCAGAGAACTGGTATCTCAACACACTGGAATAGACTCATAGACTTTAAGGTCAGAAGGGACCATTATGATCATCTAGCCTGACCCCCTGCACAGTACAGGCCACAGAATCTCACCCCCCCCTCCTAGAATAATCCTCTCACCTATATCTCAGATATTGAAGCCGTCAAATACTTTGAAGACCACAAGATGCAGAGAATCCTCCAGCTGTGATCTGTACCCCATGCTCCAGAGGAAGGCGAAAAACCTCCAGGGTCTCTGCCAATCTACCCTGGAGGAAAATTCCTTCCCGACCCCAAATATGGTGATCAGCTAAACCCTGAGCATGTGGGCAAGACTCACCAGCCAGACACTCAGAAAGTTCTCTATAGTAACTCCTATCATCTCTCCATTGACCTATTTCCCACTGATAATGAATGATCAATTAGTTACCAAGATCATGTTATCTCATCAAACTATTCCCTTCATAAACCCATCTAGCTTAATCTTGAAACCAGATAGATCTTTTGCCCCCACTACTTCCCTTGGAAGGCCGTTCCAGAACTTCACTCCTCTAATGGTTAGAAACCTTCATCTAATGAAAGGTGCTGCATGGCTAGCTGGTGCTGGAGTGGGATTTACAAGCTATTAAACAAGTAGGCAATTTTAAATCAGGTTACCCCTTCCCACACCATGGCAGGGCCCAGCTTTTGGTGAGTCTGGCATAATCTGTTAAAACAATATGTATATATTCATTGAAAAATTTGGAAGGTTTAGCTATTGGTTGGGGCATTGGTCTGGAACTCAGGAGACATGGGTACTAGTAGAAACTTAGGCACACACTTCTTATGTGACCTTGGTCAAAGCACTGAATGTATCTTGTGTATCACTTCACCATCTGCAGTACTAAGGTAATACCACCTTACATCACAGCAGTATTGTGAGAATAAGATCCTTCAATGATTGTGAGATGGTTAGGGTGTTTATATGCTGAGAATAGCTATATAAGAATATAGATAAATAAAATGTATGTATATTTAAATCGCTAATGTGTGTGTGTTTCACACAGATAAAGATATTAGAAGAACATTGTTGAAGTCAAGTGCTCAAAAGTTAGGAAATACCATTGTTAAGGTTGCCTGTGCAACTTTAATTTTGTCTGCTTATGCAACTGCATCACAATACAGGCTGTAATTACATGACCTCCTTCAGTCTCAGTTTCCTGCCTTCTACCTATGACTCCTTGTTTTTCATCCCCCATTTCCTTCCCTGCTCACAATCCAAGTATCTTTGCCGAGTGAGTCCCAATCTTTCCCAACCTACTTGTACCAATCTGCTCTCTTTACAGGCCTTGTTGAATCAGGGAACATCTTCCTCCACACTTCCACAGCCTGGCAGGGATTGAATGATTGACAGCACAGCAGAGACAGTCTTTCTTCCTTTAGGTGCTCTGATCCAGCACATTTCACAGCAGCCCAAAGCTGCAAATGGAAGAAAATCCTGTGGCTGTAGCATGCCCAGTGTGAACAGACTCTTCAGGAAATTTTGCTGTGATAAATCTAGGAAGTTGCTACTGAGCACATGTTTATAATTTCGCCACATTTAGGCAGTTTTTCACAGGGGCAGTGAAAGTCATATCCTTGGCACAAAGACCATCTCCAGCCAAATTTCAAATTTCTGCTCCAATGCATGGGAGTCTTAGAGTACTTCTACACTGCGGGCTAAAGTCAAATTAACTTCAGCTATGTTAATTGTGTAGCTGAAGTTGAAATAGCTTAACTCAGTTTTTGGCACGGTCTACACTGCAGGAAGTCAAAGGAAGAACACTCTTCCTTCGACTTCCCTTACTCCTCACCAAAGCAGGGTTACCAGCATCAACCCAAGTGCCCTCCTCACTTTGAATTAGCGGTCTTAATTGGACCACTAATTTGAATCCTGGAAGATCAACAGTGGCAGCTCAATCTTCTTCTGTAGAGTAGACATACCCTTAAAGTCAGTTAATCTGATCAAGGACTCTAACAATATCAAAGAAAATATTACCAGTTTTTTTATCATTGGTAATTCCCCCCCCCCCACCTTATTTTTTGAAATGGCTGAACCATTTTGCCTGAAAATTTCCAGAATATTCCAGCTTGAAGCAGGTATCTCACATGGAACATTTTCAGGTTTGGCAAAATGAAAATCAACTTATAATCAGAAGTTATTAAGGCAACCTTGCTACTAGCCTTACCTATAATAAATACAAATAAATAAAAGTTTGGGACAGTTCTTTCACAATTAACTTTCAATTTTTCTAAAATAAAATAAATTTCTCCAGAACTTCCTTAGAAACACAATAGACATGGCAATGCCAATTCTGAAGTGTTTCTCTCTGAGGCAGAAGAATGCTAGATGCGCTTGTGGCCTGTAGTGTCTGACTAATACAGTAAATTCAAAAAGGCCTTTTATAAGATAGATAACAGCTAGGATACAGAAGTAAGGCCAATTCTAATTATGGGCAGCCAGGACCCCTTGCAGGTATGTAAGAGGACAAAGTACAATGAATGTTATCTGATCTGTATGAGACAGGATGGTGGCTTCCTTTCTAGAGTAGCATATTGTTAGCTTAATAATTTATCAAGGTTTGAGTGTTCATTCTTTTCCCATAAACTATAAAAATTAGCTATGAATTTTCTGGAAGTGAGTTGAGATGAACAACAGTATATAAAAGCTACAGAAGTGTTCCAGGATATATAGATTCAGTACTAGTGTGTTTTTCACATGTGGTTGTAAATTATACTTCAGCCTGCTGAAACTAGAAATTATATCCTCTAGTGGGACAGTTTTCTCTTCTGTTGGCAGAAGCCATTATTAAGACTTTTAAGAAAATTGTATGGGTTGTGTCTAAACTGCACAATGCCATCAGTAGCCCTGAGAAGCATTGCACTTCTGAGATAACCCTGTATGTCACAATTCCTCCCCTGCTTCATTCTTGTACTGCAGATGGTGAGTAGTAAAATATCAATGGCCAATACCAAGAGCAAATTATGACTTCCTTCCTGTGCCAGCTCATCTGCACTGGTTAGTGAATGGAGGGCTTTGTCTATTGTTCCTTGGAAATAGCAAAGTAAACACCAAGGCTACGTCTATACTGCAATGCTATTTCGAGAGGCCAGAGTATCCTGAAATAGCTATCCTGTGTCTTCACAGCAAGCCTGTTATTTCGGGCTCGCTATTCTGACATCCCTATAAACCTCATCCTACAAGGAGTAAGGGACATTTCGGAATAGTGCTTTATTTCAAAATTTGGCACTGTGTAGACAGCACCAAATGACAAAATAAGCCATTTTGAAATAGCATCAAAATAAGATATGCAATTTGCGTAGCTTAAATTGTGTATCCTATTTCGAGTTACAGTGCTGTTTAGATGTACCTCAAAATGCCTGTGTGCCCAGAAGCATGTAAGAGTAGTGCTGACTCACTCATAATCCCTTAATTAGACACATCATCCAAATCACAATAAATCCCTTAAGATAACAATTTCACAGTCCTTTAGTTTTTCTTTCTATAACAAATTTTCTAAGAACAGTGCTTACCCATTTCAACCAGAAAGGACACTGTCTCAACGACTTAATTACCTGCATCCTGCTTCAAAGACCTTTTAAATCTGCACTTGAAAGGGAATCCTCTGAACTGTCATTCATGCTAAAATTCAACACTTTACGCATGGGTCTCAACAAACACTCTAGTTATCTTACCCATTACAAAGATAGCTTCCCCAATTATCACCTCTAATATCATTAGCTCACAGACATTTACCTTCCCCCCTCCCCCGCATCCCCCTTCTGTTCTGAAATTTGATTTGTCCTTTTCATATGTGTTCATTTTTTAAAATTGTATCCTTTGGTATATATGGTTGTGATTATTTTCTTCCACTATTTGATCTTAGGAAGTGGGTCTGGCCCACGAAAGCTCATCATCTTGTTAGTCTTTAAAGTGCTACATAGTCCTGTCTTTTGCTTCAGCTACACCAGACTAAGACGGCTACATTTCTACCACAGTGCTTACCAGTGTAATGTCTGGTGAACATCACAGTGATTTTATGTGAACATCAGTGGTTTTATAGTCACTGCATTTTTTTTCAGATTTAGAATGATTGCTATCCCCATTTCACCTATTGGGTGAGGTACAAAACTATTTAGGGACTTGCTCAAGGTCCCACAGGAAGTCTGTGTCAAAGCTGGAAATAGATCCAGATCTCCTTATTCTCAACCCAGTCCTTAACTGTAAGACCATCCTTTTGAAACTCAAAAGAATCTTATGTATTTACAGAGAAGTGTGGTGCTAAGAATATTATTTGGTGTTGCTTTTTGCAAAAGACAGTTGTAACTGCGACATGCTAATTGTTTCTGCATGTACCACACAATGTTTACTGCAGAGTTGCCTTTCCAAATTTTACCCATGTTTCTGCTAATGTACCGAATTGTTATATTTGTATAGCCTGTTGTCTGACTTGAAAACTGTTTCCTTTTGGAAAAGAATTATGATGCAGAAAAGGGACCCGAGAAGCCAGACAAAAGCCAGACCTTTTCCATCAACAGTGGACATGGAAGCCTTCCTGGGATTAGAAAAGTCTATGAATTCTACAGTGCTCCAATTGTCAAGTTCTGGTTTCATACGGTTAGTCATTGAAATAAGATTAACTAGATATTAATATTGTTGAAAGCATCTGTTAAACCTTTAAAGGAAGAAAGAGAGAGAGAGAGAGATAATGACTTCACCTACCACTGAAATGCAGCCACTTTTAGGGTGGCCAAAAAGGCCACTGCCTCCATTTTTCATCCTCACAATTTAATTGTAGGTGCAATTCTCGCTCTGGAGAACCAGTAGGATGAGCTCATAACTTTGGCTTGACTTCAGTGGGGCTCTGACCAGGTGCAACATTTTGCCTGAACATTGTAAATTGCAGCCTTCGTGTTTTTTGAATATGTGCTGCATATGCCCCAGAAAATTTTTTACCATGTTTTCTGTTTTGACAATAAATCAGTGGGATTTTTTTTAAAGATGTAGCCGAAGCAGAGACTCTCAAAATATGGTTGGGGAAGGAGTAAAATGAAGCGTAGTGGGGGGGGGGCATCTCTCACTTCAACCCCGTCCTGGACATAGATCTGTGCATGGGAGACAACCCACCCATGCACCTTGGGGCAGTTGAACCTTGGCAATGCCTTTCTTTCCCTCACCAGGTTGCCTTGGGGGACAACTGCAGAGAGCAGCTGTCTGGAAATACCAGCTTGTAGGAACAGAAGCAGCCTAAGTCAGGACCCCCTGGACATACCAGTCTGTACCATATTCCCTAACTTTCTTTCCTCTGTGCTGATTATCTGTTTGCTCTGACCTTTCTCTTCCCTCATAGGCTATGTCTACATCTGGAGCTAGCCTGTGTAGACACAAGCTAGTGTGCTAAAAATATCTGTGGTAGCCCCAGTAGCACAGGCAGCGGTGAGGGGACAGCATGGACTAGCCACCCATTGCATTTGTATGGCAGCTTCACTATTGTTAGTGTGCCAGCTCAATGAGACCTTGTATGAGTGTTTCTTCCTGTTCTCTAGCTGGCAATCACACCCCCAGCTTCAAGTGTAGGTGTAACCACAGTCTTGTTACCTCAGCTTCACTCCAAAACTGCCCTCACCCCGACCAGTTCCCTTTCCCCTTCACTTTTCTATCCATGTAGCTGATCCTCTTCCAACTAATTCTCCTCCCCCGCTATACCAAAAAAAAAAAAAAAAGAGAGGACTAACATGACAGTTGCTGCCATCCCATTGTTCACTCCTTCCCTTGCTCTGTGTCTATTTGGCTTGTTTAGACAGTATCAACCCATTATTTCCTTGTATTTTCCCATCAGTCTGCCTGTACCCATCTGTTGTCTCTTCTCTTATACTAGGATTCTAAGCTTTTTTGGGGTAGGGACTGTCTTTTTTTTCTGTTTATACAACACTTAACTGTATCGGGGTCCATGTTCATGAATGGAGTTCTAGCAGCAATGGTCATACAGATAATAAAAACAAATGATGTTTAAGCTCTGGCGGACATTTTCTGAAAGGGACATAGCAATCTAAAGGGCTGACAGGAAATTTTTGGACTGAAGCTCTTAATAGTATCCCATTAATGTGACAAAATTTTGTTTAATTGAATAGTGCACTTGTTTTTCCCCTTTCTAGTAAGTTTCTAATTTCTTTGTCACAGCTGCCAATGCATATAGAATGTGTATTATGTGTTCTGCAGATGGCGTACTTGGCATTTCTCATGCTCTTCACCTACACTGTGTTGGTCAAAATGGAATCCAGGCCTAGTGTGCAAGAGTGGCTTGTAATAATCTACATTTTCACGACTGCCATGGAAAAAATCAGGGAGGTGAGCTCTTCCTTTTCCACTTTCTCTACTCTACATTTCTAGAAGACAAATTATAAATAATGGCTGCAGATTCTTAAATTCTGTTCCAAGGGATCCACGAGAAGAAATATGCATGACCTTTACTTTTCAGTGGTCCTAGTTAATTAAAAACTAAGGACTGTTTTTCTAAGGGAAGGTGCCTAATCTTTGTTTCCTAAATCCTTGTTTAGGAATCTAAGCCAGTAGGAGCAATAATGGGGCAAGAAACAGTTTTCTTGCTTCTCAAATATTTTTGAGAATTTAAACATATTTACTTTCCCAAATTAGGTTATAAAGTCAGTCTTGAAATTTTCCACAAACCAAAAACAGAAAACTTTTTTGATTTTAGTCAGTTGTTTCATTGTGATTATTTTAAAAAGAATCTTTTCAATTATGACTTTTTTTAACAGCCCACTGTTCAGTCTAATTAGCTTAAATTTCAATACAAAAAATCATTTCAAACTGGAAATTTGGATTTTTTTTGTTTAAAATGTTGAAATTAAACATTTCAATTATTCTGAAATTGTTAAAAACAAAAAACAAAAAAACCCACCAGCTGCCAAGTCATGAGATTTAGGGATACCAACCTTGTTTTGCTGCTAAGTCATGAGATTTAGGGATACCAACCTTGTTTTGGCAGTTATTTTGGTTGTGACAAACTGACTTTTTCTATGAAAACAGCTGTCAAATTTCTGATCAGTTATAATAGATACTGGTAGGTGCCTGCATATCTGAAAATTAATCTATCTTATTTAGATGACTAAATGTGGATGTGCAAGAGCCTAAATCAGTGGTGGGGAACTTGAGATCTGTGGGATGCATGCGGCCCATTGGAGTTCCACCCGCGGCCCACCCACCCAGTCTCTGCTCCCTTCCTCCATGCCTGGGGCAATGAAGCCCCACATTTACCTATTTGTCCTCCCCTTATGGTGCTTTTGTAACACAATAAATCAGCTGATTCACAGCCCTTCAAGCTCTGGGAGTGAGGGGGAGGAGCATTGACGGAGTGCAAATCAGCTGATTCATGGCTTTCTGGAAGTGCTGAGAAAGAGGGGGAGGAGTAGGTAAGTGAAGGGTCTCCAGTGCCTGAGAGGTGTCAGGGAAGGGGGCAAAGAGGGGTCACAGCCCTCAGATGGAACCCCAGTTGGCTGCATGCATGCTGCAGGTTGCCCACCACTGGATTTCAAATTTGCAGCCCACTGAGCTGAAGCAGGGTCACTCATGCAGGCCCACTCACTAGCCTGGGTTGCCCATAGCTGGCCTAAATTAAGGCACCCATTTTTGAAAATCTTGGCTTGGGTCACTAGTTCATTGATAATGCAATATGGATTGGACCTCTAGGTCCCTGCTTTGATTGTGACATTGACTAGACATTATTACCAGTTACAGCAGTTTGGTGATCTATTGTATGTAAAATACATAGGTGGTCTACTTCCAGTCTCTGTGGGTAAGAGGCCAGCTAATAAAAATGAACTTTAGATGATATTTTGTAAAATGTGAAACATTAATGATTTTTTTACATATTTTAATTTTTGAAAACATGAAAAAAGCATTCAGAATTAATTGCTATTGATTGACTAAATCAGCTGGCAACTCTAGTGGATGTCATGGCCTAGAAGCCAATTTTAAATTATCATGTTGTACTTTTTCTGCTAAGGAGGTATTTATTATGGAGCATGAAGCTTTCACTGCAGCTGTCTATGTTGCCTTATGCTCTGTGAAAAATAGAGGACTTTAGCCCCCCCAAATTGACAACATGGCACTTCACACATATACAGACGCGTCTACAAATATACTGTCAGGTACATTCAAGTGACATTGAAATTTGAACCTCTATGCTAAGTACAATCTGCACTCCAAAGCCTTGGATGAGTTAGGTGGCACAAACAGTGGAGTGTATGTTATTTCATGAGACGAGAGAGAAAATTCTCTTTATTTAACTGAGGTAGTTAGCTAAACAAACATTTTTATTTTATTTGTAAGTACCATACATATTTTTAATATGACATTGGAATGCTTTATTTATTGTTAGCAGTGAGTGGATACTCTTTGCCATTTTGAGATAATTTCTTTTAGTGAAAGTAGGGAATTCTGCTTGAACACCTTTATCTCTCAGCACATAAGTAACTGTGAAGTCTGACCCCTGCAAAAAGAGGAAGAGGAGATTATGGTTTTCAAACGGCAGATGAAATATAGGGTAGAAAACGAAGTCTGAAACAGAGGTAGAAGCTGTCTGACTGGATATGAAGTTAAAGTGGCAAAAGGACATAAAAGATTATCTGTTTTTTTAAATCACAGCATGAAACACCAAACATCTCAGAAGTCATAGGTGTGATATGGCATGTCTTGTTTGTGGGTGCAGGAATCATGTCAATCAAGACTATTACATTTGACTTACTATTACAGGACTATGTAGCACTTTAAAGACTAACAAGATGGTTTATTAGATGATGAGCTTTCGTGGGCCATCATCTAATAAACCATCTTGTTAGTCTTTAAAGTGCTACATAGTCCTGTATTTTGCTTCAGCTACACCAGACTAACACGGCTACATTTCTATCACTATTTGACTTACAGAATTTCTTAAATCCAAGTACCAGTTCTAGTCTACAGGAAAGTAACACTGTCTTACATGTGCAACTGATTGATTCCTCAGGGCCTTGTTATGTTTGACTCTGCAGCAGTGTTTCTCGATTGTATCAAGTAGCTATTGAAGCTTGAGGGCTGATCTTTGCAAATACTCATGTAAGTAATTGTACATATGCAAGTAGTCCCACTGATTTACCTGAAGTTACTCATATGAATACATTTTTGCAAGACCAGGGCCTAACATTTCAAAATCTCTCTTGTATTTGCTCCTTATCAGTTGGATCTTCCATAGCAGTGCATAATTGGCCTCAATCATGTAATGTGTAAAGGTCTTATTTATGGCCTTCCAAAGATTCCACTTCACACATTTGCTTAGTGAAGCTGAAAATCCCTTTGGGGCACCCTTACAGTTCAAGAAGCAAACATTTCAATCTTTACCTTCCCAGTTTCCAACACTCCCTTTTCAGGATTGGAATACAGAGATCTTTGCATGTCAGATCTAAACGAAAACACAATTACTTTCATCTCAGCAGGGTTGGAGCAAGGACTTTCCATGACCGGGGGGCATTTAAAATGATTTCAGTAGGTCACAACCATTTCTCCTCCAGACAAACCCCATATTGTTTACAAAAAATACATATGCGTAACAACTGTGTACAGCTTGCTCTTTTCTGCCATGGGATATATTCATTCGTGAATGAATTAAGAAGTGGAATTCATTTCTCAACAGAATACTAATCCTTTTGGAGGGAGGAGTGTCTAAGAAATATGACCATTATTCTTTCATTTCAAATTCCAGCCATCATGAAATCGCAGAGCATTAACCTTGTGAACTTTAATTGTGAAAATTTGTCAGAAATAAAATATTTCATGTACCAACTGATGGTTGACAGGTTGGGGGAGAGGATTTTACTGGCGTCTGTTATTTTTTCCAATTTCTGTTTAGATATTTATTTCAGAGCCAGGAAAGTTCAGCCAAAAGGTGAAGGTGTGGATTAATGAGTACTGGAACTTCACTGATTCCATAGCTATCATCCTGTTTGTGACTGGTTTTGGCTTGCGCTGGGTGGATCCTCCTTTTCAAACAGCAGGAAGGCTAATTTACTGCTTGGATATAATATTCTGGTATGCACGGCTCCTTGACTTCTTTGCTGTAAATCAACATGCAGGCCCATATCTGATGATGATTGGGAAAATGGTAAGTATTGGACTGCAGGGTAACATTTTTGCACTTATGACATCAAAACTGATGGAAGGGTAATATTCAGAAAGGGACACAAAGCAGAATGGTGGCCAGACTATAACTGGGCTTATAATTTCTAAGTATTTTACTTACAAATTGTGACTCTTTCCATTCATGAGTTGTCCATGATCAGAGCATAGTTTTTGGTGATTTGTTAATTATTTGAATTTATCCACAGCAGACATTTTCTCTTGGTTCCTCAGAGACAGGTTGCATTTTAGCTGAATGTTCTGATAAACAGAGGAAAAAACAAACAAACCTCTCTTTGATTGTGGCAGACAGTGACTTATTACCTTAGATAATTCCCCTAGATTGTGAAAACTGTCTTATGTTTATTTTATATCTAGATTCAAATAATTCTATCCTATGTTTAGCAGGCAAAAGTTGTACTGAGTTAAGTTATTTTTTGAATCAGAATTGAACGGAACTACTGTATTTTCTTGAGAGAGATCTGTGGACTTCTGTTGTAATTTCCCTCACTTATTGGGAAATATCTTGTTAATACTTCACATTTCGTCTCACATAATAATTCAAGCCCAGTGTTTGAAGGCGAAATTCATCCCTGGGCAGGGGACCAGCGGATGGCCTGTGAACTGTTCAAATCTCACTTACATGCTGTAAGAAGGACATCAGGACTTGGTAGGCCTTATACTGGCTCTCTGAGGTGGCATGAATTTCACCTCTAGAGGACAGTAAGGCCAAGTCAATGTATGGAAAGAAAACCTGAACTTTCCTTCCCCCAAGAAATGATGATATTACATAAGAATGTAAGAGTGGCCATACAGGTCACAGCAAAGATCCAGCTAGCCCAATATTCTGTTTTCTGACAGTGCCAATGCCAATAGCTTCAGAGGGAATGAACAGAACAAGTAGTCATCAAGTGACCCATTTCCTGTTGCCCATTCCCAGATTCTCCAAGAATTTATCTAGTTCTTTTTTGAACACTGTTTATAATATTGACTTTCACAACATCCTCTGGCAAGGAGTTCCACAGGTTGGTTTTGTGTGTGTGTTGTGTGAAGAAATATTTCCTTTTGTTTGTTTTAAACTTGCTGCCTATCAATTTTATTTGGTGACCCAAAAAACAGGACTATGTAGCACTTTAAAGACTAACAAGATGGTTTATTAGGTGATGAGCTTTCGTGGGCTGGACCCACTTCCTCAGATCAAATAGTGGAAGAAAATTGGCATGACCATATATACCAAAGGATATAATCAAAAAAATGAACACATATGAAAAAAGGACAAATCAAATTTCAGAAGAGAAGTTAAATGTCTGTGAGGTAATATTAGAGGTGATAATTGGGGAAGCTATCTTTGTAATGGGTAAGATAATTAGCGTCTTTGTTGAGACCTAGGTGTAAAGTGTCAAATTTAAGCATGAATGACAGTTCAGAGGATTCTCTTTCAAGTCTGGTGTTAAAATGTCTTTGAAGCAGGATGCAGGTAGTTAAGTCCTTGAGACAATGCCCTTTCTGGCTGAAATGGCAAGAAACTGTTTTTTCTTTGTGATCCTGTCTAATATCTGTTTTGTGTGCATTGATTCTTTGGCAAAGTGTCTGAGATGTTTGTCCAATGTACATAGCAGATGGACACTGTTGGCACATGATAGCATAAATTATATTTCTGGATGAGCAGGAATATGTGTTCTTGATCTTATAACTGAATTGGTTAAGTCCAATAATGGTATCAGCAGAGTGAATATGTGGACAAAGCTGGCAATGGAGTTTGTTGCAAGGGAAAGTTCCAGGGCTGATATTAGTGTGGTATGTCCTGTGGTTGTTGGTAAGAATCATCTTGAGGAGACTATGGGTCTGTGACCCCTATTTCTTGTGTTATGGGAAGGAGTAAATAACACCACCATATTTACTTCAGTGTTGCCAATTTTAGTAGGATGTATTACTGGAAATTACATGATATGAAATCATTTTAAATTAAAGATTAATCTTTGATTCCTGCAGACTCCAGGCCAATCCTGCAGGGTTTGATTTTATAGATCTCTATTGTATCCCCCCTTTTCCAAACTGAAAAGTGCCAGTCTTATTAACCTCTCCTTATATAGAAGCTGTTCCACACCCCTAATAATTTTTGTTGCCTTTTTCTGTACCTTTTAAAATTCCAATTTGAGATGGGGTTCTTCAACATAGATTTATACAGTGGCAAAGTGTTATTTTCTCCCTTTCTTAATGATTCCCAATATTCTGTTAGTTCTGGGGGTTTTTTTCTTCACAACTGCTGTCCATTGAGTGGATGTTTTCAAGGAACTATTCACAATGACTCCTAAGATCTCCTTCTTGAGTAATAACAGCTAATTTAGACCCTCCATTATTTTACATGTGTAGTTGGGATTATATTTTCCAATGTGCATTACTTTGCATTTATCAACATTGAATTTCATCTGACATTTTGTTGACTCTTTTGAAGTTCTTTGCAGTCTGCTTTGGACTTTATTATCTTGATAATTGTTTTCATCTGCAAATTTTGCCACTTCACCAATTATCTCTTTTTCTAGATCATTTATGAATATGTTGAATATGTGTGGTAGGCACTCTGCTAACCAACTGGATGTCATTTGAATCTCTCCTGACTGGCCTCACAAACACACAGCTTACAGGGAACACTGGACTTAAATATATAGAGTAGTCTTGTATCAACTGCAAATTTTCCCATCTCACTTGGTTTATGAACATACTGGTCGTGATACGTTCTGAAAACTGCCCATTTATTCCCACCCTTTGTTTTCCTATCTTTTAACCACTCACTGAACAATGAGATGCTCTTCCCTCTTATCCCATGACAACTCACTTTGCTTAAGAGCCTTTGGTGAAAGAACTTGTCAAAGGCTTTCTGAAAAATCTAAGTGCTCTGTATCTACTGGATCTCCCTTGTCCACATTCTAGTAGATTGGTTACGCATGATTTTTCTTTACAAAACTATGTTAACTCTTCCCTAGCTAATCATGTTAATCTCTGTGTTTGACAATTCTGTTCTTTACTATAGTATCAACCAGTTTGCCTGGTACTGAAGTTAAGTTTACTGGCCTGAAATTGTCAGGATCACCTATGGAGCCTTTTAAAAAATTTGGTGTTACATTATCTATCCTCCAGTAATCTGGCACAGAAGCTGATTTAAATGGTAGGTTAGATACCACAATTAGTAGTTATGAAGGTTTTGAAATTTCAGGTTTTTGAAATCTCTCTCACAATCTTAACCATGAAGACCGATGCAAAGAATTCATATAGCTTTTATGTATTATTATTTAAATGCATAGATGTGAAAGTTGTGATTTATACTCCCATTCATAATGAATGTCACTATTTTAATACCACTATTTGTATTTCATTTTTCTATGCAGACAGCAAACATGTTTTATATTGTGATTATGATGGCAATAGTGTTGCTGAGTTTTGGGGTATCACGAAAGGCAATTCTTTCTCCAGAAGAGCCTCCCACTTGGACGCTTGCACGAGATATTGTGTTCCAACCCTATTGGATGATGTTTGGTGAGGTTTATGCTGGAGAAATAGATGGTAAGCAGTCTTGATGGGACTACTAATGTGCTTAAAATTATGTGCTGAAGTGCTTTGCTGGATTCGGGACATACAGCTGGGGACAACTATAAAGTCCATACTTTCTCAAAGGATTTTGATTTCAGTGTGTATTGAATGTTATCTGGCATTATAGTTCATGGTCCAAAAGAAGAATATTCCCTTTTCAATCTTCATTAAATTAGCTTTAGGGCTTCCAAATTTAACGTTGTGAATGAAAAGTTCCAAAGCCCAGGAGAGAGCATGTAGGAGCTGATAAAAAAAGACTTTGTTACTCAGGGATTCTGCTATGGAATGAATTTCTAGAGAAGATTAAGTCAATCTAAAATCTGACCCTCTTGAATAAATGCTGCAGGGACTGTGCATCATAGCAAGAATTACATTGACATTGAAACTCCCCCATCTACCCAAAAAGCCCCCCACAAAAACCTGTAACCAAAAAAGTGTTATAATTTGAAGAGGTCTAAGAATTCTCTTGAAAACAGTGGGCAAGCTCCTCAGATGGTGTAAATTAGCACAGCTCCCCTAAGGTCACGGGGGTTCTGCTCTACACCAGGTGACATCTATCCTTCTATCCAATCTAGAAAGAAATGCATCTGAAATATTAGCCTATCATGGCTATACTGACTTATATGGTAACTGTGGTTTTCATTTCCTTTCTGTGAAGCATGTGAACTAAATGAAGACTGCCCTCCTGGGTCCTTCCTTACGCCATTCCTCCAAGCCGTATACCTTTTTGTACAGTACATCATCATGGTCAACTTGCTGATTGCTTTCTTTAAGTAAGTACCAATTAAATGTTGTAAAACCAAAGCCCGGGATACACTGCTAATTATTGTGCTTGTAGTCAGGTGGAGGTTTCTGTCATTTGGTGCAATCTCATCCATCCTAAAAAAAAATGCTGATTTTTATAATTATTTTTATTAGGGATGTAATAGTATAGTTGATTAACCGATAAGCAAAAACTTACAGGTTAATGCTATAGACTACACACATTTCCTCTCTGCCTCTCCCTGCCAGTACATTTTTTAGTAGGCTAGCCAGCAACAGTTCCGGGACAGGTCTGGGACCTCCCTCTGCTGTGGCTCTGCATTTACAGTGCATTTACAGGCAACCTGCCTCACTCCTGGCTCATGCTGGGCCTGGTATCTACCCCCTTTCAGCTCAGCATTTCAAGTGTATTAAGAGCTGGGTGGGCAGGCAGCCCAGCTCAGTTCTGGCTTGCGCTGGGTCCGGGAGCTCAGACGGCCCCCCAGACCGGGACTGCTTCCACCCCTCAATGCTGCCTCTTTCTCAGAAGCAGAGACCGGGACTACTGCCACCCCTCAATGCTGCCTCTTTCTCAGAAGCAGCAGCACAGGGCAAAAGGCACTCGGTCCAGAGAGGAGCTGGTTTTTAAACTGGCTCCTCTCATGGACCAGCTCCCACCTGGCACCCTGGGTTCTGCTTCTGATACAGTGGCTGCCAGCCCTGCCCGTGGGGACTATAGAATAGTTGATTAACCAATAAAATTTCCCTCAAGTGTTCGACTATTCAATTAACCAATATTTAACATCCCTCATTTTTATGAATCATAGGATGAATGTAACTCTGGCATCCTCTGCATCCAAACATGAGGGGGTGCCACAGCCAAAGACAGAGTAATCACTTCAATTTCTCTTCTAGTTTGATGGTGCAATTTTAATAAGAAGCTCCCTGGAGACCCCTCCATTACTCTGAGGTCAATTTCTCCTGACTGATCATGCAAAAGAACAATGCATATGACTAGAGCATTGGTAGTGAAGAACAATCCACACCTTCTAAACAATTAGTTTTTTCTTCTGTGGTTTCAATATTTCAGTGGAGAAATCGTTCAAATCTATTTTCAGCCATAGATTTAAAAATCAGCTTGAAGAAATCCAGTGATTAGAAGTTCAAGGCAAATGAATAATCAACGTCCATCTTTTGTTTCCATTCCCAAACAGAAATTTCCATGCTGAAACTGTGGCAATGCATGTATTTCTTTTTTTATATATAGTTGTTAAACTTCAGTTGTGAAATACATTTTGATTTATTTCTATGTTTAAGTCTTCAGTAGCAAAGATGTGCTAAACCCAGCATTTCTGCACTTGGTTTCTTTCTCATGGGAGGCAAAAATTAGTTCTCGTCAGTACAAGCTTGGCAGTATATTTAATTGTTCTCTCAAAAGCAGAACTTTTTGGATCTTCAGAAGCCAAGTGTGACCAGGAAATTATAAATAGATTGAAATGAATGCTGGGCCTCTGGAGTGAAGGTCACTTTCCAGTTCATTGGCCTGTTGTTCTGTAATAAACTGTTGGATGTTTTTTCACTGTTAAGCTTAGCAGTATCACTGTCCCCAAAGAACCTTTAGAAAAGGAGAGTCTTTTGAACTGCTGCCAGCTGCTGTAGGTTCTTGGTGGAAGGAGACACAGAGAATGACATGGAGGAACAAGTACTGAAGAACAATTTTCATTCTGCTACATTGTTGTGTGACAACCTTTTCCCTGGGTACTGCTCCTAATTCCTACATTTAATCCTGTTCAAATATTCAAGCACTGTTGAATTCATGAAACTATTTGGCAGGGGAGGAGGGAATTTAAGATTGTCAAAGCCACCTCAGTGGGGTTTGATATATAATTCCCATTAATTTAAATTTTTGGATATGCAGATCTCTGGAGCAACTTTGAAAATGTCAGCCCTCTGTGTGTTGTTGTGTTATCTGCATCAACCTGCTGTTGCTTTGTTAAATTTAAATGCTGAAGGTATTTACCCCATTTTAGGATCGGGCCCTTTAATTCAACAGCGCCATGTATCTGCTGATAGGTAGATTTCTCAGATGAAGTCTCCCTTTTCCTCCCCTCTCTTTCTGTTTTACAGTAATGTTTATTATGACATGAAATCCATATCAAACAAGCTCTGGAAATACAATCGTTACCGCTACATCATGATGTATCACCAGAAGCCATGGCTGCCTCCACCTTTCATCATTCTGAGCCACATCGGCCTCCTCATAAACCATCTCTGCCACCATCGTCACCCAAATGAGCTTGATCAAGAGGAAGGAGACGTTGGACTAAGTAAGCAAGATGGCAGGTTTTCCAGGCCTTTGCTGGTGGGCCTATAGAAAAAGGTGATCAGGGATGTTTGGCTAGTTTCCCATCGCCTTTTTGGTAGGCTTATCAGTGAAAGGGATGTGGTTGAGATTTGTACTGTGACACGTAATTTGGCTATCAACCCAAACTAGTAGGGAGTTGTGTCACTATCTACCTTGCAACTGTGGGTGTACTTAAATGCTATGCTGCTGATGCTAACAGCTCACATATGAGCATTTAGGTTACACCCTTGCTTCCACCATACATTTACTTTTTGCAGAGTGACCTCAATATTGCACACAGTTCTGAATTTTCTCCATACCATCTGCGGATATGACAATTTGCTAAGGTTCCCAGGACTGTGAGTTACAGTGTTACCCACTTTGCCTAAGCAAGTGTGAGTTTTTGCTACTATTAAATGTTGTGATAACTCCCTAACACAGCAGCTTATCTCCAGCAACCTAATAGGATTCTGCCAATCCGAACCTTTCCTTGCAGGGCTAAAGATAGAAAGGGTTACAAGCAAACCAAGGTAAAGACACACTTATAGACTAAAAATTAATTTAAGCAAGTTACAATCTTTACCTTGCCTATATTTGGCTCCCAAAGATTGATTGACGGATCCTCTTGACTGAAGGATCAAATGTTCTCTAGTTTCAAAAGCTCTGGACACCTATCTTTGGCTCCCAAAGATTGATTGAAGGATCCTCTTGACTGAAGAATCAAATGTTCTCTAGTTTCAAAAGCTCTGGACCCTTGAATCCCTGAAGTGATAGTCAACTCAGATGTCTTTTTGTCTCCCTTATATCACCCTCAAAGTTCATGGTCTCTGTTCCCAGAGCCAGGAAGGCTTCCTGCTAATCTTACTATCCTGTGAAAATCCTATCCCTTGGTTGATTCACATGTGTTAGATTAGTCTCTGACACCTTATTCACTAGGGTATGCTGTGATGGTTTCTGAGACCATTGCCACTTGTTTGCCCTTGAGCCCTTATCCATTAATTTCCCAAGAACTCATCTTGACTCTGAACTCATCGTTGAGGTTTGTTTATTGCCATACAGTCAAACTCTATGGAGCTGATCAGACTCATGTGTGGTCGGGTACAGCCTATACTACACATGCCAAGTACAAAATTATTAATCAGCTTATATATCCGTTCTACATTGTATCACACACTCTGTAACTGGTTCATTGGGTTCTGGGAACCAATTCTTCCACAGATCACAAACTGTTCATGCGCCACACGTATGCTATGTGTTACACATTGCTTATTGCCCTGCTATCTCTTTTCTGTTAACTACATATTTTTCATATTTACAAGGCTACTGTGAATTCCTACTTTGTTCATTGTTGCACTTCCTTACTCAGAATAAACTTACATTCCACACTTTTTTTCTTTTAGAGATATAACTTATTCAGTTTAATCATATTTTATTCTCTTTATGATTGTTCTTAAGATGTATTACTCAGCAGCATATTTGAACCATGTATTGGAGGCTAATGTCCCTTAGAAAAGTGCACTGTAGGTTGATTATCGTTGTAATGATGGTATATCCACCTCACTATTGTGTGTGTGTATATGAGTTAGGTGATGAGTACCAGCTGTTCCAAAGTGTGTTCTGCTAATTTCTGATTTTATTTCTGCTATTTACAGAATCAAATGAATTACAAATTTATTACTGTATCAACCACATTCAATAGCCTTGGACATATGATTATTTATTTATTTATTATTGTGTTCAGCAGTTCAGGCCAATAAGCTTTTAAGATCCAGGCTGATGGGAGGGCTTCCAAGCTTGGGTACTTCTTTTAAAGCATCCTTTTGCTTATATTTCAGTTACATTATAACAAAAAGAGTTAGAAAGTTTGTATTACCACAGGAAGCTATGGTGTGAAACATGGCTTAGGCCGAATAATATTCCTTTAGTCCATAATGGAAGTGGTTCCTTTTAGCCACTATGCACTACTTTCCATTCTCAGTATATACATAACTTTTATTTTGCCAGCTTCCCAGCATCACATCCATATGGTGCAGTTCGCAGACTGTTGTAGCACGTGCCAGCAATTCTGTAAGATATTACACATGCACATGTAAACATTAAAAAACAGGTGCAAACAGCAGCACAAATCTGGGATTTTGCAGACACAATCGTATTATAATAGTATTTGACAAGGGGCAACAACTTAGGGTGGAAAAAAAATCTTTGAGCCATAGACTTCCTGCGTGATCTCGAACAAATTGTTTAATTCCCCATCTGTAATATTGGGAAATATCTCCCTACTTCACAGGATTGTATCTACATTCATCACTTTTCAAATCAGACAAGGCCATTAAGGTCTTGTAGTGTGATCTCCATCATAGTGCAAGCCATACACCCTAATCCAATGAGACAATACTCAGTATTGAGAGAATAAAATTCATTAATGATTGAGGTGCTAAGGTACTATGTGATAAGGCCCTACAAATATGCAAATAAACAGGGATGTCCAATAGTTAATAGTGCTCAGGAATCTATGCCTGATTCTTTAGGGATGAAATTTCTGACTCGTGCACCTGACCTATGGTGTAGTGCTATAAGCAGGTGCTATAAGCAAGTCCTTCTTGGCTGCTATAGCAATAAAATAATGATGACAAGAAGCATAAAATTTGATGACTGCTATCTCAACTTGAGTATAGCTGCTTATAGATATAAAGGAGCTATAAAACAGAACTATGCCAAAGATTTGGTTCTATAAATGAACAATATAAATTCATGTTAATTTCCTGCCCATATATAAAATATCCTCTTTAAATTAGACATCAGTGTTAAAGTTAGTCAGTTTGAGGAAACTCTTCTCTACAATAATTGGCAATGTTATGCTTTTTGGAATCCAGTGGATTGCAGTATGCATTCTTGATGCCTATATGGGGTCTTTTGCAAATATGTTTCAGTCTATGGCTATTCTGGACTTGCTGTGTTGATATCAGTCTGGGTCAGCACTGATTACGGAACCCAAATCCAGGGTTAACTAGTCAGAAAGTAACCACTTCATGGCCAGTCTTTGTTTCAGCTCCTGTGCTGTGGAAGAAGGCAGCATCATTCCTGTGGAATATTTGCATGGCATAAGTGAATAAACTAGCACATGGGTCAATTTGTTTGCAGAAAGTCTCAGAGGGGTAGCCATGTTAATTTTGTTTGCAGAAAGTCTCAAAGGGGTAGCCATGTTAGTCTGTAACTTTAAAGACAACAGAGTCGTCCTGTGGCACATTTGGGTACATCTATACAGCAGGCTTAAACTCAAAATAAGCTATGTGATTTGAGCTATGCGAATTAAGTCGAAATAACTTATTTTGAATTTGAGCACGTCTACACAGCACTTATTTCGAAATAGAGCACTTTTCCTCCAATTTTCCTTAATCCTTGTAAAATAAGGGTTTCAGGAGTCGGAGTAAGAAGTCTTCCAGCTGGACATTATTTCGACATTATGTTGAAATAGCTGCTTGTGTGTAGACACGCACTTTGTTATTTCAAAATAAGGTCAGTTATTCTGAAATAACGGTGCTGTGTAGATGTGGTTAGAGACTAAAAAAAAATGGTATTGTGATCTTTCGTGGGCGAAACCCACTTCTTCAGATGAGCTGGAATGGGAAAGAGGGAACCCAGAATTTATAACAGAAAAAGAAGGGAGAGGGAGAAAAAAAAATGTACCTGTCAATTGTAGTGCCAGTGCTAATGGGGGTAATTGAGTGGGCTGGAAGTACATGAGGTAACAGAAAATGTAAGAGCCAACTAGCTCAGTTGAAGGATCTTTGAATAGAGAGGTTATTAACACTTTTCCCAGACGTACCATTATTTCAGGTATTTGAATTTGCAGATAAAGCCAAAACTGTGTCCACCACAGCTTGGCAAGTTTTTTCTGCCTCAAGTCAAAGTTTTGTAGAGCAGTTTCTAACCAGGACATAGTGAAACAGTGCCACCCTGTGGAAAAGGAGTGCATATGCAAAGATGTGGTGAGTAATTCAGGCAGGAGCACAAAGATCATGGGAAGGCGATATTAGCTTATTGAGTATACATTCCCTGCAAAGAAGGATGTAAGACTCCAGCAGAGGATATACCATGTATTACAAAGACACAATACATTTTTAGTGTCAGCCTTATCTATCCATTAACTCTCAGTTTCCACACAGTTAGTCTTTAAAGTGCTACATAGTCCTGAGCTTACACACATCTTGAGTCTCCATATAGAAGCACAGTTTCAAGAAAGGAATGACAATGTACTTCAACAGTTTTTCTCTTTTAGTAAACTAGGAGCAATGAATTTCTTAGCTGGCATCAAACATACCAACAATTATCTCATTTGCTTAGAACTGTACCTGAGTGATGAGGAGTTAAAGAAACTTCACGAATTTGAAGAGCAGTGTGTGGAGAGATACTTCCATGAAAAGAGTGAAAGTTTGCATTCCAGTGATAGTGAAAGGATTCGCGTGACAAAAGAAAGGTATGAGGGATTTGCTGCTGCTGAAGCCTATCTAAAACAAGATATCCAAAGCCATATAAAAAACTGTTGGCTAGCTCAGTGATTCTCAACTAATATATATATATAGTACCACTTTACCTCACACACACACAAAATATAAGTATCTCCAGTACCTACAGTTTTCAGACACACAACATTTTTTTCTACCATTGCAACACATTTGTTTAAACAACTTAATTGTAGCCAAGCGGGCGATGAAATTTTTGGTTGTAAAAAGTACAAAAATAATAAAGCACTGTAAAACTTAAAAATTCAGTTTTCTCCAAATTTCAGTTGCGTTGACTTACCCCCCAGACTTCTTTCGAGTACCCCGAGGGTACTTGAACCACTGATTGAGAAACACTGGGCTAATATTTTGGGTACAAATTAGGGTTGCTCCAATATATGTGTGCAGGGAAAAAGGAACGGGCTTATATAACCCTTTCTCTCACCTTGCACCCATAAGGTTTAAACAAAATGCAAAATGTGGCTGCCTAATGCCTCTGGCAGAAATGCACTCCCACACGTATTCAGTACATTAACAGTTGAGGATGTGGCTAGAGAGTTGCACCATTTTACCTTTGCAGATTACGTACCACTAAGAATATGGCAGAGGTGTAGTGCAACATGGCCACTGCTGAGCTCTGCTGAAAATCTCATATGAAGTGTCACCATTGTGCTATTAGGATACATCTGTTTGGCCTGCCAAAATGTATCCCACTTAACACATGGACTTCATTTTCCACATACCAAACCAAAATGTATACAACAAAATGAACGAGTCTTGTAACAAAATACAAATAACCAATACAAATAACCAATACAAATAGGCCAATAACAAAATACATTTGACCAAATAGTAAACTACTGTTATACCAGGAAGATTTGAGTTATTTGAAATATGAACTGATAAACAATATATCAGTTAAATGAAAATGTATTAAGCAGAATTGAAAGAATCCCTCTTAAAGGATTCTTAAAGGATGCTGCTTAGATCAATAACAGTTTTGAATCACCAAGACTTCTTTGTAGCATGATTTCAGTTCATCAGAGCTGCTGGTGTAGATTTTTTGGGGATATCCAGATAGATTGCATCCTTTAGATACTTTGCTGCTAAAAGAATCCAGTTGCTCTTGTATACTGCCTGTTTCTAGTTTAATGCATTCGTAATTGGTAAGATGACATAGAGATTATATGATCTGATATTTCTATAACTAAAATTATGAAAATTGTTTAGTAAAATTAACTTACCGAATCATTTCAGGTTGGGAATGTCTCACAATGTATGTTAGGGGCTTGAAGGCCTGAACATACTTTGCTTGTCTATCTAAATTCTAGAGAGAAAGTAAAAAGTAGCATTCAGATATATAATACATGAACCAAAATTCTTTCCCTGCTAGGATTCTACATGTAAGAAATGAAAACAACAAATCAGTAGATAGTGAGCTCTTTTAGAGTTGTTTGGTTTTGCATAAGAATGGAGGAAAGAAGGAAGGAAGATACCTCTGAAGACAGAAGGGCTCATAAACAATTCACCAATCCTTTTCAGGTCTCTTGTTTTTCATCATCACTAATTTTGTGCCAGGGAGTGGTGACTGATTTGAATAGAAAAATTGGTGTAAAATTTATTTAGGTTTTCTAGCTTTTAGCCAAGTACTGATGAATGGTAGAATGAGGTTAGTTTATTATCACATGGAGGTGTTTATGAAGATGTAAGTCACTATAGAAAAATAGAAGTTCAATTATAGAATGGTAAAGATTTTCTCTTCCTCTGTTTTAATTCATCAAATGGAATAAAGGAATACAACAATACAAAGATTTCTGTTTTAGTATATTAATTTGTGTGCATTTTTCCCCTTAGAGTGGAGGAGATGTTTTCGCTGCTGAAAGAAGTGCATGAGAAGGTGTTCTACATCAAAGATTCTTTGCTTTCCCTGGATAGCCAATTAGGACACCTGCAGGACCTTTCTGCCTTAACTGTCGATACCCTAAAAGTCATTTCTGCTGTAGACACGTTGCAAGTGGAAGAGGCCCTGCTGGCTGATACAAAGCATCGAGCCTGTAGGAAACTACCACATAGCTGGAATAATGCCATGTATTCAAAAGCTTTGAGCAGCTTGGAATGTTTGAATGACAAGAATCATAACTACTACAGCATGCCTCCTTCTCTTCTAAGGAGCTTGGCAAGGAATCAGTGGCCATCAGAAAGCCATGGTCATGTTGTTGAATCTAGGGACATCAAGGAAATGAAGATAGCAGGCATTCAGGAGCAGCAAGAAATAGAAAGTGACACACTCACCTCTGGGGTATCCTCAGAGTGTAAATCAACCCCTAGATATGGGCAATTCCTTTTGGTCCCTACTGAGCATGAGGGAGCTGCTTTCTCTGAAGAGGTCCACTTGAATTTGTCCCTTCCAAGCACTCCTGCCAACTATAGACAAGATGAATTTGCAGCTAAGCCACAAAATAACCACAGTAGCACTGTGCTGCACCAAAGTTTGCAGAGTACCAATCAAACAGAAAAAAAGGCAGAACATTGCCAAGAGAGACAATGGGACTCTATTATTCAGTTACCATCTGAGAAGGACGATGGGCTGGTAGTGGACCTCTCTGTGAATCCCCAGCCTTCTGCCATTGGCAAGGAGAGCTCAGTGCCCGCACATAGCCACAGTGAGGAAGCCAGAGGTGGTTATGTGAACTGGGGATTCTCTGAAGGGGATGAAAAAGGCGTTTTATGCAGTGAGGAAAGGGAGCAATCATGCATGCATTCCACCTGCAACAGTGACTGCAATTGCACCCGCAGTACCTCACAGCATGTCCAGATAAAAGCATCTAAGTCCTTCTCTTACAACTCCCACAAATCAGGTTATGAGAGTGACACCTCAGAGCCTGAGCCCTTGCACCAGCGCAGCACCTCCTTCTGGATCAACCCACTCAGGAGAGACTGGACTTTCCGCAAGAGCAGCAGCTTTCAGTTTCACAGAGGAGAGAAAGTAGGAAAAACCTGCAAAACCAAAGGTAGTGAGAATATTGTATTACAACAGCATCTTTCACTGAGGTTTGGGAGCGGCTTGGAAGGAAAGGGAGGAAACTGTTCTTCATTTTAATATTATTTATTGAACCTTCACTTTCTAAACCTCTGTATTACAATATTTAATTGAGTTTCCCTTGGCCCTCAGAGCTGTCAAAATCGGCTGAGCAGATCCAGTCTGTGTGGACAGAAGCAAAGCAACAGAACAGTGACAGACAATCGCAGAAGGACAAGAAGAAACAACAAATGCTTCAGGTGCCAGTAAGTCCTGGTGTAAGCACAATGCTGTGTTCTTTATCTGTCTTGTTAGTGGCAGTACTGTAGTAGGGGATGGTAACGTTAGCATTTAATACCCACTGGGGTTTTAGCCCTGGAAAAGTATTGAAGTTATGACTAACCTGGAAAGCCCCAAGCTAATTAATCCTAAATCTATTGTCTTGCTTTGTTTTTGTTGAAATTTTCTTTATAATGTTTAGGGGGCTCACTCCTACACACACTGAAGTCAATAGGGGGTTTACCATTGATTTCAAAGGGTGCAGGCTCAAGCCGTAGGTCAGTTTTTTATGCTAAGAACTCTACCCTCATAAGGAACTTGAATAGCATCTGGGGCATAGGAAGGGGAGCTGTTTCAATCATGCCACTAGCTTCTGACAGTCAAGATGCCAGCCTGCATAGAAAAAAGAAAAAAAAAACCTTTTTTTTGCCTCTGGCCTGCAGCAATCCACTGTCCCCTTCCCTGAATCCTAACCGCGTTTGATGAGAGTATGGTGTTCATCATTTTTTTACAGATTCCAACATCCTCATGAGCTGGAGAACTGTTACCCCCCTATTAGTAACTAGAAAATTAAAGCAGAGGAAGGTTTAATTCCATTATTAAATATTAGCTTATTGTGTGGCCTTAGGAGAGTTATGAATCGAACCTTGGAGTGCTGATTCCTAGCGCTAGACAACATGATAAGTAATTATATTTTAAAGATTGTGCATGAAAAAAGTCACAGGACTTTCGTTTCAAATATCAATTGACTAATTTTTTAACATTTTCTATATGTGTGGAATGTGTCTTCTTGCAATGTGTAACAAATATATTAAAAAAGTCAACTTTATTGTATTTCATGGTGAATAGAGTTGTGGACTGGAATGGAGAAAACCCTAAGGTTAATCTTCTCTCTCCTATCACTTGCCATCTGTGTAAGGCCTGGTCTACATTGGGACCTTAGTCTAAAATAATGCCTCCCCCCGCTCCAGGTTGAATTTGTAAACAAAGTGTCCACATTACCACACCCATTATTTTAGAATAAGGGGGTGTAGAATTCAAAACTCTGTAGTCCTGCTTTTCATGAGGAATAATGTTATTCCCAAACTTGTAAGTCCAAAATAACGTTAGTGTGGACACTCCGGTGCTGCTAATTTGAACTAATTGGTCCCCGGGGGAGGGGGGGAGAGGGGGAGAGGCAGGCTCCCCACAGCTTCCCCAGAATGCTTCCTGGGGTTCTGAGTCCCAGGTAACATGTCCACATTAACAGAGCTTGCCTTAGGCTACATTACATTTTTCCCCATAGTGAGAACAGGGAAATCTGAATTTGTAAAATTAGCTGCCCAGAAGACAGATTTAGTAAATTCAAAATAATCTCCTAATGTAGACATGGCCTAACTGATCAGTTTTCTATGTCTTAGTTTACCAATCTACAGTAAAGGAAGAACAATACAGGGCAACCTGAAAAAAAATGAGTTATCTGAAAGATCTATTGGACACCAAAAATCTTCAGGTTTCTTTTGGCTCTTCCACAAAATATTATGTGCTGAATTGCTTTACCATATAAGCATGTCAGCCAGGTTTTCTTCCCTCACAGTTCTGACCTTCCTTGCCCCTGAACTGCCCCTTTTTGAATTATCTGGCATTAGGCAAGCTTGTAAACCACGTCCATTACTTGAGCTCATTTTTTTTCTGAAGCTCTGTAATCTGAAACGAGGCATGAGGGGCATTTCAGGGATGTTTTGATCAGGGAGGTTAGGATAACTCCTAGGTTAGGATGAGTACACTGCACTTGTCTTTCCCAAGGAAATATTTTGAGACTTATTTCACATAGTAAAGCCTTTGGAGACCTTATGCAAGCAAAAATAATTATTGTTGGAATTCCTCTTGCAATGATTCTAAGAACTATGCCACAGAAGAGCTGCAGAACTGCTTGTCTTATACTACTGAGTATGATTTTATCTGTCTCATGCTAGATGATTACAGTGGATGGTTGTCCCCAGGGCACCCAAATGAGTTCGGAGCCAGCAGAAAGCTGTTTCGTGGGTGAAGAGACATACAACAAGAACTGGCTAGCTGTATCTAACTTCAGTCCACTAAGTATATAACTCTCTTCAGCTTCTGAATAAACCAGTGACAGTTCATGAACCTAACATGTCCCTAACTTTTACTGCCTCATTAGGGAAATTATAGGCTCGGATTGTGAACACACACTCATTGCCTCCATGCAAACAGATGGGCAGACAGAAACATGGAGTGGGTGGAATTTGGGTTCCATCTTCCTGCAATGTGCTGGCCACCACAGCTGAACAGTTCCAGGAGTTGGAGCACTAATAACTTGCTGCTGTTGTGGTACAAAAGCCGATTACTATCTCACAGGAGTATGCAGGGATAAGGAATGGAACAGTGTCTCTATGAGGAATGATTCTTGGCCTGGGGAATTTCTGGAGTATCTCAGCATCTAACTGTACGAGCACAATCTTAACTACTCTTAGCAATTTTGAAGGGGTTTATGGCCATTGTTATTTCTATGATAATGTATATGTTGGTAGATTAGCTGGTTTTTTTGGTAATTTGCATCCATTTAATGTACCAGCCTTCCATTTGCAGCACAGTGGGTAATTGGCCTTAAATTCTTAAATCACTTAGATGTCATTTCTCAAAATACATTCTTCATGGAGAGGTACATTTCTGTCACTTGTATTTGAGGGATAATTTCTAAGTAATGCATGCAATGTAGTCATAGCCATGTTGATCCCAGAACATTAGAGACACAAGCTGGGTGAGGTAATATCTATAACTGGACCAACTTCTGTTGGTGAGAGAGACAAGCTTTTGAGCTCCAAAAGGCTCTGCTTCAGATCTAGGTCAAGTTCTAAGGACTCTTGTGTAGTAGTGATTCCCCGGCTCTCATTATACAGTCCTCATTTTAAGAATAAGATTCTCCCACAGGTCGCCTCATCTTCTACACAGGTCTTTACACAACTCTTAAACTACGTTTTGCAGGCCACCAGGAAAAGTGCTATAGTGGACTTGTGCTCTTCAGATCACAATATGAAAAGGCTTGGGGTACCGTGAAACCTGTAGCCTAGCAGAAACCTGTAGGCTCTGCTTCTGTTTCCACTGTTGCTTTTATATCGTTGGCATTGAGAGCAATGCAATCCATATACATTATCATATTTAGTTTATAGTACTAATGGTTTTCAGTTCAGGCTTAGGAATATATATTCTTTGGTTGCTTTCTTGGCTAGGTTTGGAGCGACTCCGTTACATGCACCAGAAAATGAAAAATCAAGAAACTGGTAGGCACTCTTTGCAATTCTGGGACTCTCTGAGGCAATGGCAAGAGGTAAGACCTGAGGCTGTAACGTCGGCCAAATGCTTGATTCATGTAAATTATTATAGCTTCCCTACAGCTACAGTGATTTTCACCATCTGAGTTTCTCTCTAATGAGACACCTTTTTGATATGCCGAATTTCATTTCATGCTGGCCAGGCACATCCCTGTTAGTAAATGAATGCTTGACATCAATCAACACTTAAGAATAATTAATAAAGTAGGATATTAAACTAGTGAATCATGAAATGGGAGTATGTATGAAGAGAGATGAGCATTTACTAATAACTAGCCAACTAGCCCGTCATAAGATGGAATTTTCAGGTCTTTCCTCCATGTCGGTCTTCTCTCCTGAGCCTCCGGTCTCTCTCTCTCTTCCTCCTACTGTCTTCCCCCCCGCCTCTCTCTCAGCTCTCTTCTGCCTCTCTCTCTGTCTCTCTCTTTCTCTTCTCCTCCCCCTCCTGCCTCTCACTCGGGGGACCGTGGAGCCTAAATGGCTGTTTGAGCACCTCACTCTCCGTGCTGCATGGGGAGCGCGGAGCCCAAACGGTTGCTTGCGCCACTTGCTCCCCCGCGGCAACCCAGCTGAGCGGCGCAGAAGTCAGCTGAGCGCCACGGTGGGAGGCGAAGGGGGGTGGGGCGGTGACGTTCACAGCCAGGGGGCAGGGCCTGGAGCCGCTGTCATGCCGCACGTCACCGCCCCACCCCACTTTGCCTCCCGCCACGGCGCTCAGCTGACTTCTGCACCAGCCGGGCCACCGCGGGAGAGCAAGCAGCCATTTGGGCCCCGCACTCCCCATGGAGCATGGGCCGCCCAGAGGGAACAGCCAGCATTAAAGGCAACAGCGGTGCCCAGAGGGAACAGCCAGCATTTCGGCATTACAGACTCTCATATATATGATTCTCTAGGCCATTAAGCAAATATATAGCCTGGTGTTGAATGTGTGAGCAGAGGTGATTAGAGAACTTAGGCAGTCTTTGGTAAGTTCATCTTTTTAGCTGTTTGGTGACAGTATTTATTTCATGCAGAGTGGGAGTTCTATATTTGTTCAAGTGCAGAGATGTTTCTTATTGTACTTAGCTTGGTCTTCTTAACCTCTGTTTTTTAAAAAATATGATTTATCAGATTTGATTTGTGGCCTTAGAGGATATAAGTCCAGATCCTTAGTGTGTGTCAATCGGTATGGCTCCATTGATGTAATGGAGCAATGACAATTTACATCTGCTAAAAATCTAGGCCAGAGTTTAGAAAAGAATGTGAGCAAGATGCTGGTTTTGCAGGAATATCTGTTCTAAAATGGCCTGGGTGATAGCACAAATTGCATCTTTCAACTCCTTGTAGGAAGCAGACCAGAAGTAAAAATGGAAATTAACAAAAAATAAATTGAGTATTGAAGTTGGGAAATTGTCCTTTCTTCCTTTCTCAGGATCAATTCATTTTAGGGATGGGAGCACATTTCCTAAGCTGATTTTTTTTAAAAGTTGCTTTTCACTAGAAATGCTATTTCCATTCGTTGTTACTCTTATTTTTCCCCCCTTATACAATGAAAGCAGACTAGACAGTTGAACTTTTGTTTCTAATCAGTTTCACTTTTTGATTCTTGTGTAGTATCAGTGTTGTAGTTTGAGTTCCAAACACTACAAAGTAAGTTTAATTTTAAACAAGAGAATTTTATATCGAGGAAAAGAAATGATAGAAACATTTCTAGTGATCATCGATTCTGTAAAAACTTATTTTGGGGGTTAAATTAATTTGACAATTAAGCTTTAAAATAGGAGCCATGGAGCTGGACGCATAATGTATAGATGCTTTCTTGGGGATGATGTACTAAAATATTAAATAATCTGAATCTTCAAAGCAAGGATTTTAAGGTGGTTTAGGTAAAACTCAAGGGAGGTGTTATTTCTTAAAATAAGAAAAGTCCCATTGACTTCAACAGGAGTGAGCAAGGCCAACATGAATCACATGGGAAATCCTGCTTTGAATGACTTAATATTTGAAAATGTGGGGTCTGATTTACAGATGTGCTGAGTAGCCATTCCTCCCATTGATTTCAACTGGGGTCATGGAATCAAATTACGTCTCCTAATTGTAGTTACATTGCTGCATTTGCCATGTGATAACAATGGTTTGGACACCATACATTTTTAAAAAACAAATTTTCCCTGGGTCAGTGCTTCTCAAATAGGGGGCCAACAGAATTGCCTGGCCCCTGGGCAAGGTGTGTGGGGAGGGTCATCCTGGCTTCATGCTCCTCGAAGACGAAGGGAATCAGGCAGAAGGAGCAGGGCTGGAGCAGCTGCCCCTAAGCTCTGCCCAGAGCTTGCTGCACCACCTAATCAGTCCTTAGTGCTGCCCAAAGCATGTCCCATGGCACTCTAGTGGTGATTTAAATGGCCCCGGACTCTGACAGTCATTGCTCCTGCAGTAGCAGTGGCTGGCCGAGAGCCTCAGAACCTTTTAAATCACTGAGTCCTCTAAGGACAACTGCTCTCTTTGGTCCCCTTCCTCTCTGCCATTAGTAGGCCTGTTCTCAGACCTATCTGTGGATGCCCCTTCTGCATACTTTATCTTTTTTTCCTGGGTAAAAATCTCTTTTCAGCCCTTTATTCTAACTGGCCAAAACCAGCTGGGACCAAGTCACCAGTTGCTAAATTCCACAGTATTCAGGCCATTGTCCTGGGCCCAGGGTGTTGGGTGAGGTCACGTTTGGCCTTCTGCAACAACAGATACCCTCCCACAGCCTTTCGTTAAACAGGTAGCCTGGGTGAGGTCATGTTTGGCCTTCTACAACAACAGATACTCTCCCACAGCCTTTCGTTAAACAGGTAGCCCTTAGGGAAAACTGAGACATACATCGCACTCATGCAAGCCATTAAGAAAATCCCTCACTTAGTCACACCATGTTACAGTGTAACACTTTAGGACACATCTTATTTTAAAGAACCTATCCATGAAATATTTATTTCCAACATTTTATTTTTCTTCTATAAGGGGAAGTTCCCTAATGGTTTTTATACTGAAAGGCCTTCCACATACATTTAGAGTTTTTCCACTATGGAGTCTGATATGACAATTTCATGTTCTAAATAAGTATAGGTTTACTAGAGCTGTGAGATCCTTCAATTTCTGTGAGATCACCAATGGCAAGCCAGTACAAGTGTAAGTGTTTGTGGGGTTTGGAAGTTTTGTGAGCTGTTCTGATTAAGCACATAAATAGTGATATATAGATTCTGGCCATAACAGCACTTTAATTCTTTTTAGGATTTGAATAATGGCATAATTGGGACAACCACGAAGAATAATCTGAGCAGGAATTCCTCGTATGTATTCCTAACTGTTTTAAGATACTTGCCATTGTACCTACTACAAAAGCAGATCCTATTGTGGCCCATTTCTGTAGATATTGCATATTTCCATTTTAGTTCAATAACACGTTTAGCATGAGGAATTTGTGTTTATGTAAAATAAAGGATTCGGGCAACAGACATTTTCAATCAAATAAAGGTTTATTGTTTATTATAAAAGTTTATTAATTGCAATATAACATCTAGCTTTAGAAGGAACATAGATGCTTTTATTTTTTTTTACCAATATTATCTAATTTTTTCATTTAGTCACTCAGACTATGTCTAGGCTGCAAGGTTCAACTGGAAAAAAAAATGCAATTTGCGGTATGCAAATTGCACATCTTTTTTTGTTTTACTGCTGAAAGAGGCTTTTCCAAAATTTGGGACGTCTACACGGCACCAAATTTTAGAAAAAACCTGCTCTTTTGATGCAACCCTTATGCCTCATAGAACAAGGTTTACAGGGATGGTGAAAGAGCTCATCCGCTTTTTTGAAAATTTTTCTGAAAAAGCAGATGCGTTCCTTGGATGTGGCGTTGCTTTTCTGGGATACCAGAGTCACCACAGCATCTTAACTACTTATTCTACACTACTGAGCATAAAAGACAACATTCGCTTTTGCTGCATAAATTGTGTATTTCTTTTTGAAATAACAAAAATCCAGCTTTACTGAAAGACTGTCATTTCCTGATTAAAATACTTTGTCTTAACTCTGCACTGGCAATATGTCTGTCTACACTTGCAAAATATTTGGCATGCATGCTATAAAGAAATGTTTGGTGATGGTGAATCTCTAATCATAGTGAAATAAAACCATACTGGCTTGAAAAGTGTCTTGGGTTTTCTTTATTCCTTCAAACTTCTTGGGTGTTTTTTGAGCTTGCTTGATAATTATGTTAATGTTTGTGGTACTTTCATGTGTGCTTCTCTCTCTCTCTTCTTCCGCCTTTTTCCCTGTCTCTTGATTTCATCGCTGCAGTATACATCGCTATTACTTAGGCTATGTCTAGACTGCAAGCCTCTTTCGAAAGAGAGCGTCTAGACTGCACGCGGAACTTTCGAAAGAGCAAGACGCTTTTTCGAAAGAAAGCACCCAGTGAGTCTGGATGCTCTCTTTCGAAGAAGCCCTATTTACATTCAAGAACGCCTTCTTTCGAAAGAAGCACTTTCGAAAGAAGGCGTTCTTCCTCGTGAAATGAGGTTTACCGCCGTCGAAAGAAAAGCCGCGTTCTTTCGATTTAATTTCGAAAGACCGCAGCTGCAGTCTAGACGCAGGTGAAGTTTTTTCGGAAAAAGGCTACTTTTCCCGAAAAAACCCCTGAGTCTGGACACAGCCTTCCTGATAAAATAAATAAAAAGCATAAAGCAGTTGCTGCATTTCATGTGATTTCAACATGGGAAGGGAAAAAATACTGTTTTATTTAACAATCCATAGTGGCATACTTGCAGGCAATAGCCAATCTTCAGATATGCTAAACTGAGCTAACTCACAGGGCCTGATTCTGCTGTCATGTACTCTGGTCTGACTGCAGTAGAATTACTCAATTTACATCCATATGAGAGAAGAATCATGTCAATAATCTTTTATCTTTTTATCACCCCCTCCAGCAAATACCTTCAGTTCCTTGAGACCACAGATATTTTTACATAACAGTAGCATTAGGGTTTACAATAAACCTTCCCCATATATCAGCTAACAAAGTGCAAAACAACTGCAAAATTTAAATTTCATTTTTAGATTTAGATTTACTGATTTCATCCAGTAGAGAGCAGTGGGATGCATACCAGACAGTACAAAAAACCCAGGTTAAAATTTAACAGCAGATAATCCACCCGCCACTCATATCTGATTGAAGTGCTCTGTAAACAATATTGTTATGATATAAACAAGACAGTGACCCAGAATTGTAATTTGTAAGCACGAATCAGAGGGAGGAAAATGCAGAGACTGCTGTTCCTTAGTAACAAGTGGTCGGTTGTATGTCAAAACAACAAACAACTTTATGTGTTTTATGAAGTAAGCTTAAATCTTTGTGGGTTTGAATTCAACCAGTTCAAATCCTTTCATGTCATTGCTTTTTAACCACAGAAAAGCTTGAAGCATAATTTTCTATGCTTGATTCTAAAACAGGTCGAGAAGTTCAAACGGGGTCGACAGTAAGTTTTTGATTATTTGTCTTTAATTTGTTTTTGTTAATCTTACTTTCATAATTCTGAAGTACGTAACTAGAGGAGAAGTGGTTCCATTATAAACATGGAGGATAAAGAGGAGGAGGGTTTACGATCATTATACCCAACAAAAAGAATAGTGTCTCTACAGCTTACTAAAGGTTGAACCTCTCTAGTCCAGCATTTTCTGGTTTTGCAACATCCATGATCCATCTGCTCATGGTGGGAGGGGGGGGGGAGGGGAGCAAGAGCCACTCCTGGCCTATGTCCTCGCTTTGTGCCCATGTTCTTGCCCAGCAGACCCTCTACCTAGGGCAAGACAGAGGCTTTGAGGCTCCCTACAGCTGCCTGGGAGGCTGTTTCTATGACCAGGACAGCAGCAGAGGCTCCAAGGCTGCCCGGCTAGAGATGCATAGGGGCAAGAGCTTCATGAGCAACTATAGGGAGCTGCAGATCCTTCATCTTCTTCCTACTGTCATACATCCTCAGGAAAATCAAGGTGACAGTAATCTTAACAGCTGAGGCAGTTTTGATTTTTGATGGCTATCCAGGTGACCTCACATCCATGCATTCATTTATGGACATCAGCAAAGCTACTGTCACAGAAGGGGGACAGAACCCAGCATCCCAACCCTCCCTTCTGCTTGGGCAATGGAGTTAGAAAGATCCTGTTTGAAGAAGGTCTGAGCCATCTGCCTCAATAGCCGGAAGCCCTCCATGTGGATGTGTTACATAGCCAAAAGGAAGCTCTTTTCTCTTTGGTGTCATGAATATCAATTGTTCCTAGAAGACGCTGTGATTACCCTCAGTGCCAGACCGAGCCATACTTGCACCCCAGGCAGCAGGCGTGTGGCACATGTGCAGCCCCACCCCTGGGCACGCAGTGCCTGATTGACATGGTAAGGGGTGCCCCCGGGTGAGCGGCACATGCGTGGCCACGCCCCCGGGCACCAACCTATTGGGGGCCTCTGATTGAAGTGGTAAGGGGCATGTGGTGTACGCGCGGCTCCTCCCCCGGGTGCGCGGCACCCCTTACCACTACAATCAGGCGCTCCCCTATATATTGGCACCCTGGGTAGCTGCCTGGCTAACCCCCTCCTTAATCTAGCCCTTATCCTGGACTATCTTCTCTCTTTTAAATCTTTGGGCTTCTCACCGAATTCACCTCACAGCCATTAATGTCTTCTATCCTCTAGTGGAAAAAAAATAAAATGTTCAATTTTTACCTACTCTACAGCTTTTATATATATATATATTAGAAAATACATAATGAAAATATTTCCACTGGTGGTGTCAAGGTCAGTGCTGTCTTGTTTGAATCTGGTTCTGTTTAAACCGTGGCCTCCTGTTTCCTATTGTGTTTATCATCTACTCATGAAGACCCCTTGAGACAGAAAGATAGGCAAATTAGGGACTTATTATACCTCCACCTTATATCAAAGACAAAGTACCCCAGTTCCTGGGTAAATGGAGAGCAGGTGCACCCACAGTGAACAAAAAGAACTCCATTTATTACAAGATAAGTAACCTTCCTTTTCCATTGGAACAAAATAATTTAAAGTAGATAATAGAAATATTTCCATTAGTCTTAGATAATACAAGGCTTATTTTTATAAGATGCATTTTGGGACCAAATTTGACCTGACGGTGTCTCTTAAAATTAATTTTGCCAATAATTTTTTGTTTATATTTTATACCATTCTAGGTGTCATGGGTTAATGGACCTGTATTATTATAACATCAGTTTAATAGTATAGTTAATGGAATGCATACTAACTGGGTATAGAGCTGCAAAAATCATGTCTTTGGGATGCTGTGAAGCATGATGGACAGCAAAGTGCTTTTAACATCTCCGAGGTGTAATTGGCTTAGAAAAACTACATGCCCTAGGGGTTAATATAGCTAGTCTCCCTTCATTTCCTTCTATAAATAAGTTGTATGGCTATATTAAATTGATGACTGAAAACTGCCAACATACCATACATTATAATGTACTTTAAATCAAATAAATTCTGATTAATCTGTTTCATGACAAACTTGAAGGGAATAAATTCAAAATCATGCATTTATCTCTGCTATAATAATTAACATAATGATCCTTTTAAAATAATTTCAGAAATCTCAGTCTCCTTGAAAACACCTCAGGACCTGCACCATCATTATTCCGGTAAGCAGAACAGCTGAGCTCCTGGGCTCATTATTAAGCTGTGAACATTGTGGTAATATTTTTTTTATTTTTATGCATGCCTTAATTTACCTCTGTGCTTTGTATTAATATGAACTGAATGTCAATGAAAGGGACAAGGGGTTAGACTCATGTAGCTATCTAATTAGAGATCAGAGTCCCTAACAAACTAAACAAAGCTATGCACTCAGTAGAGGATCCAGAAGAGAGAATGGAAATCCCAGTGTCTGGAATAGTCACATGTCTACATTGCAAGGTGAACCCAAGGTTCACGCTCAAGCTTAACTCTCCTGCCATCTACATATAAATTGTACTAACCCAGAGGTCGGATCCAGAGACCCTATGTGAGTTGTGGGTCTGAGCCTGAGTGAAGCTGGGCCCCAGGGTTCAAGCCCTATTGCTTTACAGTATAGATACAGCCCCACAGAACTCATGCTCTTGGTGTCCACTAAAAGCATTCATCATCCACAATCCCACAGGTAGATTTTCTTTGTTCTCTGGACGGGCAAACTGGATAGTTTGCTGGATAGTCAAGCTTTTCCACATAGCCCCATTTTGGAAGACCACCAAGAGGTCTAGGTTATGGGAGGTTGGACACAGGTCTGCATTGTAGAGGCTGGTTCCCAATCCAGAGTTTAGCAATTCCTAATTGAGGTTACCAATGTGTGTACACACTAAAGTCCTAGTTTAACAAACCCAGAGTCTGCTAACTCAAGTTCTACTCACTCTGGATTTACATTGCAGTGTAGATTTACCCTTAGGGATTAATAGATGAGCAAAGGGCCTGGGGAGCACAGGGGAAAGGTGTCAGGGAAGTGAGCTCATTGGGTGTGGCTAGTCAGCATCTAGATACCTGCAAATGGTCCAACCCAGCCAACGTACCTCAAGCTGCAGGGCTGTTTCATTGCTGTGTAACTTCATTCTGGGTCTGGCTGGAGCCTGAGTTTTGGGATCCTCCCACTGAACAGAAAACTGAGCCTGGATTTTTACACAGCAGAGAGAGAGCTTGGCAGCGCAAGCACTGTGATCCCAAGTCAGCTGACACAGGCCAGCCACAGGTTTCTAATTGCTGTGTATGCCCAGAGATGCAGGCAGGCCGGCTGCGGAAAGGGGCGAGTCAAAGGAGGCAACTGCTCCCAGGGCTCAGTGATTCAAAGGGATCTGGGGCTCCAGCCACTACAACTGTAGTGGCAGTGGCCAGAGCCCAGAACCCTTTAAATTGCTGCTGGAGTGCCATGCAGGTGGGTTATGGACAGCTCTTAGGGCTGCCTGAGGAGGTGGGGTGCTGAACAGTGTGCTCCAGGCAGCTCGGGGCGGGGTGGGGCGGAAGGATGCTGCAGTCCTGGTAGTGCTAAGGGCCAGCTGCCTTCAGCTCTGTCCCTACGGCCCTCAACCTTGCTCCTTTCTGGAGCACAGAGTCATTTCCCCCCCGCACTCCTTCTCAGTGGCCCAGTATGGCTGTTGGCTCCCCTGGATACAGGTCTCTCACCTGGACTGACGGCAATGAAACAGACAGAAAGGAAGCAGAGATGGTTACTACAGCAGCATGGCTCAAGGGATCCCTGGCTTTAGACTATATAGACTACTTATTAACCTTTCCTGTCCTAAGGGCTTTCAGAGTCTATATGTCAAGTGACTAATAAATTGTTACCTTGCTTTGAAAAGGCTGCCTGGTGTCATGACAAATATTTACTCAGATCATTGCATCCTGAAAGGGTAAAGAACAAATTTTCCACTGTTGACTACACTGACTACAGGGAGCCACAGAGAGAGACAAGAACTGCTAGCAAGCAAAGGCCCAGTTTTGGAGTCCGCGTGGTCCACGGGCCTGCCCCTATGTAGCTGTGTGGCTCTTTGGGGTTTGGCACAACAGACTCCATGAATCTGTAAAACTGTCTTTGTCTGTCATCTTCTGTGGTTCCCACTTTGTAGCATTCCACCCCACTGCAAGCTGTCTATTCATTTCATATCTAGCAATATAGTGAGGCCATTTCAGATATTTGTTGGCAAATGATGATAAAGAAAAAAATAGGCCCTGACAATTAAACACTTATTTTCACAATTGTTGAAATCTTAAGGAACTGAGCTATTCTTCCCATAAAAGAGAGGGGCAATAGTTTGTTCATAGCTGTTCCCTCCAATCTTGATGAAATATAGTATTAATTGCACTTTCTCCCTTTCTTCTTGCCTGCTGGAGTGGATTTCTTCAGTTAACTTGTACTGGACTCAAATTCTGTTTATATACTTATGAACACATTGGAGGTCTGGTAGGGAATAAATCTTCTGGACACTGTGATTGCCCACTATGCTGTTTTATTTCTAAAATTAGATTGTGCATAGACTTATAAAGCTACAGGTTTCTGTACTTTCTGGTGAGAATAATCTAGAACCTACCAGCAGATGTCCCTGTAGACCACGCTACCTTAGACCTTTTCACCAGAACCCTTGAGGAAGACAGAAGCAAGTGTACAGCTACGTGAAGTTCAGAGATTGTGCTGTAGTTACAGTGAATAGCAGCCAATATTTTCATTCCAGGGACAGGCACAGCTCTACTTGAATGCCAGTGACAAATCTGCCTCAGTGTCTATTTGTGCATATCATTTAATTAGATGATGTTTTTCAATGCAATCTAGAATCGGTTCCATTGTATGCTGAGTAAAATAAGATGTTTCCAGAGGATTCTGTGTTATTTTGTATTTTATTTGTAATGCTAGGATGCAGGGTCACCAACTGAGGTGAGGGACTGCCACTGCTACTATGGAACCGGCAGATCTGCCTCAGTGTCTATTTGTGCATATCATTTAATTAGATGATGTTTTTCAATGCAATCTAGAATCGGTTCCATTGTATGCTGAGTAAAATAAGATGTTTCCAGAGGATTCTGTGTTATTTTGTATTTTATTTGTAATGCTAGGATGCAGGGTCACCAACTGAGGTGAGGGACTGCCACTGCTACTATGGAACCGGCAGTGGCAGGAGTGTTGCTAGCTCCCACCCCCGCCCCTTCCACCAGAGGTCCTGCCTCTTCTGAGGGCATGAAACCACTCCCTCAGCTTCCCAAGGGGACCAGCAATTATTTTGGCAGCCTTGGAGAATAGATGTGTCTGCAGCAGTGGGTGGGACTCTGCGAATGTGGGTTCAGTTCAGGATTTTACCACAGACTTCCTGGATGACTTTGGGTAAATCTTTCCTTGCCTCAGCTCACACATCTCTAAACTCTGGCTAACTGGACCTCTCTGACGCTTAGATTCTGCGAGGATAAATCCATAAATATTTGGTTGTTGCACACATGTTATAGTGCTGAAGGCCATATACACATACAGAGAAAAGGCTGGCCACCACAAACTGTACTTGTTTTGTAATATTACAATAAAGCACCATCAAATATCTCTGAAAATCAACCAGGTCAATGCTAGCCCAAAACTGTCTGTTTTGTCTGCAGCTGTTGAAAGGAACAACCTAATGAGGCTTGCTCATACTATACCATTTACACCAGTCCAGTTCTTTGGTGAGTCCCATTTTCTCTCCTGTGTTTTGAAATTATTATAATTACAGCATGGATTATTTTTAAAGAATGTGGTTAAGAAACCTCTTAGGTTGGATTAATCTAGGCAGATCTAACTTACATTTATTTTCTGAAAGGAACACTTATCATACTGGTTATTATGGATTTCTTTTTTAGGCCCATATCACTCCCCACTTGTTGTATAGGGAGCCCAGGTGCCTATTTCAGGTCATGTCTACACTAAAAAGGAAAGTCAAATCAAGATACACAACTCCAGTTAGGTGAATTATGTTGCTGGAGTCAATGTATCTTGCTTTGAATTTCCTTGCCGTCCCCACAGCAGAGAAAGCCAACGGGAACAAATGCTCCTGACTGGATTTCCTAACTCCTCACAGAAGTGGGAGTACTGGCTGCTGATGGGCATCCTCTGAGTTTGATTTAGCGAGTCTTAACTAGACAGACTAAATCGAACTCTGGAAGATCAATCGTGGTAGCTTCAATCTTTCATTTAGTGAAGACATGGCCTCAGGCTTTGTGGTTTGCAGTGTAATTCCAGTGACTTTCTAGATGCCTGGAAGTTAAGCGTTGCATTGTTGAGTGCTGCAAAGCTTAAGTTCCTTTGTAGATCCAGGTCCTTCTTCCATGTCACTTTGAGACTAGACTCTCCTGTGCAGGGTGCTCTGAGACTGAAATCTACTGTGTCAGCTCATGTGTCTCTTACTATTGCCCCTTTCCACTTGACTTCTCCCTCACCCATTATTTATATGGCTTTGATTATAAAGTTTTTAATCCTCTGCTTGTCAAGTTATTTTGTGTGGAGAGAATTCCAAACAATAAAACTGATTGATTCATAATTTGAAGGATTTTTATTTTTGTCCATTTATTAGCAGTTCCGGTTTTATTAAAAAAATAGCACAGCTTTCTACAGTAATCAGCCCTGAGACATTGCTACATCTTATGATAAAACTTAGGGCCTGAAACTCCACTCTCTTAAATTGATTCAGCTGATATCAAGTCTGTGTAATGGAGTGGCGAATCAGACCTCTAGTATCTTGGGACCATTAGTGCAGACTATGTTCACTGGATGTTGTATCAAATGAACTTAAGACATAGAAATAGTATCTGTAAATGTTTAATTATTTTATCAATAATTCTGGTCATTAATCTATTAACTTGAACATTTGTACACAGTGGGCCAGATTTTCAGTCTGGCTCATACTTAACCTCACTTAGTAGCACCTGTAATTATTTGTGTGTACAGACAATGCAAGATATTAAGTACCTGAAGATATTCTGAGATTGGGTACTTTGTATGTCTATATTATAGCAACTGCTTCTGCAAATAATCTCAGACACAAAAAGGGAAGGCAGGTTTTAAAACTCTGGCCTATTATATTAGCTTCTGGAAGATAATAATGAATAATTTCCCCCTGACTACAGGTCAAAGGCAGAATACCACCACAACTACATAGTGAGACAGTGTAGAAGAGTGAGTGAGCTGAATCTTACTTGATGCTTTTTGCATGCAAAATGATGCTGTTGAGTGGGAGACTGAAATTTTGTGCAATAGAGATAGGAAGGTCAAATTCTTAATTTAAAATAGTAAACTTCATTTAATTTAAAATAATAAATGCTATGATTATTTGTCTTAATTACTTCTCATCACTTAGTTTATATTAAAACAGAACCCTAAATATTTTAGGAAATTTACTGTCTTTTCTCAATTCAGATAACTCATTGATTCCCACCATGTATGTGCTAGTTTGAGCCAAATTCTGCTTCTCTTGCTCCTGTTGTTTAGCCTCTGATTTCTCCAATAACCCAGCCAAAATCAATGGGACTGTCATGAGCAAAGTGCTACTCAGTGTGTGCCAGAGTGGCAAAATCCAGCCATTAGCATTTATAGTTGTCAAGAAGATAAAGGTGTTACCTCCTAATGGCAAGCAAGATCAAAAGGGAAAAATGCTATGAGTAGTATTGATCTTAATTGTTTTCTGGAAGATAAAAAAAATCTTGCTAAAGATTCTTCTTTTATATAAATACAGACAAAGAGCAGGAGAGAAAAGTCTCAGCATATTTTGATTTTAATTTCAGTGTAACCAATTATAGACCAGGGATTGGTGTTTAAAAACCAATTATAGACCAGGGATTGGTGTTTAAAAACAACAATTAGACCCAATCATCCAAAAAATCCAATGAACTTGCTGCTACTGGGAAAAGCCACTAAAGAAAAGAAAATGATCACAGCTATGTTTGATAAGATCCACTGGTTTAAATCAACATGGTTTGTATGTGTTGAAGCATGTGTGAAGGCTAGAATTCATCCCTGTGAAGAAGGCCATACAAACTCTGTACTATGTATGTCCTCAAAGTAGAGAGACAATGTCATTTAAGGAATGTATAGCTCTCGAGCTGGCCCTGTGAACAGGGTTGAATGTGACTTTTGGTAATCAACAGAAAACATGGATGATATTTCAGAAATACAGGGTTTTTTTTTTCAGGTAGTGAAGTGGAAACCCAAATGACTAGGTACTGTCAAGTGAGAAAGTTCTATGCAATGGTAGGGGAAGAAATGTAATGTTTTAAAATGATGTTGCTATGGTCTGTGATCTTGATAAATAAAACTTCTTTTGACTTCAGCTGGAGAGGAGGTGACAATCTATAGGCTAGAAGAGAGCTCGCCTTTGAACCTAGATAAAAGCATGTCATCCTGGTCACAGCGTGGGATGGCTGCGCTGATCCAAGTCTTGTCCCAAGAGGAGATGGATGGAGGCCTCCGTAGAGCCATGAAGGTCATGTGTACCTGGTCTGAGAATAATATATTGAAGCTGGGACAAATCTTCATTGTGAAGTCTTTTCTTCCTGAGGTGGTTAGGACGTGGCAGACAATCTTTCAGGAAGGCACAGTGCTACATCTTTGCCTGAGGGTGAGTCTAAACCTGGAGGGAAACTGTCCAGTCCAGTTTGGCAGGTATATACAGACCTTCTAGCCTATAGATTTGCTACATGTAAACACCGCCAGCCTGGAGTGACCCACTATTTAATTATTGTTATCTTTTTGGAGAGAGGGGCTTGAAAAAAATCCATTTACTATTAATGATTAGGAAGGAAGATTCCCTTTCCTTATATATTCCGGCCTTTCTTATGTTAAAGCAATACTTGTAAATTTGTTTTTTATTTAGGAAATACAACAGCAAAGGGCTGCTCAGAAGCTGATCTATACCTTCAACCAAGTGAAGCCACAGAGCATTCCATATTCCCCAAGGTAGGCAAACTGCCTTTCAAGAGTGCGGTACTAAATTCTAAATACAACCTTTTGCAATTGTTGAGTGCTGGATACAGGAGTTTTTCAGGGGTACCTCTCAACTAGGGAACTTAGTCTGTTTCTGTGGCTACGTCTAGACTGCAGGCTTCTTTTCTAGAAGAGATCTTCCGGAAAAGCTTATTTAGAAAGAGAGCGTCCACACAGCAAAAGCACAAGGATGAAGCAATGTACTTTTTTGAAATATAGCATCCACATTGATTGGACACTATCTCGCATTTCAGTTGTGATTAGTCTGGACCGAGTGGCCATCAGGGCACCTGTGTTATTTCCTGGAGGCCTCTTCTTTTGAAAGAACGCCCTCTTCTTCCTTTTCGGAAAAAGGTTCTTCCTCATAGAATGAGGTTTACCGCCGTCAGAAAAATCCCTCCGTTCTTTCCACTTTGTTGAAAGAACTCAATGGCAGTGTAGATGCAAGTATTGTTTTTCTGGAAAAATGGCCATTTTTACTGTCTTTCAAGGTCTGTTTTCTTCTCTGTGTCATTTTTAGGAGAGGGTAGGTGTCTTTCAAGGTCTATTTTCTTCTCTGTGTCATTTTTAGGAGAGGGTAGGTTAATAATATTTAACTGGGTGGGTAAAAAAACAAGTGGTCCTGTGGCACCTTAGAAACTAACATAAATATATATAATATGAGCTTTCATGTGCAAAAAAACCAAAACATTTTTAGGACATATAAAGGATTTGAAGGTATGCATTAACTTGGGCAGATTGGTGAGGTGTTAATCTAGAAGAAATTGTGTCCATGCTTTTAACCTTTATAAAGTGCATAAAGCTTATACCAGGCACTAATTAAAGGGAGACAAATAAATCAAATAGATATATATGAATTAGAAAAATTGCAGAATTTTTCTAGAAGTAGTATCTGTTACTTGTTTATGCTGAAGAAGTTCTTCTGAAAGAAGGGCCTGATCCAAAGTCCGTTGAAAAATAATTGGAAATACGGCCATTGGTTTCAATGGGCTTTGGAAAAGGCCTCTACTAAGCAAACTGGAAAGCAAAGTGTTTGTGAGACAACAGGCAGTCTTCTAATTTTCTGAGCACGCTGCTCTGCGATAGGGCTGCTTTAGTGTTGTGTGAGTGGAAAATATTTTCAGGTTTGCAAACTATGGTTTTCAGGGGCTGAAGAAAGAGCGCATGTAAAAAATCACTTCTATTTTAACATCACCATAGACCCATATTCATTTAGTAAAATGGACCATACTTTGCTACTGAGTGCTTTCAATAACATTTCTTTTACTCAGAACTTTACAGGGTCTGGTGGCAATTTAAAGGGCCTGGGACTCCAAGTGTTGGGCTCCAGGGCAACTGCCTTCTTTGTTCCCCCCCACCCTGTTAGAAGCTCTGACTGCCACTATCCATGCTTATGCAGCTATTTATAGTTGCGCTAGATCAATGGGAGCTACTGTAAGTATGTGTATGTAAACAGAGCTAGCACCTTTAACTTGTAGCTAGATATAGCTATAGAGATTAGCTATGTACTCAGGAGAAGGCAGATCTCTAGAATAACAATAGCATTCCCTGCTTTCCTTAGAGTACTCTTCCTGTCTGCTGACACTTTTTTTTTATATTAGGGCTTTGTTTTGAGATCATTCTCTGAAATATTGACTCCAGTATATTATATCTCTCAGGAATGACTTCCTGCTACCTACCATTTGCTACCTTCTGCTGTTGAGATTTTTCTGAGAGGTGTGAAATTTGTAAGTGGTGGAGTAGTCTCAAACTTTTCAGTATATCTGCTTTGCTCTGAAATAATTGTAATCTTATTGTGAGGACACTCATCACTCTGCCAGCTTTTGACTGTCAGCATTTTTACCCACAGGTTTCTGGAGGTTTTCTTAATATATTGCCATTCAGCCAATCAGTGGCTGACCATTGAGAAATACATGACGGGTGAATTCCGCAAATATAACAACAACAACGGGGATGAGATAATCCCCAGCAATTTGCTGGAAGAGATGATGTTGGCCTTCTCTCATTGGACCTACGAGTATACCCGAGGGGAGCTCCTTGTTCTGGATTTGCAAGGTGACTGCCAAAATGCAGTTTATTATATATTTTAGAGCTGCCACTAAGAAAACAACATTAAATTTGACTTGGCAAAAGAGAGACAAATTCTATTCTATTCTATTCTATTCTATTCTATTCTATTCTATTCTATTCTATTCTATTCATGTCAATCCTGAGCAACTCCAGAGACATCATTGGTGTTACTCTGAATGTATATAGTTGTAAATGAGAATGATATCTAGCCCTATATATCTAGTTTAGGTGTACAAGACCAGGAACTAAAATAATGCATGGTAACATTTCAATTGGCTGTATAAAAACACTTCACATGTTGATGTTGAGTAAGAATGTTAAATATTTGTGACAAACACACATCATTCACCTCAGATCTTTGAAAACAGGTATCAGCTATTTATATTTTTTCATGAATAAAACTGTAAATAGTTTAATTAAGTTGCAGTTCTGAGCATGATTTACAGAGTCAAAAGAGCAGAGTGTGGCATAATCACAATACAATGAATGTGTATAGTGGAATGTGCTGTATTTTAAAATAATCATTTGACAATGTTCAGAAAATGAACACCATCCATCAAGCAGTTTAAATATCACTGGGTTCTCATTCTTGTCAAGGGCAATATATACTGCCAGACATAAGTTTATCATGTTTATATTTTACAGAAGTGGTGAATTACAGTAAGACTTCCCTGCCAAGGAAAACAAACCATTAAGTCCATGCTTGCCTTCATTGGTTTTGATCTGCAAATTAGGAAATCTGTGTATCTTTGCTACAATATAGGGTAGTAGTTTTGGGAAGTATCCCGAAATAGCAACACCGCATCTTTAAAAGTGCCTGTTATTTCCCGAAATAGAGGGTTCGCTATTCCGGCGTCTCTGTAACCCTCATTCCATGAGGATTAAGGAATTTGTTGGAATAGTGCGCGGTCTACACAGCACCAAATTTCAAAATAAACTCTTTCGACTTTGACTCAGAATAAGCTACTCAATTTGCAGAGCGCAAATTGTGTAGCTTATTCTGACAGAAGGGTGCAGTCTAGACACACCCATAATGGAACCAAACCACACATCCTCCCTTATTTTTAAAATTGATGGACCAGTACCACTGACTTTCAGATGAAAACGGAAAGCGTGTGCATAAATCTTTGCAGAACTGGGGTATTCATTTCCATCCCTAACCAGGAAACAGAAGTGTGAAAACACATAGAATTATTTACAGCACAAAATTCTTTTGAACCTCAGAAAAGGTCTGAGTTAGGTGCGAGCCAGTGTTCAATTTGTCCATAATAGATTAGCTGTCCCTAAACTGGAGCTCTCTAATCAGAATAATCAGAGGAGTGCTCTCTGATCAGTGTCCTGATGGAATTCCTGGCAGAACAGCCTATCTGTTGGAAACCTGCAACTAAAGGGAGAGAGAGAGTGTGTGTAAAATCTCTTACACTATATATAACTATTTACCTGTATCCATTGCAGAACATGAGTTCATCACTAATGGACCATAGGAGTTAAAATAATTGGATGTGAATGTTAGTGGATGTTTTCCTGTACATTAGAAGCCAATGATTTTTAAAATAGAATCCCATAAGCCCCAGTGAGGCATTAGTTTGGGGAGAGGAATTTAACACAAAGGAACCAGTTCTTCCATTGATTTACTGCAAAATGCCTATTAGCACTGATGGGAGCTACCTATCTAACTTTACTGTAACCCTCACCAGAAGGTCAGGATAGAATGGATCCCAGAATTCTCACAGCGCAATGGCTAAATAAGGGGACATACTCTGATACCTTTACTCACTTTGAATAGTACCTTTCAACATGAATAGCCCTATTGAGATCAGTAGGGTTTTAATAGTGAACTAAGGTGCTATTCAACATGAGTACAGGACTCAGAATTTGGCCTCATTTTACTGTAGTTAGAATAGTTTGGGCAACTCTTTCCATGGTTTCATAGTATAGAGCCATTTGGGTAATTTTCTAGTCTATTCATTGATAAATCTAAGAGCATGTAATATGAGGAATGAAATGAGAACAATTAGCTGTCATTTGCTAACAAATAGCTGCAACTTTTTATTTTTTCCGAAAGTATACATTTAGACTCTACAAAGGAAATTGATATGGAGATTGGTTATGATTTCATGACATTTTAAAAAGTTTTTGCTTGTAACATTCTCTCTAATTTACTGTAGGTGTGGGGGAAGACCTTACTGATCCATCTGTTATTAAACCTGAAGGCAAGCAGTAAGTTTGTCATTTTATTAGATGTCATTTCTAATACATTTGATGCATTTGTAATTCATTTCAGATGATCTACAGCTAATGGTATAGTTACATGGACAGTTACATTCACAGTGAGAGCTTTCACTTTTTTATTGTAGTCAGGAGTTAAATACCTGATTCGAACATAGTAGTTTTGTTTCTTTCCCAGATGGTGGAGTTCCAACTGGATAATTATAGGACAACGGGGAAGGGGCTGGGCATGCAAGATTCCTAGCTTCACAACAGGACTCTTTTTATGTATGCAACACTTTATATACGATATCTCTGATCCATTTGGGGGGAGACAGTAGTTTTGTTTCCTGGCATTTTGTGGTACTTAAGTATAATTTTTGTTGCTAGATTTGATTTACAAGTGGCTGGCTAGTACTTCTGGCTAGGGGTATACAGGAAATCACACTAGATGATCTGGTAGTCCCTTCTGGCTTTACACTTTTAAACTCGGGGCATGTCTACACAAATGTTTAATTCACAGCAAGCTGTGGTGTGAATATACTGCATACTGACTCTCCATGTGGGTTCGGCCAACATGCTCACAAGTTTGTTAGTTTACTTTAATCTACTTGTGTTTCAAAGTGGAGTAGATCAGAGCATACGTATGTACTGTTAGAGTCTTCAGGGACAGTTAGGGCATGTCTACACTGGGGAGTTATTTCAAAATAACTACCTTTGTTTCAAAAGAACAAGGTGAGCCTCCAAACTACCAAGCCTGTTGTTTCAAAATAATGGGCTTGTTATTTTGAAATAACAACTCCTGCTTGTGAAGAAGAATAAGCTTATTTTAAAATAGTTATTTTGGGAATTATTATTTCAAAATAACTTTTCAAAATAACCTAGTAGTTTGGACATAGCCAAAGGTATCACAGGACTGTCCGATGTTTTCCATTATGTATTTGTGCCGTGCCAAGTACGATGCCTCAATACAGGAGAGAGGTTTCTAAATAAAGAGATAAATAAATGTAGTGTAATTGACGATTGATCACAAAGAGTCCACAGAAGATGCTGAAAGTTAGGACTTGTCTACATGCCTGTTACTCTGCTGCAAGTCAGAGCATGAAGCTACATCAGACTAGCTTGCCACTCTCGTAGGGCATGTCTACACTACAGGGCAAAGGTCAAACTATAATATGCAATTTCAGCTATGTCTATTGTGTAGCTGAAGTCAAAATAGCTTAATTTGGCTTTTGGCACTGTCTACACAGCAGGAAGGCGAAGGAAGAACACTCTTCCTTCAAATTCCCATACTGCTTATGAAATGAGAGTTACAGAAGTTGGAGTAAGAAGTCCTCCAGCTCGTCGTTATTTCAAAATAATGGCTTGCTATGTAGACGCACACTTTGTTATTTCAAAATAACGTCAGTTATTCTGAAATAACACTGCTGTTTAGACGTATCCTTAGTGTGCAACAGGCCAATTCAAGAGTAGATTCACACTCTAGGTTCCTCTGAACTGGGTGTTTGAGTGGACAAACTCTTAATTCTGCTGGAGGCTCCAGGTCAGTGAGGCTTCACACAGACAGAAGACTCTGTTTGTATGGATCTCAGAGTGTTGTATCAAATCTTGCCTGCAGTTAGATGTTACAATAATCTATGTAAGAGGTATGTATCACTAACCCAGTTTCATGAAAGGAGAAACCGAAGTTCAGAGACATTAAACGACATGTCCTAGACACAAAACAGGTCAATTCCAGAACTAGGATTAAAAACTTGATCTCCTGTTTCCAAAACCATTATTATTAATAATACTATTTGTATTATCAATAACATTAATAATTAATTAAAAATGCACAATATTAGTAAGTAGTTATATGATTATTGATACTATATATGTATTATTGCAAAAATGTGCTAGGTGTTTATAACAAATACAAGATAATCTACTTTTGACCCCTCATACTGGCCTTACTCATACTGGCCCATATTCACAGTATCCAGAGTCTGTATGAGTCAACAGAAAGTCTTGCCATCCTTCTCCTACCAGAAGCCAAATGGAAATTCCTGAGCCAGAGGAGGCAGAGATGGAGGAATTGGTTGCTTCAGTCTCACTGTGTTGTCCCGATGATTATAGACAATTCCAGGAACTAGTCCAGAGAGGGGTAGATGAGCTGCACATCCCCTAAAGGAAGTTCAGGAATCCAAGCTTCTGGGCCTTCTACAGACTATAGGATCCAGTCGGTAGCGCTCCCAGTGAATGAAGCCATACTGAAACCAGCAAAAACTGTATGGGAAATGTCAGCTTTCTGTGCCCCTTTCTGCAAGGATGGCAGAAAAACTCTAGTGCGTGATCAAAAAGGGAACAGAAGTGTTGTTTTCCCATGCTTCCTTGAACTCCTTGTTTATCCAAGTGGTCATGGAAATGTCCAAGGGCCACCTCAGCTGATTAGGGAGCCAAATATTTTGACCTTTTGGGAAATATGGTGTCCCCCAGCCTTCAATTCAGAATTTCTAACTACCAGGCCTTTTTTGAACTATTCCTCGTTCTTGGACTGCAAACACCAATTATCCCAGAAGAAAAGGGCTCAATTTCAAGCCTTTATTGATGAGGTCAGATTAGCTGCAGGAACCTTGTTACAAGCAGTGTTCAATGCTCAGTGGTTTGAAATCCATGGTGACTGCTATAACGATGAACCAGGAATCTTGGCAGCATTCTGCTGGTCTCCTCAGGGAAGTATAGCAAACTATACAGGCTTGCCTTTCAGTGAAGTCAGTCTTTTTAATGAGAAATCTTTCCATTCACTAGAGGACTTTAGAGCGGCAACTCTCTGTTCCCTGGGTATGTATTCATCAGCCCCCTCTCCATGGATCAACACCTTGTAGTGGTAGAGAAGCTTGCGTGTTCCAATGATTCCCAAGAGTGATGCTGCCTGGAGTCACGTACTCCATTAGTACATTCCCATGGCTGAAAGGTCCAAGGCGAGGTTCCAGACAGGTGTCTTCAGCGGCAGACCAGATGGAGGATAACTGCACAATAAAGTTGAAACTGTTGTGTAATGTTACAGCAGCTGTGAAGGCAGACGAAGGCTGCAGCAGACAGAGGATTTCCAATCATCATGGTGTCCATGCCATTGGTTTCAAACCCTCTGTCAAGGACAGTGTGGTGACTGTTGTGCACCATTCTCCCCACTTTAAAAGAAGGCCTGCACAGGCATCTTCCAGTTTTGGGGAAAACAACACCTGCACAAGTCAAAAGTCCAGTGGCAATTGGCAAATGGCAACAGAAGTAGGACAATGGGATCCATGGAAGTTTCTAGTCACAGAGGGTATGTCTACACTACCACCCTAGTTCAAACTAGGGTGGTTAATGTAGGCAACCGGAGTTGCAAATGAAGCCCGGGATTTGAATTTCCCGGGCTTCATTTGCATGTTGCCGGGCGCCGCCATTTTTAAATGTCCGCTAGTTCGGACTCTGTGCCTACAAATCATCAGTAACAAAGTGACTTAGAAGACAACTGCTCCTCCCCCACACACAAACACAAAGCAATGCAGTCAGCAGGAGGTTTTTATCAGTCTGAAAGTCATGTGTTGGCAGGACCTTACTGTTTAGTGTATTTCCAGAAAATCCATGTGTTAAAAAAAAAAAAGAGTAATAGCTTGGGAGAGGCTTTTATGCAACAGCATCTTCCAGTTTTTGAGAAAACAACACCAAACAAGTCAAAAGTCCAGTGACGATTGCCGAATGGCGATAGGAACAGGACAGTGAAATCCAGAAGTTCCTCGTCACAGACTGACGCAAAAGCGGTGGGTGTGTGATTCAGTCATCTTGCTCAAGGATTGAGGCAGGTTGAGCATTTTTGCTGCTGTACCCACGATTGAGCCGTCCTCTTTAAGACCTATTCCGCTCAGTAGGGACAAAAAATGTGCTCTAAAAATAGTCTTGTCTCTTTTCCCATAATATAAGAAGTAGGGGACACCAAATAAAATTAATGGGCAGCAGGTTTAAAACAAATAAAAGGAAGTTCTTCACACAGTGCATAGTCAACTTGTGGAACTCCTTGCCTGAGGAGGTTGTGAAGACTAGGACTATAACAGGGTTTAAAAGAGAACTAGATAAATTCATGAAGGTTAAGTTCATTAATGGCTATTAGCCAGACTAGGTAAGGAATAGTGTCCCTAACCTCTGTTTGTCAGAGGGTGGAGATGGATGGCAGGAAAGAGATCGCTTGATCATTACCTGTTCAGTTCACTCCCTCTGGGGCACCTGGCATTGGCCACTGTCGGCATACAGGGTACTAGGCTGGATAGACCTTTGGTCTGACCTAGTATGGCCATTCTTATGTTCTTACGTTCCTCCTGGCTGGATAGCTGCAGGATTACCATCCCAGCAGTGAAAAATGTGAGAAATTTGTCAACTTTGGAAATTGGAACATACATACCCCGATGGACAACTCAGGCTGTGACCAACCAGAGTGATGTACAACTATCATTGCTCTTGAATTGAATTGGTTTAGCATCAATATTGCTGCCTTGTCTGAAACTAGAAGAGTTGATGAAGGGCAGGGAAGGGAGGAGAAAGGAGAATATACCTATTTCTGGAAGGGAAAATCTTTAGATGAACCTCAGTTGTATGGAGTAGGCTTTGCTATAAGGAACAAACTCATAAGGTGCATCTCTGGGCTGCCAGTAGGCATCAATGAGTGGCTTATGACATTTCCAATTCCAAAAACTAACAGGTAACTATTGTGAGAGCCTATGCACCAACAATGGATGCCGATGAGGATTTAAAGGAAGATTTCTACTCTCAGTTGGAAACCATTTTATTGAAGACCTCTAAAGAAGATAAGATTATTCTTCTGGGGGATTTCAATGCATGTGTTGGATGAGACTCAGACCTGTGGAAAGGAACAATCAGGAAAGAAGGAGTTGGCAAAAGAAATTCACACGGAATCCTGCTCCTGGCCAAGAGTGCTGACCATGGACTTATCATCAGAAACACCCTTTTTTGAAAATTAAGATTGACTCCCAATG